ACACCATGTCATTTCCAATTTTCAACAGGAAGTATGTACACTGAATAATTTCCCGTTTTCACTGCCGACAACTTCCAAGTCACTATTTACAAAGTTTTGAAGGAAGGATGGACCAGAGAAGAATACTGGCAGGTTAAAATTCAACAACAACTCAGTGCAAAATTAAACCAGCAAAAAGATTTGTCTCGTCTTTCTCGGCAGATCACTTTCGCAGCTTTCGTTCATGATCTACTTGTCAATTTGACAAAGACAAGTGTACATAAGTTTGCAGCTTCTATTTACTGCGCAAAGAAGCGAAATATCTTCTCTAGCCTTTTTTTCAATCGCATATGCTGTTGTGGATATTCCACTCGGATAACTGTTTTAAAAATTATGGGATCAAAGTTTTAAGACTGTACGTTAATAAAAATCGAAAATAGCAAGATCTGGGATTATAAATGATGTCCATACCTTCTTTTAAAAAACCGGCGCATCAATGGATTCAACAAAATAACTCACTTGGAAGAAGTTGGCAGGAATTAGCCACCCACATATACTTTTCATCATTCTATTCACTCACCTCGTCCAAATCCGAAACGATCAGATTCGTGTGAGACGGACGGCACAAGTAATGCTGCTTCAATTTGACTGACCCCTAAAGAGATTCGTCCGGAATTTTATCTGGGCATCACTGGCTAATCAAGACAACTGGCGTGATGGTGTGCAGAAATGTGAAACGATAGACAATTATCAATAAATAAACACATTAGACCAGCAAACACAAACACAACGTGAAATAAACTCAAATTGCAGCGAAAGATTCCACGAGTGCCACCGCAAAAGCTGTCAGAAGACTAAAGACCCGGATCACGAATAGCCCCCGGGGGAGGCACTTGGCTTAATGTTTGGTGGGTATGTGCCGCTGGCCTCTCAGAGCCCCTACCCCATTATAGTCTATTCTGTGGCCAATTAAATAGACCACATCTTAGTCACTTCCCGGAGGGGGGGTGCTGCCATATATGGGCTACATAGGTATGTGCCGCTGTGAAGGGCATGGTTTTCAAGCAGTTGACTCTAGGATAGGGTATATAAATCAGAACATTTGGATCTAGAATAGGGTATCATTTTTCAGGAAACTGATCAGTTGGTTGCAGATATTATCTAGACTAGGGAAACAGCTACTCTAGGATAGGGGGGATTTGGGGAGTTTACTCTAGTACAGGGTAGCAAAATTTAGCTGAACTAGCTCTGGTATAGGTTAAGGGTTCCAGGTTCCCAGCGGCACATCCTCACCCAGAAATTCTTAAAGTACCCTCCCCCCTGGAGTCACTTTTGGGCAAATATGTAATTTTCGCTATCCCAACTTAGTCACTTTCTATTTATGTGTGTACCTTACATTGAATGAAGAACACTTTACTTTTCAGCTACAGTACAAACGTTCTGGTACGTTTGTGAACCGTAAATATGAAGAACTGTCTTAACCCAAAAACAAAAATGTGCGACCCCCATTCTAGTAACTCTATTAAAAATGCGACCCCATAATAATCAATCCAGTCGTGAAAATGCGACCCCATCCAGCGGCACAGCGGCACAGCTCCACTAGCCTCTCATAAGGAAGTACCCCCCCCCCGGAATGGCCATTGTAATTTCTCTATTACATCCTTACATGATCGATGAAGCGGCCACCCATTGCTTGCTAATCCTCCTCTTCTATTATTTTTACATTTACTGCCCAACACATTTCCAGCCTCCACCTCGAGCTGGAGTTCTTCATTTCTTGACGGGAAGTAAATATTTTTCTCAGTGGCTGACATTGTGAGCCATTCATCTATATTCGAAATATTATACCCCGATCAAGGAACAATTCACACATGTATACCTCGTTCTAGAACAGTCCCAAGATACAAAAGAGTACAGTTATTCTGGGGGAATACCCACCGGGCGTACATTTATCCGTCTCTTTCTCATCTTGCACGCCGAACATACAAGGTTCAAAAGAGAAGAAAGAAGCTTAGCTTCCTCGTTCTTTTGCATAGAATACGGTAATACAATTTACGGCACGTTTATCAGATCATTGGTATGAAAACGCTGGTGTTTATAGTATGTCCTTGGGGATTTTAGACCAGATCCGGGGTTCCAAATCGGCCAAGAGATTTAGGGTCTCACGGGCATTTCACCACCCAAAACTCCAGGGTTTCTCTCCCAGGGGATATGAGCGTTCTGGTGATCACTATGGGAATAAAGGTGCCCTGGAGTGATTGTAACCTGCGATCAAGTGTCCTTCTTCCCTTTTTGTTTGGGAGACGACAAGTCGAATCTTGTTCAGTGTTTTATGGAAGAGAAAACTAAGAATTAAGTGTTGCTATCTGACCGGGTCACGTTCGAGTTTAGGCAAAACACTTCCGTGCTTTCACAGCCCACGAATTTCGCAATGTGACCTTTGGATCTATCAATCTCTTGTCAGACGAAGATTAAAAATCAGGTGAGTGGGTTAAGAGACAACAAAAGTTTTTTTTCTTGTAAAGCCAAACAAGATTGCTCGTTTTAAATCTTGATTAGTCCAGGTGCAGTCTCTTTGTGTTAGCATTTGAGACAGAAGATCGAGAGCACGCGCGTGTGAAAAAACGGCTGGAGCGGCCCTGGTAGCCCCAAGACAGTCTTGGATTCTGGAGTCCACATTGTGGAATCCGGATTCTTTCTGGATTCCTTGTCCGGAACAAGGATTCCAGATTCCAATCGTTAGCGGGATTCCGGATCCCAAGAGCTGGAATACGGATTCCAAAGCCCAGCATTCCGGATTCTAGAAACACAATTTTCCGGGATTCCGGATTCCAATAGGAAAAATTTCCCGGAATCCGGATAACCTTACATGGAGCGACCCAAGGAACGAAGACGCAAGCCCGGCGCGGTATATGCACAATTTTACGATTTTGCTTGCCGCGCGTGACACTGATGAAAGAAGGACGACTTCTCGCCGTGTAAATCTTGAGGAGATGATGGACGTTTGGAGGGTGGGACGTGTTACTTGTGTTAGTTGTTTTGCATAAGAGGAGTTCCAGCCGCAAGGCCATTGTTTTTCATAAAAATGGTAGTTTAGAGCTATCAGTATATTTCTGAAACGCCCGTTTTTTAATCGAAAACTGTTCTTTCTTCCTGAACCTCACGCGCCTTTCGCGGTTGAGAGGGTCCCCAAAAGGTGTTTCGGGATCCTGAATTTCCCTTATTTGAAGCTCGGGTTCGGGATTTAAAGCAAAATCAGGGCAAGATTCGGGATTGACAGTATGCCCGCGAGGTGGAATGTCAAAAATAACCATCGGGATTACAGAATTGCACGAAATTTTGGGTCGGGATTACGGGATTGAAGAACACTATTGGGGATCCTCGGTTGAGAGAGGTTACCTTCTGACGTCACGGCGTAGGATAGAGTTTTAAACGTTGCAGTTATTAGTTAGGAGCAACGGTAAGACGGCCTATCATAGGTTTAGCACCGAATTAGGTAAGGAATCGACAAGAACTGTGTCGCTGATAATTTCTTGAACATAATTGATAGTTCACCTTCAACTACTGCCTATGTCGTGTCTACAACGTCTACCGTCTACGAAATCTGAGTATTACAAAGGCAAAATTACATGGAAGATTAACACAAAGCACAGCGACAGATTATCTTTTTTAATTGTCTTTCCTCTAGTAAATTATATCGTATTATATTATGTATTTTCAACGGTCCAGTTTTGTCCCTTTACTAATACTTTGTAGGTTTAACTGTAGCTAGTGTTCCCTTCTGCGGCCTTCATTTCATTTATAATTGTAAAACAGCGATACGTGAAGGCCGGATGAGATAACTAGTTTTGATGGTGGAGTGAAACAACATAATTTTTTGGTGATTAGAGTTTCCAACGCAGACGTTCTTTTGGCTCGTCACGAACAGTTAAAAAAGGAACCATCTTAGCGCAGAGGGAAGGAACTAGTGACGAAACCCTAAAAACGTCTTCGTAGGAGATTACTACGATTGTTGTCAAGTTTGGTGGACATAAAACAGAAAAAGTGCAGAGGAGGGGGATGATAAAGCCTGTGTTGCAAGCCTTTCCGTATGGTTTCGGAGCAAAGAAAGACCGAGGAAAGGGATTTTCCCCCGCTCTTTTACTCGCCCTATTTTTCGATCTTTGACTCTCGTTCCTTGTTCTTTCACCCGAAACCGCACGAAAACGCTTGCTACGCAGGCTAAGGACCCGAGGGAGGGACAAAAGCTTTCACAAACTAGTCATTATGATTAGCGTCAATAGGACTAGTTTGCGTCTAATCCCGAATTTGAGGCAGCTAGAATCTAGAACAGTAGAACAACCGGGTCAATTTATACGGAGGTAAGTAAAGCTTGCTTAATTAAGTAGCCATTTGAGCCCGGGGGGGGCACTGCCATATATGGGCTATATAGGTATGTGCCGCTGTGAAGGGTATGGTTTTCAAGCAGTTTACTCTAGGATAGGGTATATAAATCAGTGCGTTTGGGTCTAGAATAGGGTATCATTTTTCAGGAAGTTGATCAGTTGGTTGAAGACTTTACCTAGACTGGGGAAACAGCTACTCTAGGATAGGGGGGATTTGGGGAGTTTACTCTAGTGTAGGGTAGCAAAATTCAGCTGAACTAGCTCTGGTATAGGTTAAGGGTTCCATGGTTCCAGCGGCACATCTCCACCCAGAAATTCCTAAAGTACCCCCCCAGGCATTTGAGATTTCCTTGACATATGATTTGGTTCTAGTCATGCATTATTTATGACAGTTAGAGACAAAATACAAAAGGCCGTGACATCATCGATTTTGCTGGATTCCTAACGAGATTGTTCCTCAAATAACTTAAGTAATCATCTGCATTATGTTACCCTCGTACCACTCTAATAACCGCTTTTATCTTGGAACAATGCTTTCGCGTCCTGCCATCTCTTCTATGTCTTCTCCTTTGTTCCGCTGTCAGTTGAGGTTCCACTATGACGTCATCGTCCAACGTCATCGTTTCTACTGTGACGTCATCGGCGCGGTAGATAGTAAGACCAGTATATTATATTGAATAGTCCAAAGAGAAGTGGAAATATCTTGCGCGCGTACGTGTCGATATAATGAGGGGGGTATTGCTTTATGGGAAACCCTTCGATAAAGGGGTTCAAAGAAGATGACTGCTTTTTTCTTGCCGAAGAAAGATTTTCGTGGAGAAACGCTCCTTTTCTAAGCGACAGACCTCCAGCAACACCATTTGGTCGTTCTTTAGTGCAGTCTGTGTGATGATCCATCATTTCTGCGATAGAACTCGCACCTTGACACGGTGTTGGGGGCTTTGGGGAAAAGGTATTAGTTTTAGTTTTGTAATATTCGAACATTGGTTCTAAAGAAAATTGGCTTAAGGAAATAGGCTAGTAGCCGTAGTGAGTACAAGACAGTAGAGCCTTTTCACAAGACGTGACGTCCTCCATAATCGTATCCCAAAGCAATCAGAAAAACAGTGGCCATGTTGTTGTCCCAAATCAGTGCTGTGGGAGTTGAACACCTTTTCTTATGTAAACCCTTTGTTTTGTTGCAATAAATTTGCATAGCTGCTAGCCACCTTAACTCTATAGAGCGTTTTCTCATGACGTAACGGCGGCCATATTGGTGTTCTAAAACAATTAAACGGTGGCCATGTCGGTGTTTCAAACCAATCCTGAGGGAGTAGAACTCTTTTCTCATGTAAAAACATTCTTTTCTTCAAATGAATTTGCATAGATGCTGGACACGTGAGTGAAAACGCTCTCTAGAAGTCATTTGCCCTGTTCAGGAATAGCTGAGGAAGAGATCACAGTGGCGGATCCAGAGGAGGGGCCCGAAGGGCGCTTCCCCTCCNAGGTCTGGATCCGCCACTGGATCATGAGTGCTTTTCGCGCTACCAAATAATTAAATTCAAGATTTTAAGGACAACGTGAAACGGCGGTTTCAGTAAGTTTCTTTTTTTCTGTCCCCCAGAAATTCACCAAAAAATGTTTTGGAATTTTTTTTAGAACTTTTAAAGGTCTTAAGACACTCAAATAAACGTAAGCTCTAGTACTTCTGCACCAAAAAGGATCGGTTGCCTCGAGACTCGAACCTTTTCCATTGATGTTCGACTTCAAAAATGGCAGAGATGAATCGGAATAACTCCTCATAACTAGAGCTGTTATCAGTGTGGTTATCGCTTCTCGTTCAACCTGCCTCAACCCACTTTGAAAAGGGGTTTACATTTCCGTCGTCCAAGAATACAGCCACCTTTTCAGACCTTAGATCAGTTCCTAAGTAGTCGAGCACTGTAACAAACTATTTAATGGTTGCGATCTAAACTTACCGGCGCAAAGCTTTGACTCCTAGGTATGGCAGACGATTTATCCGGAAAGTTCAAAACACAGACGTATTCAACCATACAAGATACGATGAACACAAACGACGTAATCAAGTAGTGGTCCACCGCCTTAAGATAGGAAATTCGAGGTAGACTGGAGTTAGTTGACTCAAATAGAAACATAGTACTCAGAATGCACGTGATCACCAGGGAAATTCGAGCCGGAACTGCATGACGGTCTATCCAAAAGCTGAGCCATGAGAGGAAGACAACAAACGCTGAAGGAATGTAGAGCTGGAAAATGAAGTATGTCGTTCGTCGCTTGAGGGTGAAGGTTGCTTTTAAACTGTCAAAAGAACCTGAAAATAAAAATGCGTCAAATAGATAATGAGTATCGTGAAAGGGAGCCGAATCCAAGCATTTTTTTAAAGGAGTGTTCTTGTGCGCAATTTATTTTGAAGCAATTTGTTTTGAAGTTAATCTTATTTTGAAAGCTCCTTATACCTCTATACGTGGATCATCCTTCGATGGTTATCAAGAAGGCTTAAAGCATTCACGGTTAGTTTCAAAGTCAATTCTTTTGCATGATTGGCTCATTTAATTGGGAAAAGTTGTGTATGTATAGTTTTGTGCATGAGGCACTGGCAATAACATAGAATTGATGTATTGTGTGAAACCTCGACCTCAAGTGTGTGCTCCTTGTTAGGGGGTCTGGGTCCACATTACACGTAAAACAATTCGCGCGTGTACCCGTACTTGCTCGTGCTTATACGTGCAATGGATTAAAAAATCCTAGGCACTACCCGAAACATTTAAGTCGACCTTTACACAACTACATTGAATAATCTTTACCTTTGCTATTGGTTGACGCCTTTTTTGATGTAACAACACCCAACAGGTCATATTGAGCCAATTCAGTGGCAAAAACTTCAATTGCATTAGGACCTTTCGTTTTCCAATTATACACGACATCATCTACTGTATAGGCATCTGCAATGCAAACAAATTTAGGGAGCACTTCCTGTCAACACAACAACACAACACTAAATGCTCTATTTGCATGACCATAAAGAAATTACAGTATTGCAAAAGCTATTAGTCTAAATTTAAGTACTAATTCAACTAATTAGTACGTGCAAAACATTACAAAACGCTACAGTTCTCATTCATTCATTCATTCATTGATATTAATTTGGTTCTTAATTCAAAGCATTGCGAGATAAATGAAACTAATTGGCAGTTGATTAAATAATCAGAAGAATTCATAAGAAGAGATATTAAAGTATCGTGTGAAAGTGATTTGAAGTCAGGTATTTTAGTTTCTAGTTAAAGAGGAGGACCTTAGGTCAAGGTAGCGCTATGCTGTGTGATTGGCTAAATTTCCGTGTACCAAATTTTAAATTTAAAACAGTTAACTGATCCTTACGGCAGAAAGAGTGATAAAAAAATAAAGAAAGAAAACAAAAATAAATTGGTGAATTATATGATTCACCACTTTATTTTTATTTTTTTTGTGTTCTCTTTATGTATTTTTTCTATCACTCTTCCTGCCGTAAGGAAAAGTTTACTGTTTTAATTTCAAAATTTTCCTGATGATTTTACTGATCCAGGTCTACCTGGCCTTCACTGGTTTGTCATTGTGGTTTTGCCTTCACAAGTATTTCTGATATAAGTTTCCGTGCTTTTTTGACCAATCATAGGTGAAGTGTTGCTCGTTTTCACAAGCTCGGCGTCGGTGGACAAGCTGACGACTTATACTGTTTTTTGTTTTGTTTTCGGTTTTTTCATAGAATCTTGTTCCTCAGCCTTTTCCTTCAGTGGTATTATTTCAGTTAACTTTACACGCTCAGGGCTTCATTGACTGAGAACATCAGGCAGCTTTTTTAAAAAGGGAAGACTGAAAAAATAAAGTGCAAATTTAACATCTGGCTACGTACAACTTTCTATTATGAGGTAACATTGTTGAGTGTCTAAAGGGAACATCCTCAGGTCCATATCACACTGAGCTGTTAGAGTGATTCTGAAACAGATAAAAACAAACGAAATCAATAAATGGTTCGAATAGGATAAAGAGAACAACGTAACAAACATTTGTAGTTACAGGGGAGATTGTCTCTGACTAATAATTTATTTGAAGGAAACTTTGTTTACGACATTTGAGATCACAACTTCTTTCCGCTCATTTGAACTAACTTTAAAAACTTCATATTTTGCATAACAGTGCTGATAGTAATTACTTTTTAGAAGTTTAGTGTACCTAAAAAAAACACACAATTTTTGAGGTGACCAAACACTGCCCGCCACCCCCTTAACCATGATAGCCTGAGTATCAGGCCTTCCTAGGGGGCTAGGGGAGAGGAGATTTGAGATGCTCTCTCTCTTTTTCGCTTCCATATTTCCCCTTTTCCCCCAGAAACGCCTGATACTCAGGCTATAACCATGACAACCACTACCACTACCACTATAAACACCATCAATACCATCAGTTCGCTTTTAAACTACGTCATACACCATCTTAATTATAAAAACTTATATCTTTAGCCATTAGTAACCTGGAATATTTCACTGTTTCATTTCAGATTATAGCACTGGCTTAATCCCTTACCTTGCGCTATAATAAATTCTCCCATCGCTGAATATTCTAAGCCGCATGTTTTCTCGACTAACGGAATGATAAGTAGAAGATTTGACGTTTCTAAAGTAGGTATCAGGAGTCCATATCCCTTTATCACCAAGCTTGGTAGGATCGAGTGCAGCATTGAACACCTTTTCCTGTCCATGGGCGAGTCTCGGGTCCGTCCACCATTGTCTAAAGAATATATCTATCGTGTAGTCCTAAAATCATTGAATTCATAATTCACATTAGTCATTACGGAATTCCTCCCTAAGTACTCGCATCGATAACTTGAGAAAAGGCTGCAGAAGATGTATACATGTAATAGCCTGCCGGGCGTTCAAAAAGAAAGGGTAAGGAGATTTCGGGTGGGCAAGAAGCGCGAGGGGAGAAAAGGGTCATCCCGAGGGCCTTCCCGAGGGTCCATATTCCAGCCTTCCCCTTTCCCTGTTTAACGTCTGCAACGCAGTCTACATCAATAGACAAGGATACTTGCCATTTCTTCTTCTCGTATTTTCCCAAAGGCCATAAGCTTGAATTCGATAAGAACTTCCACAGGTTTTCCTGGAAGAAAAAACGATCGCTCGGTGGGAAGCGTAACTATAAAGGTCTTAGTAATCTTACTTAGTTTCCATGATTTTTAAACTAATACGCTGAATTTTTTGCAGCAAAGGGAAAACGTTTTTCAATTTCAAAAGAAGGTGATGTAACGAATCATTCAAACAAAACTGAGCTGTGTGGTTTGTATTCATGTTAGAAATCCTTCATTGATGGGCCCAAAAAAGCGTTCTTCCCGGCTAAAATTCACCCTTCTAGATAATTTTACAAAAATTTAGACTTGTGTGGTAATTGCATGCTCAGAGTCCGCATTCTCCTGGATTAGTGGTCGGTAATAAATAGTAGGTACTTTATATATATGGTAATCATAATGTACCGTGATATAGTTCTTTCGATCTGTCTTCCTTACTTGTCGCTGTCGCTTTGCTAGTTACTCAGCCTAGTTATTCATGTCAGCCAAATAACTCAATTTATCAAAGATACCATAAGCAAGCAAAGCGACAACAGTTAGTAGTTAAAGAAAACAGAAAGAACTCTATTACGATACGTTATAATTACCATGTATGATGTACCTAAAAAACTCAATTACCAGAGAGGCTGGACAAAGCAACGAGGACCTTTGGATAAGAATGCTTCAGAATTTTATTGTGAGATTGCATGAACAAAATGATTTCATTACCTGTATCATTTGGACGAACGTTTTTGTCGTAATGGTTCAGTCTTTTGTTAATTAATTTTGAAACCTTGGCGTAGGAGTCATCAGGCAATGCTAAAATGATAAGTTTATTATATTTCAATACTTGCAGAAACCATGAATACGTTTAACTCTTATTGTTTATCAGCAAAGACAATTGATTGAACTTTATATTAAAGGAACTTTGCTTGCTTTATTTGTTATCTTTTTAAAAAGCTAAAAAGTGTCTTCGCGTCAATTGATTTTAAAAACATTGGTCCAGTTTTGTATTAAATTTAGAAAATATTTCAGGCACTGAAACTTTTCCTGTCGTCATCTTTTACCACGGATGGGAAGGATGGACATGAAATGAAAATTGACAAAGTTGAGGGTTTATGCCTAAGAAAAATAATGCTCCCTGGTGATATTTGTTTGATACCTTCTTCATAACTCTTCAGGAGAAATTTGTGTATGGGTTAAGGCACTAGGTAATGACGTCAACACAGATTTGACCTAAAACAGCAATATCCTCATCAATGAGTTGCGTTCATTTGTCAGTGACAGCTCAATTTACACTCTGCAGAAAAATTACCTCAATTTAGATCGCTGAATCCCATCTATTGTTGAATTGTAATCAGTATGCATGCTCAGATGCAACCTTTTACAAAATTTGGAAACGTCGCTGAGATGGATTTTTAATCAGTTAATATATTACTCTTTCAACGATTAGAATCTCACCTTTTCTTGAGCTGCTTGTAGGGATAGTACGATTTAAATCCCTGCGCCGTCGTCTTTCAGTGAGCCCAGAGGTAGTGCTGTGTGTAAAGACAACGTTCTATTGCTCGCAAATTGTTTTTTCTTAAGGACAGTAAAAATAATGGAGCTTAACAGCTCTTTAGCAGGAGCTCGCTATACCCGGAGTGCTGAGAAAAATCTCATGCTAATTAATTTTACGGCGTTTAAGACGCAGGTCAGTTTATTTCAAGACACACTTTAAAGGCATATTGTCGCGAGATATAGGACCAGCCAAGGGTTGTAACAAAACAGGGAATGGGGAATGGGGAACGGGGAACTGGAAAATGAAAAATAGGAACATTAATCAGAGAGTGGGCAATGGGGTTACTAATGACAGCGGTTAGGGTTTAACTGAGGTTTTTTATTCCCAGTTTTTATTAACCCCCTCCTCATGCTCGTTTCCCCGCTCCTCTGTATTTCGAACAATGAAACATTACTTTTTCTAAATATTGCCAACGAGGAACAAATACGAGGGAAAGAAAAAAAAAGCAAGGTTAACTGTTTTAAGCTGTGTCGTCCGTCCTTCCCTTAAAAAAAATGTCAAAACTATCCTTGTTTGCTCGGAAGCTCGGTTCTTCTTCAGTTTTTTTTCTGGTGGGTACTTGTTGGTAACTCACAATTTTGTGAGACATTGGTTTGAACCATGGCAATCAGCAGCAATAATGAGTAATTCTTGGTTCTGATCTGAAGCAGTAAAGTTTAAATAATATTACCACAGCTGGTAAGAAAGAAGTCTTGATGTCTCTCAAACAATGTAAACTTTCAACAATGTTATGGGCAAAATGAGAACAGATCAGTGTCTGACGCAACCGTGAGTTTACTGGAAATAGCTTTGTCTTTGCGATTACTTGTTAGTTGGTATGCAAGTAAACTTTGTTTAAGTGTTATTGTGCCAAAATTTGTATACAGTTATTACAAAGACTATATTTTCCGCCTTGACTTAATATGTATATCAAACTGGGAGATGTCGTTCATTTGAGTGGTAGTCTTTGCATGGTGCTGTGTCTCTAGAAATTTCTTTTAGTTTCCGGCGTATTATAACTTCAATTTGCCGTATGTGTCTTAAAACAGCTGTTCCGGTAGTAAGTGATTGATTCGTCTTGTGGTTTACTGTTATATGTCGGCGGTATGTGTTTTAGTTATAAAGTCTACCAATTTGAAATATTTTAATAGGCAGCAGTTGGATTTTTATGACCACTTAAAACATAAAATGAAAACAATCTTTACTTTTCGCCTTTCTTCTTAAGGTACCGCCACATTGGTTAGCTATTTTATTGGTAGTTAATGAGCCATTCTGAAATGTTCTGTAGTCAGTTGTCTCGTTAACACTGTTCAACAGACGCTCCTCAAGACAATTTCGTGATACCTAAAAGAGTTTCTTTAGTCGTGATCAGTTTTAGCTTTAAATTCGTAACCACCGAAACTTGATCCAGAGCTCAATCCGAAGCTCAATTCTAACTGGCTTGTCTTCGAAAAATTATTTTTTACCGTAATTTTACGCTGACTGTCTTGCAGCATAATTTTACACGTCTAAGGTACGAGTAGACGAAGCTAGACTCTCAACACCAAGTGATGCTGTAACAGCCTTAACTTTAAAAAAGAAACTTGACATGAGAATCTTTTTCGAGACAAGGCCAGCGACGATTCTTTTCTTGCCTGCTCTGTTTCTTTTTTAACGATAATCTCGAGATAATTGCTAAGCTGACTCGCCATAAACGAGTTCTTCAAACATTAATCAAGAAAGGCTCGTTGTTTTGAAACCGCTTGGACATCTTCCGTCGGAAAGTAGGCCTGCTGTTCTTCTTACAAGACCAACGAAAATCACTGTGCATTGCAATGATCATGTTATGCTGCTTATACAATAGCAAACGTGTCAATAAAAAGTCTTCGGGAACTACTACTCACATCTATGTACCAGGGATTCGTTATAGGAAATTTCTAAACCACCGTATATGTTTCCGTGCGTTATATTTGTTTTACACTAACCTTGTTAGTAGATTATCGAAGAATGCTGCAATTACGAACATCATAAAGATGGTCTCCTTCCTCATCCTTAAATATAAATCCGTATTCCTTTCCGCTATTCAAATTTGAGTTGTACGGCCCTGTATAGAGACAAATATAAAGGCAATAAGGAAAATATTGCACAGTCTGAGAAACACAGTTACCGTAAAGAAGTGGTGTCTTCTAAATCTCAACACATCCACCTCATCAGTTTATCAACGCTAATAATAACACTTAAACTTAATTCTCGGTCTGGACCATAGATTGGTTAGGAAAATTAAACATTTTCTTATAAATACTTCTTTGCAGGTGCACCGCGCTTGAAATCTATTAAATTAAATATTACTTGTGCGGTAGCACTCTCTATAATGGTCTATTGAAACACGTATTTGTCGCAAAATGTAGCGACAAACAATGCAATTAGTACCAAGAATAATAGCATCAAAAAGTTGAGAACGCATATGAAATAATTCGTATAATGTACCAGTCACGAAAACCAAATTTCCTCTTCTTTAAGTTGGAACCTTTCAACGAGGTTTTGCAGTCTTAAATAATTTACTACATACCGTGTGATGACAAGTTTATAGCAACAATTTTGATATGACATTCCAAAGGATACGAACGAAAATGAACGTTAGTTCCGCCAATAAAGTTACGTTATCAAGCCACGTAAACTATTTTTCATGCTAAGTAAATATTACTTTTCCCTTATGAGATTTGTTGATAAAACCCCCAAAAGTGGTGCTTGTTATTTAGTAGCACGTCCGTCCCGCAAGCAAAACCACTTTGCTCTGAAATTGTTATCTTGTTAGGGTAGTCAAGCTTTTGCGTTCGTTAATTTACAAGCCAAATAATGCTTTTAACCTCTATTTCTGTATGGCTTGATTAATTTTCGGCGGTTCGATGTTCAAATCACTCTTTGTTTTGTGTTGTTATTATTGTTGTTGTTGTTTTAATTTTATTTTAAGGACCATTTTCCAGGACATCAAGTATGAAGTCCATTTTGTACAGTACTACTCATTCAATTAACGATGTCCAAGATTTTATCACATTTTTAAAAAGTGGTCGGTTTGACATCCAGGGCTTTTCTAAAACAGCCTGCCGTGCTTTATCGCGCTAATATACAAAGTCCTTACAGTGATTTTGTCCTCAGTCAGGAAGAAAATTATAGAGAAGCATTAATGACGTCATAAGATTATTCCAGAATGCAGATAACCAAGCTTGCTTTTCACTCAAGACATTTTTCTTTTGAGCAGAAATGTTAGCAATTCTTAAGCGCTACCGGATCTAATCCTTATTTTTATCAAGGCTATTCTGAAAAATAAAGCGGCAGTTTAAAACTGATGAAAGTAAGGAACCAAAATGGATACTAAAGGTTGAAGCATGTCATTTAAAGAACGGAATAAAAAAATAACTAATTCATTTGTGCAACATTCAACTTTTTTTTAATCAATGCAAAAATAAAATTCCTCTTTCTTAATATTCGGTACTGAATAAGCATGTAGCGTCAGTATATTTGACAGTGTTAGTAGTGAGTAATTATTACAAATTGAAGACAAATTTGGGGTTGCTTTGTTTTTATGTTCGTTACTGGAAAAATAAAGTAGAAAAAACAGGAGAGGAAAAATAGTAGATTTGCGGACCCTGTCAATTCACAATGGAGTCGTGCAAGTTTGGAAATAGGTAACGCCATGTTTGAAAAAGATGACAGATTATGATGAAATCTAGCAGGAAATTGAGTAATTTTAATTTTCAGTGGAAAAAAACCTTGTACCAGAATAATTTCAAGCATAGTGCATTCTTTTTCACACTTTTCAAGGGCTATAAATGTGATAGGTTGTAGGAAATAACTCCGAAGAAAAGGATCTTCTTGGAGCCAGAGTAAACAAACTTCAAAAGCCTCAAACTTCACAAAATGAAATCTTACGCATGACGATTTTACCTGACTGTGTTTTCTCAATTCCTGTGAAATTTGAAATGTATTTTCTCGGGCTCCTGTAGGAAATTGTCGTTGGTGTTATTACAGATAACTAATTGCATCCATAGCCCTTGGAAAGTGTGAAAAAGAATGCGTTATGGCTTAAAATACTCTGGTACGAGGTTTCCATCCACTGAAAATTAAAATTACTCTATTTCCTAATGGATTCCGTCTTATAATCTTTGATTCCAGAAAATTTTGAGTTATACTTCTCAGTCATTTCTCGCCGTATTAGGAAAATTTCAGGGACAGTGGAGACTTGAGGTGACTGCAAAAAAAAAAAAAATGAAAACTAACTTAACGGAGAGTAGTTTCTCAGCCTAGCCACTTCAAGTCACTTGTTAATATTATTATTATCATTATTAGTAGTAATATTACTATTATTTATCAAGTATGGTAGTAATAATGAGAAGAAGAAGATGAAGAATAGATACTTTATAAAAAGTTTCTAATATTAAGATGAGTGGCACTCATCTTAATTGAGGCAAAGCAACGTTAGATAAGAAAGAGCTACAGTAGAAAATGTTATCAGACGATAATCGTTTATTCAAGTAACATTTTGAGTCCTTTATCACAAAAATTTGTATTTTAAAACAGAAACGGTAGGCTATGCCCAGGGCCCCCCTCTATTCAAAACTGAGATAAGGTTGGACAAATACTCGTCTTTTTAAAAACAGAAAAAAAAATGCTTGAAATCTTTGTCAATGCCAATGTCATAAGACTAGCCTGCGAGCAAGCTCTCCTATTTGGGCGAGTGAAGCGAGTCTCTCGAGAACGCCTAGGCCCCTCGCTCGCGCGTTCTCGCGAGGTTCACTTCGCTTGCCCAGATAGGAGACTACAGCTTGCTCGCAGGCTATCATAAGATAAGCAACAATTATGTATGAGAGAGAAATTAGGCGATAATCGGTAATTGAAAAAAATTTATTTTGGTTTGTTTTTACATGTTTCATTTATCAAGAAATCAGAAAAAATAGACGTTAAAACTCAGCCAAAAAAATTTATTTCCTCTTCACTTGACAAATAGATCTAGACTTTGATTAGAATTTCTAAACGTGAGGAAATTTGTTTAGTAGAATATTATTTCTTTTCCACACGAACACGTTTATCTTAATTGGCAAGATGACACATTTAACAAGCGGCAGAGTTTGCATTACTAATAAGTACCAAGCCCATTGAGTCAAAGATTTTTTTTTTTCGGTAAAAAATAATTAAACATTTATATTACTAATCAACCCTGTTTAATTTACACTCACTTTTAATTGTCCAGATAAACTTGCAGTTACAGACTCGGTAATCCCAAATAAACTTTACTTTCGATGGATAATCTTTCCAGACTAGTATGTTTAGGATAAATTCCTTTCGTCTCCATTATATTTAGTCCAATCGTAGCTGCCCAAAGATCACTATCCTAGAAAATAAATGTGTGACGTTAATTTCAAAGCATTATTTTGTCTCTAAAATTGAAACAGACTGAAACTTCTTTGTTTGTAAGAACGAAACAAATAACATCGTAAGGGTTTTATGACAGATTTACACACCGACATCACTACATAACTGTTCATTTTTCACTTAATATCAGCGCCGTAGCTAGTATGAGGCCAACCGAGGCACTCGCCTCGGTAAAATTTTGACGAATTTCGCCGATCATTTTTATTTTACATAAGCGATCATCGGATATTTTTAACGCATCATGATATTACAAAGAATTCAGCAATTCAGTCAATATACTATGAAAAAATTACCATATCATCGATCTCAAGGGGCTACGTACGTTAACCCAAATTTTTTTTGAACAAATACTGATCAAAACCATTGGCGAGGTTAACGGTCACCCAGATTATGTAGCTTGTTTCTGATTCTTGCTTTTTAAATTCCACTTAAATTAACTCGAAAAAAAGTTACCGAAAGGCCCAGAAAACGCTGCAAATCGCATTTCCGAGAGACTAAAGTTCAAAATTTCGGGGGGGGGGGGGGGGCATGCCCCCGAACCCCCCTAGCAACTCCCGCCTGCCTCGGTTGGCCGTTTGGTCTGGCTCCGGCACTGAATATATAACTTGTGCAAATTCCCTTCAACGTAATAAATTCTTTGTGGACTTACCGTTGTGTTTTTTAATCTACAATCCACCATTATTTTGATCAGAAATTATTTTGAAAAAAATTGATGTTTGTGCCGTGTTTTTAAACGAAAATTGAGCCCCTCAAGCGGTCAATGAATCATTTTTAAGCCACAGTTTTAACCGGTTTGCCGTCAAAGCGTTCTTTTTATATGCGTTTCTTTGAAATAAATTGAAAATTGAGGGTCTAGCCTCAAGCTAAATTGTTTCCGGCAATCAACAGCACTGTACCGACAAAAGGGGAAACGTTCCTCTTCGTACAGATAAAGGGAATGATTGCAGTTAAATCCATCCATCGCTGGTAATGTTTGCGTGAGAAAATACAACACTTGCGGTCCGGGCATAACACAAGCTGTGTAAGAGTTACAACGAAGTTACATCGTACTTACCTTGAACCAACGATCATGACGTAAATAAAGTGCAAACAGAAAAGTCCAAAACGACATCATGTTGCATTAAAGCGTTACATTAAAGCGTACGCTTACACAACAAAAGAAAGCCGGTGTCACTGTTGGATTGTTAAGCCTAAAAAAAGGATTTTCACTCCAAGGTCTCAGTCAGACAAAGGACTTGAGGGAGACTTTAAATAAACTTATGCGGCAGAGATGTAGAAATATTATATGGTTTTGAAATTTCAAAACAAGTGACTCAGGTCACGGTTCGGTGAGTTGAAAAAAGGACTACAGTCTTCCTTCTTCCATACTTCACTTCATAAATATATTGAGATAATATTAAGATAATCTATCTAAGAATGTTGTCAAACTGTATTTTAAAACGTTGGAGAATGTTCATTATCCTGGGCTAAAAGCTATTCTGTTTAACTTAACTTTTTATAATAAGTTCTTTGCCGTTGTAACCGTTTTTCCGATAAATCGCATCTAAAAACCGAACATAAAGTGCGAAAGAATGTCTTTAAATCATGACTTAATCCTTTTGCCGGCAACATATAAAATTGAAACTTAAAGAGAACAGTGTTCAAGAATTAAGAACATACTGCACAGGATTTCATAAACTTTAGCAGCACTCGTTTTAACAATAGGAAAGAGTATCTTTTAAATTAGGGAACTTGAATCCGTCAGTATGATGATGGTACAAGAGATGACAAAATAAACGCTGTATTTAGTCAGGGGCACCCAAAGACAATTTTTGGAAAATATCTGTTCGGAAGACGATTTGAGATCTAGAATTTTCGGAACATTTGTTGTTAAATTTCTTGCTTGCCCGCCTCTCCTAGGATTTTCGAACCCCCCAAAAATGGTATAATTGCCCATTTTTAACGGACTTTTACCCTAAAAAGGTCACCTAGAATTTTCGGGAGCCTTTTTTCTGGCTGAAATTTTCGAAAAGGTAAGTTTTGATCCCTATAATTTTCGGATCACTAGACTTTCAGCTAGGAAATCCGAAAAGATAAAAAATTTTTAGGGGATAAAATATGGCTATATCTACCGTTTAAATACTAAATTACGTTCAACAATGCTATGTTTAAGTGGTTTTGAAGTATATTCTCGTTGGGTGCCCCTGTTTAGTACCTTTTCATTCGTGATGTTTGATTCTTATGAAAACCTTTTTGGCAGAAATGACCGCGATGTCCTCTTCCTGTTAACCGTGATAACTAGTTCGTACTTCTACATCCTTTTCCGCCAAAACATGTAGGTGGATAGACAATCACGCGATTATTCCGTCAGTTCTACCGTGAGCCTAAATGACAGATTTATAAATTTTTCAGAACTAAAATACTGCCTACCTGTAGCGATGAACATTGTTAAAAGTGCGTCCATTAGATGAATTTTTAAAGCACGTTTGCTTCCTTTGAGGTGGCGTGCACGTGGGCGTAGCTTTTTTTATTATTTTTTCTTAATCCTTTTTGACGAAAATAACGATAATAAATTTAAGTGGTATCTAAAAAAACACATTATGGAAGACAATAATGATTTAACAATACTATATACTCGAAAACACACTGCGATACTTAAAGCTTACTTATTCTTTTATATTTCAAATAACACAACAGCGTGAATATATCATTTAATTGTCATAGCTCTTTTCCACTGTCCATCGTAGACGTGTTTTACCAGAACTAAACTCTTGTTTAGCCTATAACACCATCACTTCATTATTTGGAGACGCCATAAAATAACTTCAATCGATGTTCTATGCCTTAGTAAATGTCGCCCAAGAATTTGCTTATGTCTGTGATAAAAACAACAAAATCTGTGTATTGGTTAATTGTCTATTCCACACATGCACCGACTCTATGATCTAGAGGTTTCCTTTGGATTGTTAATGGAACTCACCGCATTAGTTTTCTAAAATGAAAAAATGAACCCTCCATGAAATTTTAAATTCGTGAAAATACCAAAATTCATTTTGTAAATCTACAAAGCCGGTATAATAATAAAAATAGGTAAAATTAATTCCAAAGAAAACTGCGAAAAACATATCTTCGAAACTTATCTTTATTGACCCTCAAAGTTAGCCAGTGACAGGATCTGGTCACGTAGTTCACAGCGAGGCCACAAAGTGAAGTCGGGTTCAGTTTCAAGGCTAGCTACTGTTGTTTCCTGAGTATGCTGTAAATTTACTCAACTTTTTGAAAGTCTACTAAGTGTACGTATCGTTGGCACCTTTGGCCAACAAAATTTGACTTGACCAGTAATAACAGCGCACGTTGCATTTACGACATTGTAAGCAAAAATAAAAACATGTCTCCACGGATATTTACAAATGACAGTGGAAGACCTATTAAGGAACCTTGGGGAATGTTTCCCACTAGTTTTCGACCAAAACAGGGTTCGTCGTCAGAGAAACCATTTTCCAGATTCCCCCCCCCCCCACCCCCACGACGTTGTTCACAAGGTCACCCTCCTCACCCGCTTCCGACCTCAGGACAGTCAGGGGAACTGAGCAGGGTTCTTTCTAGGGTATTTGAGCGGTAAAAGCTTTCCCCTCAAAAAAATGCCCAGCTTCCCCCAAAAAATATTGCTATCCTTACAGTATATAAGTTAACTATATCGGAAAAATCATCCAGACGCGACGAGGTCAGTGCACACACTGTAACATTTCTCAAAATTGTGTCTCAAAATGCACCAGATTGCATCTCAGCGCATATTCATCTAAAAAAATTTCCGGACCCCCTAGGAAGCTCCTGGCCTTCGGCCACTCGGGACTTCTCTCCCAAATGATAAATCCTAGATAGAACCCTGCTGAGTGAGCGCTGAGTTAGGTTGGTAGAACAAGGAACATATTCCGTAGGATAATGAACAGAAGTATAACAGACCAAGCAAACCTTTTCATTATAGTCAATTTGTGTCGCTTTTTATATAACCTGGTTACTTTTCATGAGTTTTGCATGGTTTCACTCAATGGTACAAACGTGACCTTTTTGCGTTCGAAGAACGCTTAGCCTACCTATTCTTCAAGGCGCGGTTACCAATTTCGTAGCGCGGCTACCGAACATGTAGAGCCATTTTCTGCCAGATTCTTCACATTCCTTTGGTTGGTCACATATTTGTGCCGTTTTCGTCGCAATATTGAATTTGTAATGTCATACATGTGTCATCGCCAAGCTATGACGTACTGCGCACGCTTGAATTCATTGCCAAAGGCAAAATCAACGACGATCTAGGCTGCTTCTCTTTTGATTTCGGTTACGGCTGGTAAGTTGTCGTGTACAATGTTTTTTAAAGGATTCGTGGCAACTTTTTGTCAAAGTCTCAGAACGTTTTGCATCACTCAGGCTAAGACGCGTAGAAACGACATCTTCGGCGTCGAGTTCCCCGGACGAAACTTGTCTCTGTCTGCAGTTCACTGCATTTCGTCGCCGTACAAATGTTTGAGCTGTCGCTGTTGTCATATTTACAGCAGTAAGCCGACCTTTTATTGTCTAAAACTAAAAGAATCGAGTAATCGTTCTTCTATGCAATTGTGCGTAACCCATTGTGGTTCATCAAAACCTCACACTGTCCGTATCACATTATTTTATTAGGAAATAATGTCACATTTGACAGTAAACCGAAAAAGGTTCGAAAGCACTTCCTAATCTGAGATTACTACTAGTTTATTACATAGTGGCTGATTTTCAAAATCAGGAACTTGCTAACCCCCTTTTATACAAACTTTTTTACACGAGTGACATCGTATATACAAATACTTATTCCCAGGTTTGCAAACCTAGATGCCTTCAGCTGGATGGTCCAGTTTCGTCAAATACAAATGATTTTCTCTATTTTTCTCTAGTCCGCCAAATAACAGGTCATATTTCCTTGCCCAAAATTTACCGCGTGGTCGACACGGAGCCAATTGAAAAAACAATTGGCTAAAAATTACCCATCTTCAAAATCAACCTTCAACATAAATTTAGTGCCGCGCAGAATAATCAAGGCTAGCCATTTCTTCAACAACAATATTTTTACCAGGAACCTATCATAGGCTCCTGTTTTTACTGATTTCACTTAATGAGAAAAGATAGCCTTCGCACTTTTTGACCGCCGTCAAGGGAGAGAACATTGCAAAAACAAAGTTAAGGCACCTAGTACTTGTTTTCATTTCACTAGGGGTATGTAAACGAAATACACAGACCAAATGAAAAAGAATAAAGTTCAGAGACGTTTGAGCTGGTGAAACCATTCTGAGGAAACGGCTGAAGTTTCAATGCGGCGGGTAGCATTTAAGCTCGCCCACCGTATTTTTCTTATATTTGGACCAGCTCCCTCTCTTTTTGTTGTGGTAAAAAACCTTTGTGCAGTTTTTGTCTACCGCAAGTACGTTAACATGCGGTACTGTTGGCGTGGGATCTAACCACGACGCGATAGATCGTATTCCTCCAGTTTCACAGCGTTTCTGGTTCATATAGTATTTAAAACCTGAAACAACAAAATAATAACAGCACTTGAATTGTTATTTTATTTTACAGTTTTATTTTCAGCAATCCAGCTCTATTTCAGTTTTTATCTGTAAATAAATTTCGGCAGGCAACGCGAAACGAAAAGTACGAAAAACGAAAATCCGCCATGTCATTTTAACGCAAACCTCGTAAGTCAGTCGCAGGCTTTTAAGTCTTGACAAAGACAAGATTTGTGTTTCAGTTTACTTAACGACAGAAGAACTATATGCTCTGCTATTAGTTGTCATTTACCTTAAAAGAAAAAAACTTAAACTAGTTGAAAAGTACATTAACAGGATTAAAGAAGTGGGAAATTAGACAGCTTTGAATATTATACCAATGGATTAAAATTCGGAGAAAAGGGCTGAAACATTTGTACGCTCTTGTGACTGCTGAAACGTTTTCCACTGAGCAAAGTCTTTTTTACTGTTATCAGTTTTCAGAAATTCCAGGATTGATTCCTACCCAAGCTGTTCCAGGGGTTCAGATTTTGTGAACCGCGCAAAGAGATGTGGGAAGGAAAACTGCGAGGGTGTGTGGGTAGGGAGTTTCCTCCTCTCTCCTTCTCCCTCTCTTCCTCCTTATTTTTTCTCCGCTCTCTGACTTTGCGCCGTACTCCACCATCTTAATAATGCCCAGAACATGCTAATGCATCTGCTGAATATATACCCTTGGCTATGCGGACAGCGATTACGCAAGAACTCTCGGGATTCATGTCGTACTGTGTGGAATTATATTCTTATTTTTTTTCTGAAAGTAATTACCTTTAGAATCATATTTGGTTTGATTAGGCCGTATTTCGTCGAAGTCCAAATTTAACTTCTTTTTAAGTACTTTCCACCTGAACTCCAACCCCCTCACTGGTATCCCTTCCTTTAAAAATAGAAAACAAGAAAATATTTCACTCAAAACAAAAGAGATGAAAGATGACAATACTATTATTCCATGCCAGGAGCCCATAATGGACGGGATTGTTTTCATGAGAACTAAAACACCGACTCGTAGAATCGATGTAGCCACTACATCCGGGAACCGAGCTGCGTATTTTAGGTTATGTAACGCGAGTGATCATATCGAGCAGCGTTGGACTTCACGATTTCCTCCTTTTAATCTCTGTATTTGAACTTTATTCGTTTGTGGTTCGGAATAATTGCGGCGGAGGGAAGATTCTTTGTGGTAACCGACTAAGGGGTGATGCATTCTTTAATAACAAAGAGGAAATGTCGAATGACCTGAAGATTTTCAGAGAATTTCTAGAAAAAGGCGACGAGAAAAAAAAAAGTAGCCAGTTCATATTCCGGTAGCAAACACAACTAACTCCTAACCAAGAAAATAGCTATGAAATCTGTGACTTTAATTAACGGCAAGGAAAAAGAGACCGAGTTGGATCTGGGTACTGGATACGACTGGCCATTTTTCTACACAGAATTCGCCTCTTTAGAAACGTCATGGAAACAAGGCTGAGATGACTGTTGCAAGGACTTCTGGGACTGTTAATAGGGACAGGCATGAAAAAAATTGGCCAATAGCTGACCGGCGCGTCCCCAGTAACTATCCCAGAAACAATTGCGGGACGCATTTCGGTTCCAGTTCCCTTTTTGTTTCTAAGTTAGCCAATGACGTCTTACTTCTGAGCCATCATCAGGATAATACTTGAAAGTAAAGTAATGGTTGCTTCCGATGCTTCCTTCTCTGCACTTCTTTTTAACGTAGGGAGAATTTGGTGGTAGCATCAATCCACAAACAAGCGACACTGCTACAAGAAAGAGGAAAATACCCAACAATTTCTTCCATAAACCTGAAAAAAATAAAAAATACGAGCAATATATCAGTATCAAACTCATCAAAAGAACAAAGAGGTTGTTAAACTGCAAAAAGAAAAACAGAGAAAAAGCATTCAGCACTATTTGAAAAACGGACTGATTATTAGTAGCCTAAGCTACTAAAAGACGCTTCTGCATGATTTCTAGATGATTTTCTTATTACGTGGATTTCAGTATCTACTTCATTCCAATAAGGTAAAATTGCCAGTAATCCAAGCTGTTCGTTTTAGATAACAAAATATTATTGAGTCTAAAAAGATGAATAGCTTTACGCCAGGTATATACAAGGAGTATATAAAATAATTGCTGCAGCTCGTCGCCGTAGTCGTGCACGAGACGTCAAAGAAATGTATTACTAGGAAAAGGGTGATACAGGTGCAGAGCTGTTGTTTTGCTCGACTCATAAAACCAATTGTTTTTTGGCATTGTCGTTGTTGTCGTCATTGTGGTTAATAGGGACTTTAAGATCCAGCGACGCGGACGGCAACGAGAACGTCAAAAAAAAGCTAAAGGTTTAATAAGCAAAACAACAACTTTGCACGTGCATCACGCTTTTTTTGTACATTTCTTTCCTGTTTTTAGTTTGCACAACTTCGACGTGAAAATGCCTAATTTCGCGTTTTAAGGTGGACGTAAACAATCAACGACGAAATTTTATTTCTCTTTCTGAGCTTGAATATGATAACTTGAAGTTCAGCTTCAGGAGGGTTCGCCTACATTTGACAAAGTAAGTGGGTAGGAATAATCGCTGTAAAGACTAAAAGAACGCAAATTCACTTTTTAAGTCCCTAAGTTACAGTACTGACCGGCGTTTTCGCCGTTACATACCTCTCCAGCCTCGCTGCATACTTGCGATCCTGTGACCGACATTATCAATATGCATCTCCATACTTTCCCTCACTTGGTTGATACACAGCTTTAGATGATCCAACTCTCTCAACCTGTCCTTAGCACTGACACTCAGTACCAGGGATACCAGACAGTCGACCTTGGATACTCCAGTGCTGGACGACTCACCCAGTGAGTAACCAAGCAGAGTCTGTCGGTGGTTTACTAGCAACACGAACACATAAATAAGCAATCCCTTTTCGTTAGTTATTCTCAGTATTCTAAGAATTTTGCTCCCAAAATCGTTCACAAGGCTTAGCTGGCAGATCCACCCAAGTCAAGCAATCTCATTTACTACTCTTATTTGAGGCCTAGCGGATTTAGTCTTCAGTTATATTCAATGAAACCTTGCGAAATCAAAGGCAAAGAATGTCTAAATACAACAAGCGAATAGGTAATAGCTTCGGTTGTCATTGGAGAGAGAAATTCTGTTGAAAAGTTTAGAAAAGGGGCTTTCTGCGAAGGCGCCGAGTAAGTAGTCGCCTCTACTAAGTTAACGTTTTCAGGTATGTAGCATTTTTTTGGTTCCTACAAAAAGTATTTCAAAAACTAGAAAACATTTGCTACCCATTTGTCACAATTCCTGTCGAGTGCCCAACATTTGAGTTCGAGTGCTTGGACGTTGAAAGTTTGGTTATGGAACAAATTAGGCGTCCCCTCGCGTGTCTCCCTCTCGCGCGCTCGTTCTCTCTGGCGCCCACTACTTCCAAGTGCCTGCTACACAGGCTACTGACTCCCTTTGTTCAGAGCTGTCGGAGAGTTGTGTAATCCTTACTTTGGAACTGTTTGTGTTGCAAGGCGTTGCAAATTTTTGTTGTTTATTGAATTTAAAATCCAGATAACATAGCCTGGTATTCGGTATCCTGCGAGCAAGCTCTTCAAGGCGCTCTGGCGGCGGGGCTGGAAAGGGAAGGAGAGCTTGCATCTACGTCTCTGTAATTTGAATATCTGCATCGAAAAAATCGATGCGAAATGCTGATTGGCGAAGATGACATTAGTAATGACGTCATTACCCTTGGTACGTATTTTTCAATGTTTGTTTACATTCGCGCTCGTTTCCGCTTAGCGCTTATTGGTGGAAATCTGACAGTTCAGTCGAGGGAGAGCCACTGGGGAACTGGAGGTGGAATTCAAAATTCCAAGAGACGTAGTAGCAAGTTCTCCTTCCTTTTCCCGCCCCGCCGCCAGAGCGTCCAGGAGAGCTCGCTCGCAGGCTAGGTATTCCGTAGTTTGAAAACCCATTTATCGTCGTTTTCGTTGCCGTCGCCGTTGTCGTTGCTTTGGCTCCCTAATTGGAATTCTCTGGTGGGTTGTGGTAGATAAGTCGAAGTGAGTACTAACAGTAACGGGGTGCAACAAGGAAGTGTGCCCTCTTTTGATACTGTACGAGAACCGTGACGATCCCACCAATTTAATCATCTTCAATCTTACTCGACTTTTCTCAGAGTTGCGCATCTGTGACATTGACAACAATAGTAAGACAAAACAATAGACCATAAATGAGGTAGTTACCGCGATGTCGCTGAGTTGTTGCCGTGCCTGGGAATTTGTCACTGGGACAGGTGTAAATACATTCGCCAGTTCTGACTTTGCCAACTACTTTGACCTCGATCTCTCCAATAATACACACAAGATCAGCATCTAAGAGGCAAAACAAGATACCTCAGATGGATATAAAAATACGCACTTTATTTGAGTGTCAATGTATTTAGCACAAAAGTACTAATTGAGGACACTATAGTTTCCGTCTCATACTGGAGACGGGACTGCCATTTTACGTGTTCATCCGAGCCACGTGAATGTCAAGCCGTTTACAGGGCAAAGGCAGTGTCTTAATTTCTAAGTTTTTGTAAGACCATGAGTATTGATCCGGCCCCGGGAATCGATCCTGAGACCTCCCGCTTTGCAGTAAAGCGCTCTAACGACTAGGCTAATCCCGTCGTGGATATTGTCCCTCCAGTTGGTAGAATTGGCCAGTAAATAATCAACGCTACCCAGGGTTAAAATCTTGACAGAGCATTTTGCATGTTACACTTTAATTTCTAATGACTCCTCCTCCACGTCTATCTGAAGAGTGAGGTTTGCTATCCCAGTTCTAGCATAACTAAATCATTAAATAAAGAATCGCAATATCCCTACCATTTCTTTCACTGTCGTTCCGTTCCGTGTTTCCTACCAAATAAGCAGATCGACTGATGACACCAGCCAATCTCGCGTCACCTGCGTTTTCACTTGTCAAAAGATCGATGACAGTTTCTCCCGTGGCGCTGACAAAGAACCCTACAACATCTCCTTCCTCAAACTCGCTTTCGTCATGTTTTCTCTTGATGTAGTAAGCAATGTCGTGGTTTTTCGTCCGTATCTGCTCACATTCGACAGTTTTGATCTTTGCAAACTCAGCTTCAAGCTGTTGGCACATTAGTCTGGAGTAGAGAGTATCTAGAGAGAATTAACCAACGACAGATGGATTACTAAGTGTGAAAAGGAACTGTGGCGCTGTATCCTTGAGAAAGAAATACCAAGCTTTTTAAACCGTTCTACGGAAATCGGTCAGATTTGTCATGATAAATATATTTTTAATAACAACAAAAAACTTTCCAAGTTGAAATCAAGAGATGAAATAATCCGCCGATTTGCAAGGCTTCATCCATGCAAAAGGGAACTGGCCAATGGCCAATGACTGGCTGAATGACTTAGAAATCCAAAATATTTCAAGGTGGAGCTTGCCCCCGGACCCCCCTAGAAGCTTGCGACTTCGACCCTTGTCTAGGAAATCGGTCAGTATTTTTCCTAGACCCGCGCCTGTTTTTGTTTGTTAGTTTGCCTGTCTGTTTTCTCCCATCTGAGATGTATGAAGGTGAATCGTCAACCACCGTTTGGAGACGCAAAAGACGAAATTTTGGGCGCTTATTCAAGGTAAATCTTGAGGTCTGTTTTTCAGTGAAGCTTAAGTAACTCTAACCTGTGCTAGAAAAGAAAAAACTGCATAATTAATTAAAAGCTGTTATAAAAAATCAACGCCAGACATAGGGAAGGTGGCTTATCGTTCTGCGTAGTAGTCGTGAATTTCTCAGAGAGACATCCTGCATTGAATTTTGAGGAAAAAATTGGGCTTTATCTCAGTTTCACTGTATTTAGCAGGATATACTATTTTGACGAATGATCGCTGTTTTTACAATTCCCTTGCTAGAGACTGGACTACCATTTCTAAGTTCTGCCAAAAGTGAGTGTCTAGCCTAGAAAGCAGTACCTTTGGTTCAGTCCCGTTCATAATCTTAATCAGTGACCTCCCTTTCTTGAAGACCATCGCCCTTCTAAATGACAGTTACGGTTAAACGTAAAAATCGAGAACTCGTGCAAAAGATAAATCTGGAAAGTAAAGGCGACGAACTTTTACTCGGGTCGTTCGCCTCGCATCTTATGCCTACAACCATTACGCTAACTAGCAAAATCTCGTGGACACTGACTCAAGGTCGGTGCTATACCTTTTTTGTGTAGAACCGAGTCCTCCCTTTTACTTAAAAGGGCCACTCGTCTCGCTCTTACGGGATTTGTATTCTCTTATAGCTAACTGCAATTGTCCAGGACTCCAATACCTTCCCTCTTAAAGGACACGTTTACTTAGATTTCTTGATATTTTTTTCTCAACAAATCGATATTTTGACTGATGTGATTTAATACCTGATGGAACTTGCTGTGATGGTCCTGCTGATAAAGGGCGAGATGCAGAGGTACTTGGGTTGGGTGTGGTCGCTGCTTTCAAAAAGAAGGAGGCAAAGCATTCAAACGTTAGTAAATAACACCCGTGGTAGTATAGTTTCCTTAGCCTAAGGTGCATGAATTGGGGTACACGTGAATTCAGAATCATAATATGATATAATTAACGTATTGACTTCGTCATTCTAGCACTTTTTACTCACTTCTCCCCGTCTTGCTACTCTTGAGAACAAATTCATATGGGTACAGAACCACGGAAGATCCACCGGCAAACTGAAGGTAAACCTTGAGTTGGAATCGATTATACTCCGTGCCTTTGGATTTCTCTAGCTTGTAGACTTCTTTGTTGTCTGGCGTCTTGTACACGCAGTCCAGATCGAACTTGCAAATGTACGTGAAGAGTTCCAGTGTTAAATCGCTCCCTAAAAGATGATTTTAAGTTACTGATAACTTTAACATGCATACACATAGTTTACATACACTGTTTACAGGTAGCCATTACGACACATTCAAAGGAGAATCATGAGGTTTTAGTCCCTATAATAAGATCTTCAACGTTCAAATATGGTATTCTCAAACAGTTTCTGAAGATCAGTCCAACACCGCCCCATTTTAATGAGCCAGAAACTGATATAAATAGTTGGACATGAATTATCCCGATCGTTTGTTAGGTAAAAGTAAAGGTAAAGGCGCACCCGAGCTAAAGGCCCAAACGGCCGGAGCTTATTCCGGTTTCATTTGCATGAAGACCTTAGAGTAATGCTACTCCCCCCAGGACAGGATGCTACTCCATCGCAGGGTTACCCGCCAGCAGTATATCGCCGGTACCCATTTATAAAGCTAGGTGAAGAGAGACGAAGTGGAGTAAAGTTCCTTGTCTATTGAAACAACGGGATGGGCGAGGCTTAAACCCCGGACCTCCGAATCCGGCCACACACGCCTCTATCGTTTGTAAGGGATGACATGATTTAGCGGAAATGGAGCTCTTTTTTGTTCAAACAGACAACCTGTTCAAGACGCTTAATGACCTTTAAAGTGTAATTTTATACCCTTTTAAAAGTTCGTGGCTCCTGACCCTGTTTAGACTCAAGTCACCCTGAAAGCCATACCCTGTTCAACGACACATACCCTCTTAGGCCAAATAAGGGAGAACCTCACTCGGGATAAATCTCAACAGAAAAATGTAACCAAAAACTGATAGAAAACCAGCGGTGAATAAACTCACTGGATAGTTGCTTAGTCTGTAGCTTGGGAAGTCTTGTTGGTCCCACTCCGTATGCGCTGGGATCTTTCTGTGTAAGCTTTTTCTCAGCCTCGAGCTCACGCTGCACGTACACCTCCAGGTGTATTAACTGCAGACAGGTTTTTATTCTCATTTCAACCTTTGAAAATACAAGAAAACAGCAACAACATCAACTAGACTCGTTCCTCTCTAGTTTGGAGCCTATTAAAATATCGATGACGTCGCCTATCAAGCTGATTAGGAAAGATCACGCTCTTTTCTCTCTTGACTTATAATACTGATGCTGCGCTGTGACTTTCGAATCCAATCTTCCTTCTTTTCAAGGGCTTGTCAGGTTTTGATTGACTTATGTATCAAAAGCCCCATTTTGTGAGTTTGCTTACTTACTAAGGAATAGTCAGCCCTTACCGTTCCATTTTGTATCCTCTGTTCTGAATATTTTCCCCTGGGTCCGTGTTTTTTCTGTATCTTGTCGTATTCATCCTTTGGATTAACGATCTCTATGCTCGCTTGACTGCACTGGGCAGAGATGACCTTAGGACGCTGCGACGCAAACCTTGAGGCTGCGCCATGCCCATGAACAGGAGCACTGGGGCTTAGGGAATTCACTCTGTCCCACAGAGGGGTCTGGGAGGACGGCAATGCCATAATCGAGGTAGTAGGGTCTGGACTTTGAACGAGGAGAGAAGTACAATCGAAGTTGCTCTCTTGATGGCTGCTCGTATTTGCATCAGTTTGGGCTCCACTTGGAGATGGTGTAGTTGCACTTGTAACGCTGTCTGGAGGCGTATAACAGAGAGGAGGCCGCAACATCGGCTGCTGCTCACTACTTGGTGGACCAGTAGTGTGTTCATCAAAGGTTCCACCGACTGTTAGACCTTGCAGATAGCCCGCGGTTGGCGAGTAAGACATGCAAGGATCCATAGGATGGGTGGAAGAACCTGCAATAGAAGACATTCACCAGTTGAGAGGAATTCACTCAGTCAAATTTCATTGAATGCACCACCTGAGCGACTTAAACTTTCACATTTTGTCCATTCGGTAAAAAATGCTCATTATTGAGCGACTGACCTATCTGGTAAATAAATAAATAAATAAATAAATAATTTTGGTGGTGCGGATAGGCCGAAGAAGACTATAATCACGATCTCTTGCTATTGCCTCCAAGAAATCCTATAGTGCGTAATCTTTCTGTAATCAGAAGAGCACATTTACAACCCAATCATTATACTTACATACGTAGGCCTCATTCGCTTAAAACTAATCATTTTTAAGTTAAAACTGAATTCCCTAATGGATAGCTTTTAGCTGCAACAAAATTATCTGTGAGTTTTATACAGCCTTATGCTTAACGCCGTTTATCACGGGGCCGATGAAGTCAGATTAGACTTAAGTCCTTAATAAACCAAGTAACCAAGACGATAGTTATCGTTTAAAAAGAAACAAAAAACAAAAACAAAGGACGTGTAGGTTACCTAATGCGGCAGTCTCCATCATTTCTCTTACAATCCCCTCAGGATCTGCCCAATGAGGGTACTGTGGGGTACCCTGCTGATTGTTCCACATTTCAGTTCGCCTGGTGGGTCAAGTAAGAAGGGAGGAAGTTAGGAAGGAAGAAGGGAGGGAGTGAGAGAGACAGAATGATGTATGGCAAGAAAGATGAAGTAATGAGTTAGTAAGTTAATAAGTGATGACATGCCTAGGAGGTAATCGGCAAGACCAAGAAGAAATGTGAATATAAACTGTATACCACCTTTGGTTCAATTTGGCCGGAAATAATTAGCCTGTGTATAGATCCTCCTTCCCTCCCCTCTGGAAAAATCGGAGAGCGGGATTTTTCTGATTTTTCCTGAGGGGAGGGGAGGTCTCTACATAGGCTGGAAATAATGAGCTCTCTATCCCTTGGCACTCTCAAAAAAGTTCCTTCTCTGCAGACTAGCTAGGTTATTATTAACTCAGTCAGACGGTTATTCTTTCCGGCCATGACAGAGAGTTCAGTATAGTACTTTGAATTTTTCAGTTTTTGGGTATAAAAGAAAAGAAAGCAAGTCTGAGACTTCGGATGTTACAATGATGTTAGTTGTGAATGCTCAGGATTAAGAAGTTGTCTGATTTAGACAATCATGCATGCGCAGAGAGTCAGCTAAACTTAGCTAATAATGATTGATCACTCGAAGGAAATGGGTCGCGAATCGGTCATTTTAGCCTAACTGAACTGGCTGTTTTAGAAGGCTAGAAAGTTAGATAAATGTGAGTCTGCCGATGAGTTTAAAGCTACGATACTCAACTGACAGATTTACTACGCATTGACTTCGCTGTTCCATTTGCTGGTCCACTTACGATACTGTATGATGTACTCAAGGTTCTATGCACGGGTGGTTTTTGTCGTTGATAATTTTTAAAATGTAGTTTTGATAATCGTGTCAGACCTTAACGCTTGCAAGAGATCAAGCCCTTTGACGACTTCGTAAGAGACTGATGTGAGAGGAAACTTAAACCTATTTAGCGCCGAGTTGAAGCAAAGGAAACTAAAAGCTTGCGTAGTTTGCTCTTTTTTCTCGAAAAAAAAAATCGATTTTTTTAGCATGCCTACGCATCTTGCTTTTAAGTTACATAATGAACAACAGCTTTAAGACATTCGTAGACTCCTGAAACGTTTTAATAAACCACTGCCCAAGTTTGCCTAGCGTTCTGAACAGGAACTCACTACTTGGCGCTCGTCAAACCAAAACTGATCGTCTGAATTGAAGATTTATAATAATAATATTAATTCAAAGGAAGTTCAATTTGGCATTATTGTGTAACGGCGGATAAAAGATCCTTTCGTTTGATTTGAGGTTCTCGGTTTTTAGCCGTTCTTTCGTTTGGTTGTAGACAAGTCTCAGAATTTCAGAGCAGTCAGAAATCGAAAGCTCGTGCGTGAGAGGAAGCATGTGTCTATCCAGGCGGTGCAAGATGCAGTTTGTGTATTTTAGAATATGAAGCGAGATTTAGCGTGAACTTACCCGTTCGTTCAACCTTTCAACTGTGAATTTTTAGTCTCCGTTCGACACACTGTTGGGAAAATAAGCAGGATTGCATCCTTTGGAAATTTCCCAAGTCAAACGTCATGCATGCGTTATCCTGCAGTGTTTCAACCTTTTCAAATACTAACATATTTCACTTTCTAGAGTTGAATTTGTTCCAATTGACCTCCCCCACGGGAAAGTACCCAAACTATTAAATGGTTCCTAACCTGTTTTGTGACATCATTGCTGCATCACTTTCCTTGCGTTCCATGCCTTGATGGTTTTCCAGTTTCTAAAGGAAATGATCGCTTCTATGATTCACTTAACGGGAATGAAACAAATACTTGGTGCAGTAAAATTAAATCACAAGAGGTTTACAGAGCTATTAATATGTTGAACTTAAGCGGAATTTCATTTACAAAGCCAATACTTTCTCTTCAATAATTCCGTTTTCTACGTCATCAGTTAGTTCCTCTTGACTGCGATATTAGCATACCCGGTCCTCAACTGGAAAACAGGAAGGCGGAGAACACGTGAGACTAAACACTCTAGTAAAGATCAAGGAAGTATTGATCGTTATAAAAATCTGAACTATCATGACAGTCATTCTATCATGCAAGTATTTGCCAGTGGAGAATTAGGTGTTCAAGCATGTAGCAGTGCAGTTTTGATTTTAAGGACAATACAATTTCAAGCGAACTGGCTTAAATTTTTGGACAGGATAAACATCTTAAATGATCGCTGACTTTATGTCACTGGTCTGTTCGATATGTTACTATTTTAATATGTACTCATTTTATATGAGAACAAAGGTTACCACGAACCCGCGAAATATTAATTTAGACGACCTGAAAACAGGGCAATATCTCTTTTAGTCTTTTAGCAGCCTTTTGATACAAAGGGTTAAAATTTTTCATTCAAAAAGAGAAAAGGATTATCTGCCTCCAAAAAAACAAACACTTTCGAAACAAAGAAAAATAATTCGCTCCGTCCTGCTATAAATAGCCCTAGTGCGACACAAGCATATGCTCTAGTAAAATGACAAGTGTGACACCAATGGGCATCAACAGATCACTAGGAAGTTTGTCTTGTTTGTGACCTTGAAGTATTGAAATATATGATGCAGTTTTCTTTTGGCTTCACGTAAGTATTTGACTATTAAGGTTGAAATGAACAGAAATCTTTTTTCGGCTTAAGTCGACTGTGAGCTATGATGAGAGTCAATGTTTGCCGTGTGGAAAATTCTAACAGATTTCGTTCATTCAATAGTTTTAAGTTTTTCTTTCATTTTTGGTGGCTTTTCATACATTAAAGAGAAATGATTGAAGGTAAGCCAAAAACTGGTAGGAAAGCTGTTGGTTCTGAAGTCGAATGTCACTAATGGAGTTCCCGACTTTGAAAACTGCTTGGTCAAGGGAAAAATTCCCTCCCCCTTAACTGATACACCGTATCATGTCTTAATATGTACGAGTTTGGTTACTTCGAACGATTTTTTCTACAGTTGATTTTGGTTCTCAATCAAAAGAGTAAGGCCATGGTCAAAAGTCAAACTCTTCATGAGGCGAACTGAGCTGGGCGGATTAAATTCATAAAAACTTCAACTCAGTCTGTCTCAAGTTAAGCCAGTCTGTTGAGTTTGGATCGACCAACATGTTCAGTCTCACTTTAGAAATGTGCGTCTGATTGGTTCGAAGCTTCCATTGGTTCGACGTCTGATCCGACAGACGAACTTAATTTAATTTAGGTCTACCAAAAGTATAATTACATTCGTCTCATGAAACGTTTGACGTTTGGCCTTGGCCCAAATTCAAACGTTCTAATATCACACTATCTCAGATCCTAGATATGACTGTAGAAGCACTGGTTGGAAATGTCCAACTAGAGTGAATGGGTAATGGGTAATGGGTAATGTACTTTTAAGTTATGGCTCTAAAACTCTCGAAAGCGAAGACCAGCGAATGGACCTAGTTTTAATAACAGTTGGACATCATTTTCTGACGATCCAAAAGTCCATACGAGTTTTTGACAAAATAATATCAGTGTCCAGTATTCACCATTTGCGTATTTCCAATCTTGTCTCATTTTGTTTGCCCACAAAATTTGCATAGCCTTGGTTTTTAATTTCCCCCGGTTATAACAGTTGTCACAAGAGAAGTTGAAGACAGTGCTCCTGCAAACGTTTGGGGGGGGGGGGGGAAAATGGGGGGGGGGGGGGGGTAAACAAGGCGAATTATGGGGAATGTGAAGATGGCGAATACGAACTTGACAAGCTGATATTATTCAGTGTTCGCCATTTGCGCATCTCACATCATACACGGACTTATCTGCCCCAAAAGTTTGCACAACTATTTTTTTTATTATTTCAAATGGGGAAGAGAAATTGAAGGAACATGTTTATGCAAAATTTTGTGGGCAACGAGGTTTATTAAGTGACATACGCAATTTTTGAGCTCAGAACTGAATCCTATGGAGCTGATCCCAATTTTACACATGTATGTAATTTACTTTTTTCTTATTTTTCTTACTGAATTGATCGTGCTAAAAGCTCGCTCGTTGGTCTTGAAATACGTACTGTAGTTGTAAAAACTCCAATTACCTTCATGAAGAAGGATGTCACTCAGCCCAAACTATAGAGCCACACCTTGGTGATTTGAACAGTCCCTCTTATTACTTTTGTGGCTCAATGCAAGGTCGTTTGGGGAGAAGAAAGCTAGCGGCTGTTTACATAGAGAGAGGAAGATCCTGGCACCAGGAAGATCCTACAAGGCGGATCATCCCAGTATTCAGTTTTCATACAAAGGGTTGTACTTGTCCCTATCAATAGGAACTTCCTACTACTAGGATCTTCCTAGCTGAGATGTAGGAACTTCCTAGCACCAGAGGGACATCCTAGCACTCACCTTCGCTAGGAAGATCTTATAGTAGACTAGGGACAAACCACACAACAATAGCGGCGGGTCGTTCCGTGGATCATCACGTGGCAATAAGGGACAACAATTTCGTTTGGGGTTACCAGTTGTAAAGAACTACCAGTTCCTACTGAAAGGAGTAGTAACGAGGGCAGAAAGGCCTAAACTGCACGGTTTGTTATTGTCGCCCGCCATAATTCCCGCTCTACTTTGTATCACCACACGGAACAATGTTTCTACATGTAAACCCCCCAAAAAAGTTGTTCCGCCTTTTGATATCTTTCTCCCTTCATGTAAACAGCCACCCAGAACAGGGGCACCCAACGACCAAATGTTTCCAAATACACTAGAAGTGTCTCAGATGGTTTTCTCTATGCTTTAGAAGCCTGTTTGATTAATTTAGAGTTAGGCTAAAAACTATTTATCTGTTCGGATGTCTGAGGGGAACTTTGGTTGTCACGAAAGTCTTAGGTGGCGTTTTCGTCTCATCCGAAAGTATTAGCTACCCTTCCGGGTCCGGTCGAAAGCTTGAGGACATGAAGTAACCTTGCTTTCATTAGAAAATTATAGGGGACGTTTTTTCTTTATACCGAAATTTTTAGGAGACCTTTTTTAACAATAATCGCAATATCTTGGTATTAAAATGTGAATAACACGAGCTAAGAAAATCGTAGATAAGCTATTAGAAAACCTCCGAAGATTTTAGACGAATGGAACGGTCATTCAGAAATTTTTAGCTATTCTTAACCTTTAGAAATTTCTAGGTAACATTCGCTCCTTTGAACAGTTATTTTAATGAGAAAAAAGTCGCTGGGTGCCCCTGTTAGAATCCAGGATCTGGGTGTAAATCAGTTATTTTCGGACATCAGCGTGTTTAATATTTTGCAACATCTGCTATATACAGTACGTCTTACGCGCTCGAGCACGATCAGCTGTCGTGTCCCTTGACAATAGTATAAAAGACTTTCAAGCAGTTTATTTATACATTTTACATTGAGCCAGATATCTAAATTAAAAGCCAAAATTTGACACAATTAAAATGGAAAATGAAGAAAAGTTTTTAAAAAAGTACGTACGACGATACTGGCCATATCGGCCTACATTATGTGTAGTATAAGTGTCAATACCACTAAACTTTTGTACAAAAAAACGTGACTGAATTGAGAGGAAGAGAAAATAAAAGATACGGACGCAAAGATTAATCACGTTTGGAAACCAAGTGATACGAAGATTTTTTTAAAGTAAAATTTACAATTTCACCATTTAAAACCAAAACAAACCATCACGATAAACTGATCCAAAATAGAAGCATTAAAAATAAGTTAGACCACAAGCGAAAGGAAGAAGACATTTCTGCAGCGTTAAGTTAGGCAACCGTACAATAATTGTCTGTTGCTGTGTCAGGGCGAACAGCCGACCACCAGATCGGGACGGCGGAATGAAGCGAGAGTGCAACAGTGTAGTTCTGCTGAAACTCTCACCTAATCCCCAACCCTCTTCCCCCTCGGGAAATGAGCTGAAGATGTGACTGGCGAGGAATGCGACGAGGCACAGGATTAACAAATAATCAAATAACCATACCTTTTATTCTAGGCATAAATATCCAGCGTCTAGGTACCATTCAAAACTTGACAAAACTACTTCAGTTCTTCAGTGTCTATGAGAAAGGTTGCAGAACAAGCCCTTTTCACTTGGTAACTAATAGGAGCACAACATAGGCTTCCAAAATTAAGTTCAAGGCAATCAAATTAAATCGGTTTAATACCGTGATATCTTTACTCCTGAGCACAATACTGGTTCTTATTTACTTTATTTATTGCCACAATATTGTCGTTAATTGCCGTTTCAGCAGCCAACGTATTTTCGCTTTAATACGTAATAGACTGTATTGCTCAACTAAAGTGTAGGCTTAGAAGGTTCTTGATAGAATGCCTATAAGGGTTAAACAAAGTATTATTTAATGCCCTTCCTTAATTTTCTTGATTTGGCATTTATTTTGTAATTATTATTTAAAATTTTCCTCGTGGATCATAATTATATATTTCTTCAAGATATTAAAGATATAAATATCCCTGTTTCCATGATCTCAGTAGCCGGATATTGACCAATAAAACCGAGCTACTTACACTTAAATTGTGCCTGAGAATATCATCGACACGGCACTCCAAGCAGTTCCGCGGTTTCGGCTACCAAAGATTCTGGCACAAATCTAGAACAATTAGCACAACACGTGGGGAGACTTTTGGTAGTTTGGTTTGGTACCGCAACTGCTCTTCTTCTTGTTGTTTTTGTTGTTGCTGCTGTTTATATTTTTGCAAAATGATGGCATATATATTGCTCTTGTCCCTGTATAGTTATAACCTTATTAAAACTCTACGCTTGGATTTGGACGAAGTCCACTCGAGTCCTTTTAATATAAAATCAAACAACTATACATACTTATGGCTTCCGTCCAAGTGTGAATGATATGGACTATACTATCTCATGAGCGGATGTTTTCGAAAACGACCTCCATAGAGAAGAAGTTTGTCGACGATGAATATCGCTTTTGCTTTGACAACAGTTAATGCCCGACACTGTAACTGGGATTGAATTTGTAGCGATAATACGAGCTGCCCGGGCCAGTGGGGTACTCAACAAAGTTTTATATGGGGAGGCTCGCCCCGTGGTCCAACCCCTTGCCCTTTTACATACCATTTCTGGGGAAAAGGGTAGCCCTTTTGGGCTTTTTACAGACCGAAATGACAGATTTCCCTGCCATTTCATATACTTCAACTAGTGAAACCCTAACCTTTCATGTACCTGAAGACTGAAAGTGGTATCCCTTTCGTGAAGGCCCGTATAGGCAGTTGTAGGGAGGAACCCCCTCCCCCGCGGGGACAAATGAACCCCCGTTTAAAAACGACATGGAAGCTATTCGGAAAATTGGAATGAAACCTCTAAAAGAGGCTAATCTGCACGTGGCTCAGGCTTTGTAAGGAGATCTTACTCCTGACACAGTATGCTATAGTTTGTAATGTCTCGACGCACAACAGAGTAAAGATCTTGGCTTTGGAGAGCTACGTGTGAAACCAAAACCTCTGATCTGGTTTGCATCGGATATGAACATTTTGACCTAATCTGAATGGAAATGAGCTGAGGGTGCAAAATAAGTTACAACAAAGGCGCCCGGCTGAACGACTGTTCCCTATCTTCAACTAGCATGGTGTTCATCAGTATCGCAGTCTTTATGCCATCTGGAATAAAGTTATCGTGAACGATTACGGGCCTTTTTAATGCTGTCTTGTGACTTCTTGATTTCAGTAGTTGGTCATAGCATAAATGCAAACGCAATACAAACGCAACTGAATTTGGTAGAAACTGAGACTTTTCAAGTTCGAGCACACATAAAGCAATTAAGATGCAACGGTTAACTCCATAGTCCATAGTTCCAAGATTTAGAAATGCTACCAGTCAGTGAGTACTCAGCGAAACACTGGCAATTACTTTTTTTAATTTTTCAAAAACTGTCCTGACACCCTGCTTGTTTGCATCGGTTATTGTAGCAATGCAGTACATAGTACAGTTGTCATGAAATCACGTTTTTCGTTCGCCCACACCCTTACAAATATTAGGCGCTGGAGATATATGTAAACGGGTATTCTACGGGATCGAAGAAAGAAGTGTTCTTTTAAACCCTCAAGTCGAAGTAGTTTATGAAATTCATTTATTCGCTTTCAAACATACAGAATTTAAGACGACAAGATCGCTTTAACCTCGCCAAAGAATAGGGAATTGGAAAAAAAAGTCACCCCATCTATAGCTTTCAGTTTAGTTAGATATCAAGCTTAGTTAGAAATCGGCAATAGTTCATGATCACGTAAAAGATCTTCAGAGAAGTACTTAGTATAATCTACTTTGTTAAGTAGATCAATTGAAAAAAATTACTAACAGCTCTATGAGTAATACCAACTTACCTGCTAATTCCCCTTCCTCATCTAAGTGTAAGCTGTGATACCCCGATGAATTACACATAAGGAGGTACAGAACCCGTCACACACAGTAACGCTAAAATATTTTTGATGAAGGTCATGAGATAAGGGATTGGGAAAAAACAGATTAGCAATAAAACACGACTGTTTTCTATTCCACTACTTATTTTAGAGTCTTTGAAAATTCTATAGCTTGAAACACGTTTTCTTTTTTAAGGTGAAGAATGAGAATATTGCTTTTAGAATAAAATTATCATTGTTAAAGCCAACATTATAGTTGTGGCTAAAAATACTGTTTGTGTAGCTGATACGCGGCAAAAGAAGAACTGGAGGGGTGCAATATTGCTACTATAAATAAAGTAGGTTTATTTGGCATGTTATATAACCGTTAAAACCGGAAACTCATTTTCATAATGTCACTGCCTAAATGATTGCTGAGTACAGCAATCTTGTTTAAATCGTCTGTGATGTAAACAGGCTCTTACATGACGTCACGTCCGCCATATTGTATCCCAAAACAATACGACGGCGGCAATGTTAATGTTGGCGTCCTAAATGACCTAAATCAATCCCTTAGACTTACGTGGGAGTTGAACCTTTCTATTACATAAGCAGTTTCTTCCGTACCATTACATTTGCCAAGCTGCTGGCCACGTGAGTTAAAACGATCTATTCGGCGAGATTGGCGCCTACAAAGTCGAGCGCGGCCCAGAGGGGAGCTGGTCACGTGGGGACGGGGAACATCACGTGACTCCGATCCGAGCGGCTGCGAAGGAAACTAGAGGAGAGTTTTTAAATTCCTAGACTGCAAAACAGTCCGTATTTTTACGTTAAACATAAGGTGTGGAACGAGGCGGAAAATAGAGAGCGAGACTGGGGAGAGACGCTAAAAATACGTTTTTTTTCCTATCGCCTCACACGCCCACCTCGCGCTTCGCGCGCATAAGACTCTTACGCCAAGCTTTACCGATTTCTTTACTGATTTTGAGAAGAAAAAAAAAACGACTGTTTTGCAGTCTATTCAATTCCCAAACACGCTCGCAAGTTATAGAAAGTTTACAGACGCTGATGTGACAAACACAAAGCACGCAAAATATAAGCCAGCAAATGATACCTTAATATTGCACACACCACAACATTTTATACACTTTACTCACACTCTAACTTTATCCTTGACATGTTCAAATTCAGTTCCATTATTTGAAGGAACTCTTAAAACAAAGTACATGTTACAATAGCCATTTTAACTGAGGTTAGCATTAGGTAACATCGGCTGAAGTCAGATTGTTTCTTTGAGTAAAATTACATGAAGAACGACTTAAGTCCAACTTTACTGTGTAATATAAAATGAAATAGAAAAAATCCACTGTCATGCTTTGAACTCGGGTCACCTGCTTTATAGCCTACATCCATATCCACTACACATCGAGGACTAGCTGCCAAATCCAATAATTTTTAAAATATACATGTTCTTATATATGCCGCACCCCATTACAATATTTGAAAGCTAACCGTTTTCAGTTCAGTGCTTAACCCTAATCACTGCAGATCAGTACTTAACTCTCTACTGTGTTCTCTCTATAACTGGCGCTCTGTAGTTTTGGTTTCTTCAGCTATTCTAGCCTCATTCTACATTCCAGTCTCGTGCCATTATGGAAATAATGCATTGTGTAAAATTCACAAGGTGTCCAATCTGGCTTCACTCGATGTTATCTAACGCTAACCTTTAACTGATATCTCCAGGACTATAGCCTGGGCACAGCTACCGCCTCCCCTCAAAAACTCGGAGAAATGGGTGGTTTCCCTTCTCTCCCCGATTTCTTTTTAGGGGAGGGGGGAGGGGGCAGCTGTACACAGGCTATCGGGACCACAACGAAAAAAATGCTCCATATTATGACAGTCTGTTCTCTTTTTACAATACATGTACTTCGACGTTTAAAATTATTTAGTTACGTTGTGACCATTTCACTGTCGGTGGGTTGGCCAATACGTGAGATCTATTGGTCCTTTCAAGTGGAGTTTTCATGCTATCTTTCCTCGGCAAGGGCCTCGGTACTAGCGGGCTTTTCCGATAAATGCTTGTTCAGTCCTCGTCTGTTGCGGGCGATCTCGACTGCGTAGAACTGGATCCTTGTAACTACAAATTAAAAGGTTAGAAGAAATTAATATCGTACCCTTTCACTTCCGTATATAATCACAGAGACAAGAAATTCTGATGTTAGAGCTGTGCACAATACCCTGTGGTGTCACCATTGAAATAAAACCTCTTTGAAAGGCCATTCACATGGTGCAATTAGGTTGAGGAAACAGCCGACATCATCGACGACACCTCTAGTTTCCCGCGAAATGACGTCTGAGAAACGAGCCACGAAATTCCATACTGATGACGTGTCCCTTCAAAGATCTGGGTAGCGCTTCTGATTGGAAGAAGCAAATTTTCAACCAATCAGAAGCACTAACAGGTCTGAGTATCGTTCCTCGGACGTCATTTTGCGAGGAAACCACAGGTGGCGTCGCTAAATGTCAGCTGTTTTCTCAAGCTAATGGTGCAATTGATTGAGTAGTATTAATAGTTCTATCGTTTGATAGTCTATAGACAAAACCTTGTCGTATTTCCATTCAAATGAAACCTTTGGCAGTACTTTCAGCTGGTACTGTTTGTAATCAGTATTTGTTAAGAATGAAATTTGCAATTTTTCTTTGAGTCACTTGGCAATCTTGGGATTGGGAGGGCAGTAGTGCTCTTCAGTCGTTGTCCACTAGCATGTTTTCGACTTAAATCTAAACTTGTAAGTATCAGCCATTTTGTGGTTTTGCGTAAGACTGGGTCAGTTTTGTATCGAATTGCTCCTTAGGGGTTTTTCGGTGACGCAAACGCTTGCAGGGGAAAACTGGGTTAAAAATCGTCCCCCAAACCAGTCCCATCCTACACACTACCAACCCAAATCACACGCAACCTTAAGACGGCTAATTAAAAGATCATTACTCACCTAAGATGGTATTTTCTTCATCATAGCCTTTATTACAATCAATTCTGAAAAGAAATACCGAAATCAAGAAGAGGAAGACATCAGGGAAGCTAATATTACTATTACTAAGGTGGCTCTCGACCCAAGAACAGGGCGCTTGAATCCTTCGTGCAGAAAGTAGATTTGTGCAAAAAAATATCTTCTGCTACTATTAAAATAAACCGAGACACTTATTCTAAAAAGAGAAGTTAAAAAACCAGTGCAGAGTATCATAAGTGAATATGCTGTTTTCAAGTCAAGAAAGAAGGCATAAAACTTGCCATGATTGAAAGTGATGCGTCCAAAGCAAGCTAAGATATAGCTCTTGAAAGTCGTGTAATTATTTTACATCCCTTTGCAAAATTTCACGACATTGCTGAGCTACATCTTCAGTAGCTTTCAACAAATCACTTCCAAACTAGGCAACTTTAGGCCCGGTTCAGACGCCGAACTTTTCATGAGCCGAACCTAATACATTGAATTAAGTACATGAAAAGTTCGGCGTCTGAATCAATTAGGAACGCCTGTTTCAATTTGGAACTGCTCAGCCGTTCTTTTCGCCTGGCCTGGCCAGGAATTTCGCCTTTGGAGCGACTTTGGAACGGCTTTGATTCAGACGCCGAACTTTTCATGTACCGAACCTAATGCATAAATTATTATAACGTATTTTGTAAGCAGTTTGACCGAAATGAGCATTTTTCGCCTTTTGAACTTAGTTCACCTCCAATTAAGATCGACTTCTGAATCAATTCAGTCGGTCTATATAATTTGGGTCGGCCTTAATTCGAATTAGGTTCGGCTCATGAAAAGTTCGGCGTCTGAACTGGACCTTAGTGACCAAATGGTGTTCTTTCCAGCAGCGTCAATGCATTTCCGCTAACTGGCCCACGTTAAAAGTTGAAATAGTCGTGAAAAGCCCAATTCTTAAAAATTTTTCTTCGAGCCCGAATGGGCTCTGAGTCAATAGCCCATGAGGCCGAAGGCCGAATGGCTATTGACTCAGAGGCCATGAGGCTGAGAGGAATAATTGCTTTCCAACTAGTTGGTCAAAAATATCGAGAATAAAAACATTTTAGCTAGTTAAAGCTAGACTTTAATCCTTTTCTGCCGCCAAAAAGCACGCGCTTTTTGCTACTAGTGGGCTATTACATATAGCCTAGTAGTAGCTCAACCAATCAGAATGCAGCATTGATAATAGACCACTAGTTGGACTTTACTAAGAAAGATTAGATCTTGTCTTAGATTTTGGCTGCTCGCATCTAGCCTTGGTGTAAGGAGCTGCTAGATGGGATACGTTTCTCTTGGTTGGATAGAAGATTTACTCACCTGAGAAGGGTTCCAAAATTGAAGTCTTCTACCTTCCCTTCATACATGTTACAAAATGGTCTCCATTTCTGAAGAGATACAGAATAGTAGTGTTTTTTATATTTATTAGTGCGTTAATTGTTATGGACCTAATAGTTATTCAGTTTGATAAAAACCTAGTATCAGTAAATGTGTTTTTGGTAGCCACTTGCACTCAGATTGACCAGTTGCCCATAGATTTCTTTTTCCTGTTGTTCTCGGAGGATAGGGGTTGATACAGGTTTTGAAGAAGTGGCCATTTTTGTGTAACTTCCTACAAACCGTGCCTAAACCTGAGAACATGTGTCTGTTTGGGTTTAACTAGCTCTGAAGTAGGTTTGACTGGCTATAGTTGGTATTTTTGTGAGCAGTTCTATTGGCATGCTTGATTCTGGAAAGATGACAGAGCTGAAGATCACAGCTGTTACCCTACTGAATCACACCTAACTCATCTTTGGAACATGCGCAAACATTTTTGCAATTTCCTGTAAAACTTAGTGTAAATCTTGCTTGAAAGTAGAGGAAGTGTTGAGTAACAGAAGCACCAGTCGCAACTGAGTCACAACTAAGGAATCAAATAAAGTCGTGTTTAACCACGAAGCAAAGACCTGGTAGCCTGCATAGCTTAACCCACCAGCTGTGAGTCCCAGTGTGCCTTTCACTTTTGCTGAACAGGTTGTGCCTTAAAAATATTGCGAGATGAAGGGTCTAGATGGTTACCTGTTGAACCTCAGACATGACAGTTACTTCACGTAGTTTGATCACAGGTACCCCAAGGCTGTAAGTGAGAATAGTTGCTGTGTAACAGAAATATTACAAGGGTTTGGATGGGGATTTAAGCAATCATTATTTTGAGGTCAAGAAAAGTAATAAAAAAGCCATCAGAATTTTTTAGCTAATCTCCTCGTTTAAATTTATGGTGTGGTCTTAGCATATTTGGCCAATTCAGAGCGATTCCAGCAAGTTTTAGTTCTGCTGTTGTTCTCTCGAAAAATATTACAAGCCTCAATAAGAGAATTTAAGAGTTCATTATTTAGAGGTTTAAATAATGATTGCTAAAATCCCCATATAAACCCTTGTAAATAATATTTTTGTTATGCAACAATGATTCTCACTTGTGAGCTTGGGGTACCTATGGTTTGATATATGCAATCCCGTTTGTGGGTGTTTTGTTCCGTCTTTCTTGAGAAATTGTATGGAACCAATATCCTACATACAATGAACATTCATATTGTTTAGTTTACCGACCAGCTTAGCATCTTCTGATTTAAAGTCTTCAACTCTGATGACATCCACCTGTAAACGAAACAGAAATATAAATCACCTGTCACTGTTCAAGGAGAAGCTGTGTTTTTTTACTTAAGTAATGAGTTAACTGGAGGTGTGACACATCCTTGAAAGAGGATGCAACATTTGAATTTGCATTTGCCCTAGACTTAAATTTGAATTTGAATACAAAGATGTGGCAAAGAAAACACGATGATGATGATGGTGGTCTTTTGTAGGATAAACGGCCAGTCATCTGTCAAAATTTTATCTGCGGCTGCTGATCAAGCGTTAATTTTGATCATTGATTTAATCATGAGCTGAATGAGAGTTGTAAATTTTGTTTAAATTATCCATGATTTTTCTTTGTTTGGTTTCATTGAAGCCTTACTACTGAAGGCTTCTTTTTTTAACAGTTTTCACTTTTTTCTTAGGGAAAGTTGTAAAATACCTAATATTTACCTTTAAGGTCTTGAAATAACGTTTGAACTGCCTGTATATATCATCATCATACCTACAGGAATAAGGAAAGAGTAAGTATTTGACACAATCAGAGGAAAAAACGCTTCCAGTTCTTTGATGTGATTGGGAAGCCTAGCTTCTTTATGATAACTATACGTGCTGCAAACACTGTGACGGTTGACTTGACTGATGAAAATAATTTTGTAAAATAAATTTAAAAAAAGAGTTCTTTAAAGGCACATCTGAATGCAGAACTAGTCACTAATGCATTGCACTTACTTTGTGAGGCGAAGTCTTGATGCATCCATTGCTGAAATAAGCTGCAGAGATAAAACGTTAATAAAAACACACGTACATTATTAACAGATTCCATGCTGTGTTCTGATGCAATAAGGAGAGGCACAGTCCTTAGGAGCTCAGTATACTGAACGTTAACAATAATAATGATTTGCACAGAGTGTATGGTCTGTCAACTGCACAAGTAACTGTCCGCAACAATGCGGCAGTATTGGACATGACTGTTGTACTGTATCTGGGGTGGATCCAGGGGTGGTTCAGGAGGCTCATTCAAATCCCCTGAACTGAAATGAAAGGGTTTAAACACAAGCAGTTTCTGACAAAAGACATTTTGATACATCGCTAACAAACACTATAATATGTCAACTTTTGAAAAAAAGACTACCATGATGAAAAGGAAAAAAAGTAACATTGATGGAGGCGAGTCTTTTCCTTGTTTTAGATGCCCTGTCGATCCCATTTTTGAGGAACTCAAGAGTGATATTTTAGTGCACACAGCCAATGTTGTCGAAACAAATTTATATCCGTTATTTCAGATGTATTTTTGATATTGGTCTCAATTTGTGGAAATTTTTTAGAGAAGTCCATGTTTAAGATAGCTAAAAACAGTGGTTTTTTCAAAGGCATGAAAGAACCCACAACGATCCTTTAAAACACTGGAAATCACCTTTCTGAGGACCTAAATTTCCCAATTTTCTGGGGTGGCATGCACATGAACCCCTTAGAGTGGTGGACAATTTTATCTGAACCCCCCTCCACTAAATTCTGGATCCACCCCAGCTGAGTGTCTTACAGTTAAGCTGTAGACAACAGATCAGGGCAAACTGTAACATAACAAGAATTGGAGCCAACAATCAAGCCACAGGCGATTCATTTACTGTCGTACTGAGATTGTTGCAAAGGTATTTATGTCTGTTGTTGGTGACTTGGAAAATGTCCTAATTCCTACACATCATACTATGAGGAAAGTTTTTTGTTTTTGTTTCCTGTTCTTTGAATACATCCTCGGAGACCCAGGGGCAGATAGTGGGGGCGAGAGAAAGTCTAAACGGGCAGAAAATATATATGGAACGAAGAAAAGTAAAGAACGGCGAGAAATTTTTCTGTCCATTTAGACTTTCCCTCGTCCCCACTAACTGCCCCTGGGTCTCCGAGAATGCATTGAATAAAACAAACACAGTCAATACCCTATAAATACAGAGAATGAAGGGGCCATAGAAAGTGTTTGAATTAACAGGGTGTCTGTATTAAGCAGGTCATGTTATTTAGGTCAAAAAGAAACCTTTTATTATAACAAAATTCCAAAGAAATAAAACAGAACATTAGCATCGTCAATTTAAACGTCTCTAACCATCACAAAGCCATCCTCCCATGGACTTATTCCACAGAAACACTAAAAAATCACTCATTCTTATACTACTTAATCAAAACCATTCTCTGTATGACTCTTTTCACACCATAATTGTCTGAAATTGACGTCTACAATTCACCCTATCCGGTCTACTGTAGTGCTGGAAACATCCACATGCTGTCAAATGGAGGTCCTTTTTTACCTTCGAAAAAGAAAGGTCCATCACAGCACACAGTTGATAATGAAGTGTCTGCATTATCAAGGTTGATGTTCTATGAATCTGCTGATCGGGCAAGAAAGTAGTCTCCATTGTCCACATTAATGGGTGTCCGTATAAAGCAGGTTGAACTTAGAAAAAATGTAAGGGCTTTCCTCACAGACAAAGAAAACTGTTCATAATGACAAGGTGTCCGTATTAAGTGGGGTTCGATTGTAGATTTTGTGACCGTATATCTGTTCAGTAATAGATCACAAAGAGACCTGTGCCTTCCATGTCACTTTTATGATCTTGGCATCATCTGTGACCTATTACTGAACAGACACACACCAAGACGGAATCTATTTGTTGAATACATGAACAAGCAATAATCTTTTACTGTAACACAAATGCTGTGCAACCCCAGTAGTTGCACAAATTTGTGACCCATATTGCCAACTTTAATACAATAATACAATAAATATGATGTTTTAAACCAACTACCTTGAAGTATGTTTCAGCTTGATGTTGTGCTTTCATTGCCCAAATCATTTCCACTTCTGCCTGCAAAAAAACATATTACATCACTTTAACTACATTCAAATTAAGATCTTGAAAAGTGTAATACACTTGACATGGTCACCACCTGACAGCCACTTTTCTGCTCTAGATCATTACAATGACCACTGCCGCTAGTGGATTTCAAGGCTCGAGCACAACATTACAACCTGTCAATCGCCAAAAAGGAAGCCTTAAGACGAATTTCAAAATGCGGAGACATGGTGGTCAAGCCGGTGGATAAAGGTGGTGCGGTCGTGGTATGGTCACACCTTCTATACATTGCTGAAGCAAATCCTCAACTGTCCGATGGCAGATTCTGCGAGCATTTGGATCATGATCCTCTTAAGGAAAGTCAGAACATGGTTAAATCAACAATATTTGAAATGATTACAGACAACCAGCGTCCACCATCAGCACCATCACGATTCTACATGTATCTGCTTCCTACGATCCATAAAGCAGGCAACCCTGGTAGACCAAATAATTATTTCCGCATGTTGTCGTCCCACCGAAAACATAGCTTTCTACTTGGATCAGATTATGTGTCCCCTTATGCACAACCTTAGCACCTATGTAAACCAATGATTTCCATTTTGACAACACAATGACTGGCAAACACTTCCTCTACACTATGGACATAAAAACAATATATACTGTTACCCAATAACAGTGGCCTTGAAGCATTATCTTATTTCCTCAACAAGCATCCCACTCTCGACCCACCTACAAGAGCATACACGCACACTACAAAGTTTTTTTGAGTGTTTTTTTTTTTCTTTCATGGCGTATGCAAACCTTTCACTGTTTCCAACGTACTTGTGACTCCACTGATGAAGGGCCAGGCCCAAAACGTTTGCAGAGGAACTCAAACCACAAGAAAGCACTTTTGTCCATTATTTTTTGTTGAACATTCCTTTACTTACCGGTACGTAATACAGTTGAACCTGTCCCAAAAGAACAACTAGACATGCCTGGAGGATACAGCTGAGAGGCCACTGTTTATACATAGACACTGGCCCCAGCGGGAGGTAGGTATTGTGGGGCAAGGATAGATCATTCAACAATTAAAAGATGCCTATTATAGCACATATTTTACATCACAACAAAAACAAAGTTAGAACCTTGCACTCCGTGTCTTCTACGACATGCACACGTGGGATCGATTAGAACAATACCAGCTGACTATACTCACGTTGTTTTCATATCTAGCTGCGTCCATATCTAACCCTAAACCACCTTCCATGACGCTAACGATTCTGGATCAAAACACTACGAAAATCCAAACCTAGAAAGGAGGTAGAACCCAATTTAGTGGACGATTTTTTCAATCGTTACGATGAATCCACCAAACTGTAACATCCGGCATGACAAACACGTTGAGGTTACTACTTCATGTAAAACTTTGTAAAACTGCTTTTGACGCAAGTTCGTTCCCAGGGCCCGAAAAGGAGCCGTGAGAGAAAACCCTGGGAGAGGAGATTAGAGACCTTCTTAGATTCGAGGCAGGACGAGAACGTTTACGAGTACGAGATTTGATTTAAAGTTTTTTCGCCTATTGTCAAAAAATAGACACCCCTCAATAATTCATGTACTTTTCTTTGTTAATAACCAGAAAAGTATGCAATGTTATCGTCATTGAAGGATAAGCCCTCTCAGGGCTGATTGCAAAATGCTAAAACTTGTAACATTTGATAACTTGTAGCGCCACTACGATGACGCTGCATCACGCGCGAGAACTATTTACTATTGAGAAAATCTGGTACTCGTAGTCGTTCTCGTCGCAGAATCTAAAGGTCTCTATTGTCAGAGGGACAACGCGGTCAAACCCGTCTCAGGCGCTTTCATGTTTCAAGTAGTGGGCGCAAGAAAGAACGAGCGCGCGAGAGGGAGACACGCGTGTCTCCCTCTCGCGCGCTAGTTCTTTCTTGCGCCCACTACTTCCAAGCGCCTGTTCCGCAGGCTACAATTATACAATTGTAGGCGTTCAGATCGTGAGGACCTCAAAGAGATGTGAGCAGGAAAAAAAGCGAAGGGGTAGGAGGTGACTGTGCGGCGTTCGTGCCGCACTCAACTATAACAACGCCTGGAACAAGCCAGTGGAAAGATGGGCAAGAATGGATAAAGTAATTTAAATAGCGTACATATCTTTCCTCTTTCTTGCGATATAGAGCACCTTTTCGTTGAAATTGCTTGGCGCCAGAGCAATCCTTTACAAGGTGAAACGCTTGGTTGCAACCATTTTTATCGGGCTCCTGTTTTTACTTAACACCAGCTTTGACGTACTTTGGTTAGCTTTCGCAAATTTCTCTCCACTGACGTGGGTAAAGGTACCTGGTGCAGTTATGCATTCCAGTCGCACCCATCCCTCCCCCGGGAAATTGTGGCACATTTGCGCCCTTAGATAGTGCGACCCGATATCGCGCAGGAGTCGGGCATTTACCTATCCGGGGCTACGGCTATCCCGAGCTTTGACACGCAAGTGGTTTCCGTGTCAGTTATGAACGTAGTAGGCGGATTATAGGAATGGACCAGCAGTTTGCCACAGATTGGCTTCAGGTGGCTTGTCCTGTATTATAAAGTAAAAGATTGGATAAAGTCGATAAAATTCTGTCTCCAGTGGTTCAAACTGGTGGATTGTCCTGTCCACCGAAAAAATTACTATCAAGTGGAAAGCGCACACACTGGTTCAACAAACGTAGACTGTATACTTCCTTTAAGCGTTTTAATCTCACTTTATCATTCACAAGTCAGCAATACACGTTGCTTCTACGACCTAACTAACTTATAAAGGACACAAAAATTAATTTGCCAAGGCCGGAAGTTCACACCAGGAGGCAAAAATCAAGATCAAAAAAGTCAAATAAAGTTTCATTTCATTACTCACGTTCTAAGACAAGTCAAGGGCACTAATTTCCTACTAAGCGTGGGTCTGTTTGACAATCATTGTACTAATCCTCTCATGTGCGGTTTTCCCGTGTAAGTACCCTACAACATTGCTTGTAGGCCAAAATATTTCCTGTAACGTTAACGGTAGTAAAATAATGGCGTACTATAAAAAAAAAACTACCACAAATATAATGAAACAAATAAACGCTTCACAACACTTATGATCCCGAGAGTGGAACATTTGACAGCTTCCTCACAGCGTCCAGAGTCGCGCAACAGCGCATACGGCCTGCGTGGGCACGTCTCCGTGTCAGTCTGCACGTAAGCTACGCGACGAGGTAAAAAGAAGGAGAGATAAAGACGGAAAGAGGAAGATGGACTTCTTTTATATATATTTTTCATTCTTATTTTTTTCGCATGGGATTCCGCCTCCTCGTTCCTTGCGGCTTCACCGCTTGCCTCTCACGCGTGCTCTCGATCCACTGTGACTCAAAAGAAAGGCTAAGAGACTGCTCGCAAGGCATTTAGTAGCTGAAGTGTCCCCATCCCCGGGAATTTTAATAGTGATCCAAAAATGCTCGAGATTAACCTAGTGGCGAAGGGCTCAGCTAGAACTAACTGATCCATTGAAGTTTCCTGTTTACCAACCAACTCTTCGTTTACCATCTTTGATTGTTTAACTATTTTATTGCCTAGAAGTAAATACCATATTAGGGACGACCAGTTGGAAATGGTTCATTTCCGGGCCACAGCTGCATCCTTTCCTTGTTAAATGAAACTAATGAACTTTCACCTGAAAGGGAAAAGATGACGGTAACTAATAGTGAGAATATTAGAAGAGCCACACGTGACCTGGAAAAGCCACGGGAAGAGCTACAGGAAATGGGAAACAAACAGGAGAAGCGACCGGGATCGCTAAGACAGAAAACCAGGGCAATCAATAACCGAGAACCAAGGGAAAATAAGATAAACCGTGACTTGTGGCTACTACTGTGTGCAGTCTCTCTTTTGCTTGAAAATCAGTGAGCAAGTGCGATATGTAACTTCTCAGAACCCGCTGCTCGCGGCTTCGCCCTATGTATGGTCACATAGCGCACTCGCTCACAGATTTTCGAGTGGTTACAGGGTTAAGAAAGGGGTACCGTGCGAGAAATCACACCCTATTCTAGGAAACGTCAGGGGCCCGGGACGTAATATACAGTGGCGAAATGGTTCCAGACATCTTAATTCACGGTTTCTGATTGAACAGAAATTACTTTCAACCGATACTGAAGGCAGTCCAGTTCTGGCCCTCAACTGATAGTAAGGACGCGCGCCCGAGAGTTGTCCCGTTCATACCACTGGCCTTGCTAAGGTTTCATCAGTAAAACTAATACACTCCTGGATTTCCAAAGACGGAAACTAGTAGCCCATGATGCACTGATGATAGTTTCCAACTCAATATCACGACCTCTTTGGCCGCAGGGTGCCCCACCCCCAGGGGAGAATATCCTCAGTTTGGTCAATAAAGAGAATGCGGACCGGACCAGGGTAAATATGTCATAGGGGTGAGAAGACAAACTGCAAACTATTCTTTTGTGAGTTCTCTAATGTTCAGTTCACATATATGCAAATTAATGCACCCCCTCACCAATTGACCACTCCAGAAAATACCATAATATACCATAATGCTCTTTGTTTGTCACCCCAAAATTTGGCATAAACATTGTGTTCAGATTCCCTTGGGGCTATTTTAACTCCCAAGAGAAATTGAAGACAATGCTTATGCAGAATGTCGGGGTGAGAAACAAAGAGCATTATGGTATGTAATGGTATTTTCTGTCAAGGAGTGCCCCTGGGTGGTCTCCGCGGGACACCACAATCAACGCAGGCTCATTCTGCATCGATCAGACAAAAGACGGCGAGACATTTTTTTGACGCGAAAGAGAGCCACGTCTTCAAAAGTAAGTCGCCTTTAGGGTTTTATTAATTTTACTGGCGGTCAGCTGTTATTGCCTGCTGGCAAAAAGGTGAAACTGGCTGTTGCAATCATTAGCTATGTATATAACGAACATAATCTAAGGCTTGTTTGTTTGTTGTTGTCGGCTAGTTCTGCTTCTTGTAAATACTGAACGAAGACAATATATTATACTCCCTTGACGAGGACTAGGAAAATGCCTTGGTTATTACATATGTAAGAAGCACCATTGTTCACAAAAGATGACTCGCTGTACGCATTTGAAACCTTTCAAAATTAAAGTGTTTGGTAAGCATTTTGGTGTTTGCGTGAGCGATGACTTGCTTCCGCCTTCCGGGAAAAATTTGCGAGAGAGTTGTCTGTAATTATTTCATTAACGATCGTCAACAATTTCGATTGATACTATCTCGAAATAATCCAAGTAATTATTTCACTAAAAGATGGCTTCTAGATCTTTCGTTGAAGGGAATACATGTTGAAAAAAAAAACAGCGTTCGTTGTTGATCAAGCATTTGTAAAATGTGAAGTAAATCACCCGCGCATATTTAATTAATAACCCCAAGTGCTTATTCGTGACATTCGACCTTCTTGCTTCGGTTTTCTCAGCTTTCATTTGAACCATATGATTTCATAGCTTGCATTTTCGTATGGTAATGTCCATAGGCTATTGTTTTTAAACTAGTAAAAGCGAAAGTGAATGTTTTTTTGCCACTGCGGAGGAAAGCGTGATAGTTCACACCCCCAACACTCCCCAATACGTCATCGTAGAGAGGCCATGTTCGCTTTCGAACACATTGACGTGTTCTTTGTTAAAATTTTAGTTAACCTTTCATTTGTAAAAAGACAAAACATATTTATTGTATTTCATTCTCATTTCAATCAATTGTAAGCAATGTGATCACTCGTAAGGTTATAAAACAAAATTGGTTTGTTTTTGAAGCAATTAAACCAAAAGTGAAATTAACATGGCAGACAGCGGCAGTCGAAGTTAGCATTGTTTTTGTTTTTTGAGGAAGACATTACTTCAACTGGGACTAACTAAAGTAGCTCACGGTACTGTAATCTGTTGGTGTTCTTTATCCTCTCTCTTTTCATGACAATGTTTTTTTTTTCTCCTGCTTAGATCGGACATCGTGCAAATTTAAGGCCGAAAATATATGACACAAAAATACTTTGAAAAGCAATAACCCATCGAGGAGGAATAATGAAAATTACAGAGTAATGAAAATTCTATTAACGATGTGTTTTATATTAATCTACAACTTCCTGGAAGGCAAACGTTTATTCAGATACATTTTGGATTCGCAAAGTTTTCTCAAGTTGTATACTAATGAGTATGGAGGATCAATATGATATTTCAAATGAAAAACTACTCTTGTGCTGTAAAATTTGTTTCAAAGATTTCAATTTAGAAATTTTTCACTGGCGTGTAACTCTTTGTGTTAAACGTTGAAATTTCTTTGACGTTTTGATTGTTGACTGTTTATGATAAATAAATGTTACCTTGAGGGGTAGCCCTAAGCAACTGAGATCGTTCCTCAGAGATAAATATTCATTTTTCATTTCATTTCTAAAAAAATGATCAGCATGACATAATTTCTCAATTTTAAATAATAAGACTAGGAAATAATAATAAGTGTAGGAAGTAAATTATATAAATAAGTGTAGGAAATAATATAGCGAAAATGTTTGTAGAGGTAAGGGCTTCATTAAAAGTGTTGTCCCACTAGGCACCAAAATGTAAGGACCTTCAGAGGCCCATAATGCCATTATTTTACCTTTATAGTAAGCAATGATAATATATTTTTATCATGATTTTATTTCTATTTGCAGTTTTGATGAATGATTAGCAGATGTCAAAGTAGACTAAGATATTCTTCACTACTAGCCCATTAGTAATTCAGAAAAAATGGACACCACAAATCCTACAAATGTGGCATCAACAATGGTTATGGTACCCTTTTGCAGTGAACATCCTGCAGACCCTGTGAAGTTCTTGTGTCTAACTTGCAACAACATGGTATGCCGGAACTGTGTGGTGAGAGAACGGCACAGAAACCACAGGTACCTTTCCATCATAAATGCAAGTGCTAAAGAGCGACAAGCTATCCAAGGGAGCATAAACAGTACAAAGAAAAAGATGGCAGCTCTTCGTGGCTCCATAGTTTGGGTTTCAGAAATGCAGAAACAAGTGGAAATAAGAGCTTCTGAAGCGGAACGAGAGATTGACCACCTCATCAACCAAAATATAGCAATCTTAAACGATAAACGAGCCCGGCTTAAAAAAGACGTCACTGTGTTGCGTGACAAGAAGGTTCAAAAGCTTGAAGATCAGCAGGAAGCCTTGAAACATGCTTTGGAGGATATTAACAAGGGAGTGGAATACACTGAACATGCTTTGGGCCGTATGTCAGACATTGAAGTTGTAACTATGAAAAACCAGCTTTCTGGAGTACTGGATTTTAACAACTTTGCTCTGCAGTGGGAACCATGTCGCACAAGCAATTTCTCCATAGAAGTTGACAACTCTTTAGCAGTCAATGCTATTGTTGACAAGATGGCACATATAAGTGATAAGGATATTCAGGAGGGTAGTCAGTATTTTTTGAGCATGCTGGGAGGGAAGGATGGTGAGATTTTTACCTCAAGGTGTCAGCAGAGGTCCTACTTTGTTGTGATGACAATGGATAGGCACAGAAAAACAAACAAAGTTGTTCCAAGCTTAGTGAAAGCACAAGTCACTCTTCCAGGTGAAAAAGAGCCACAAAATGTCATGATGGGCAGTGAGAATGAAAATCACACATTCTCATATCACCCTACCGCGCAAGGTACCTATACTTTACAAGTGTCTGTCGCAGGACATCGTATCTCAGAGAATCCAATATGCTGGAAGGTGGACTCTTCCGTCTATATTCTTGACTCTGACTGTGCTGTTCTTCCAGCTGAGGTCTACAGCCAAGAGCAGGAATCACTAACAGGATGTTGGTTCAAACATGGTTGGCATTCATGGCAGGTTCGAATTTTAGCTCCTGGCAAGCTCAGAAGGTGCTCTGACACAGCAGCATTCGAAGTAGGTGTCACCAATGGTCATCGCACCTGGTGTTGGAGCGATGGCAAGAAATACTATCCTAATTCACCTGCTATTGTCAGCTCAATCGGTAAGTGGCAGTGTGGGGACTTGCTTTTGTTTTACCTTGATTTGGATTTCAAACAACTTGTCATCTATAATCAGCGGTCAAGTGAATGGGATGCTTGGGATGGGATTCAGGTCCCTATTCGCCCATACCTCAGCCCCCAGTCTAGTAAATACTTTGGAGTTAACTAGACTTACTGGTCATTAAGTGATGAACAATCAGCACTGTTCAACGTTATATTGAGAGTCCTGGCAAAGCCATTTTTATAAAATTACTCACGTTATGTGAACAAAGGGCATATTAAGTACATGTGCTAATTGTTACAAAGAAGTGGGTGGTGATTACAGTTGACTCGCTCTTAACGGACACCTCTATAAGATGGACACCTCTGTAAAACGGACACTTAGAGTTGGTCCCTGCCTTTCTTTACTCCCTTTGTTTGACTCTCTATAAGGTGGACACCTCTCTAAGACGGACACTTAGTGCCCGTCCCAAAGGTGTTCGTCTTAGAGACAGTTGACTATATTGCTAAATAGTATCTGGGCTTTGTGGACTGCTAAGACAAGGAATAAAAGTGTGAACATTCTGAGGTGAAAAATAACACAAAAAACTTTGTGACTAATATCACTTGAAATGTTCCTGAGATAATTTTGAGGTTGGGTCAAAAATGTCCAACACCAACAATATTCAATGTACAAGTAGAACCACCAGTGAGGTACTTAAAACCAGCATAGCTGGTTCCATCCTTAACATAATTTGAAGTAAAAAACTTACATAGGTTATAGTAAGCTAAGTTAAATGAAAAAATTTAGGTTAAATGTGTATGAAAAAAAATTATAGTGAACTTAGAAAGTCGAAATTTTACAGTGCAGCTATATCTAATGACAACAAAAACATTATTTCTAAAAATTATGTTGACTGTATTTGTATCATAGCAACAACCTACAAGGTTAGTAAGTTAAATTTCACCCTGCCAGTAGAGTCTTTCTTTCCCTTGCTAGAGACAGAGTATGGTGAAATTGAGTAAGGCTGCATGAATTAAGTAAGATCTAAATTTGTTATGCATGTGCGGCAGGTTATTTGGAAATAGCTTGCTACAGGAGGCTCGGTTGTGACTGTCGTCTTATCAATTTGCTCAAACTCCAAAAACCAATTTGATTAGAGAAAACAAGATTGACTACTCCAGAACCTGGAGCTGTGGTAACTTGAAAGGCTTGACGCGATTCAGGCAGACCCTCCTTTTCTCATCCACGATCAAGAAGAAGACAAAAAGGAAACTGTGTTGAAGGGTTGTTAAATTTAGGGTACTATTATAAAGATGATTTATGTGAAGACTCAAAGATTAGATTGTTATAATACAAAATGGTATATGGACTGGCAAGTAGAGTCTAGTTATGGCAACGTTAATTCTCAATGTAACAGTTCAGTGTTAAAATGCAGACTGTCAAACTGGATGATTATACAGATCCTGTTACTGAACAATATAATGAATATTCAGTATTAATTAAATTGATTTTTTATCATAAATGCTGTGAAGGCTGCCATCAATGTTGAAAACATTTGTCTTAATATTTGTAGTTACTATTAGTGGAGTATTACATTTTATAGGCAAGGCCAAAAAGTGATTATTCAAGTATTTTATGTGGTAGCTAGGAGAAATTGATAAACTGCTAGTGACATAATTTGTTCATAAAATGTAATGAGGGAGGAATTTATGATTAAAATAGTGTGTGAAGATTTTCATAGTCAACGAAGATTAAGTTATTCATGATAATTCTTGCTTCTATGGTAGTTCCTTCATTCTGTCCCTAGCCACATCACCTGATTCATTCCCCGAAATTGGGGCAGCGGAAATATAAGCATACTCCATAGTTTGAGGATTATGAATAAGTCCTAAAAAACATGTACTACACTAAAAAGACTAAAAAAGAACTGAAGTCATGTTAAAGTTATCGGAAACGCTAAATAAACTCGCGGGTCATAACCACACGGTAGAAAAGGTGTTTTAACTTCGATAAAACACTGATATTAGAGTGTTCACTGGAGTGTTTTACCCAGGTGAAAACACCTTGCTGGCGTAGATCGCCGTACCAGGATATTCGAGGACCAAACATTACTGAGTTCCTGTTACCTTCTTTTCAAGCTTTCCGTCCAAAATCAAGCGGCATTTTGTACTTTCTTTCAAGGTTTGGTAAGGTTTGTACAAATTCCTTGTTATTCACCCTGCAAGTACTTTGTGATCCTCCGTACTTTTTTGATCCACGGTCATCCACGGGCAGAACTTGGAGCCCGAGAAATCACTCAGTTAAGAGTTAGACTGGTTAAACTCAGTTGTAGGTCGCATTGGGTCCAGACTCCTGAGCGGAATGCAATATGCATGCTTTGCGGGCGTATAGTCATAATATACAGCAGAATCCGATTCAAAATATTTATTTCACTTTCAATTAAAAAGATAGCAATACTGCTTAAAAACATGTCTGCGGGAAAAAAGGATTACACAATAAGATAAATCAATCTAACAAATAAATCTAACTACATATGATACATTTACAGCAGCTACAGCGTGCAAAGAAAGTGGTGTCCGATAGCCGGGGCTATTGGATTTTGCTGCCGGGCTAGTGATTTCTATTCTTAACTTACCCGACGGGCAAATGTGGTTTTGGGGGGGAACTCAAATTACAGAAGAACTGTAACCAATGCTCATCAAAAATATTTTTCGGGTTAGTTGAAATGACTTTTGGGCTAGTACGTGCTAGCTACAGCTTGCCCGAATGGCAAGCTGTAGAACTGACTTTCTTTGCACCCTTAGGTACATATATTGATTTGCATGTGAATTTGGCGAGAGCAATGATATGATAGACCATAAAGAATAAATAGTAACACACTATTAGATCGGATCTAATAGGAAGAAAACGGGGGAGCTGATCGAGGGGAGTGTTTCATTCTTCTTCGGCCTGACAGGTGACTATAAGCTACGCCTGTAGTCACTTGTTTGGGAGCCCCCCAATTCCATTTGTCAGAACTGACGGGCCAGACCATTCCCGTAGTAACGAGAATTTCACTTTTAATCGAGACTATCCAACCAGATCAGTCAAATCTTAAATACTATGCACGAAGGAGATGGTTTCTTAGCAAAAACCGTTTGGGAAAAGCCTCCCGCGTCAAAATGACTGCTCCAGCCATGGTCTGGCCGGTCGCTTCTGACCCTGGGAAAGCGCCAGGAGAGCGCCCTGAGTATCATGTGTTCACGGCTTCCCACCTCCCACTCTAAATTCTCCTCTACCACAACCCTCAGTTTATAAGCAAGGCCTGATACTCAGACTATTCTTTTCCGAGGGGTCTTGCAACATGAAATCCGATGTCGCTTCTCCTCCTTTTCCACGGGAAAGGTGAAGCGACCTCTGGCCGTGCTAGCCTTCGGAGTTTTCTTGTATTTCTATGTTTAGTTCTTTAGTTGTTATCACTAAGAAGAAACCTAAGGGGCATCATGACCGTCATACGCCCATTGTTCGACATTGTTTTGTGCATTACGCTCATGCTTTGATTAAACTATGAGTTGTGTGCTTTGCGCTCCTAGTTATAAAACAAAATCTCCCTTTACTTGTCCTTCCTGTAATCTCCTGCAAGTAGACTTAAACCCGGTCTCTCTCCTAGGTTGAAGCACTGCATTATGAAAATCATCAGAGCGTCGTGCAATACTTCTCTGACTTCTTGGTCCCTAATTTACGTAGTAAAGAATTGCAGTCGGTGATTCCTATTAAAAAAGTAAATTTAAATCCGACCTTCAATTAAAAAAAAAACACACACAGCCTCCCTCACCCAATTTCCCATACCCCACCCCTCAAAAACTATGAAATGGTCTATCAAAGGCGGGATTTAGCACTCGAATTCTCTAACGCGTCTTACTGTAAACTACGCTACCTCGTATTTATAAGGTTAACTCACTAATACACAAAGCTGTCCCTGGCTGAACAACACCCTGAATGACATCAGTTCAGTCCGGCCATCAAACTAAGTTTGACCGAATTTTCCGGCATGTGACACAATCAAATATAAAATTGGCATACAGTTCATTATTATAGACCACCCGCTTCACTTTTACGGGAAACTAGCTGTTGAACCATGCCTTAATTTACTTAAGAAACGTCAGACCAAGTTCACTTCAGCCTATTCGTCCTTAGCCAAGGACGCTTTTCAAACTCTAACAGTTTGTCCATTTACTGGTATAATAACGGCTTTTCCATGATTAGTTCACTATAAGTTGTTTTTTACTGTTAAGAATTATTATTTTCTGCCATTACAAGTAGTACGAAATCATAATGACATTCCCCTTGACTACTAACTTTTTGATCCAGCTTCACGCTTGGGCGTAGCCAGGTTTGTAAAATGGTGTTAGTTCGTTTGCGTCCTCATCTAGTTCTCCATCACTAGACATCAGTACTTTCTTTCTTAATGTTGGTTTTCTTTCTCCCATCTCAGTGTTTGTGGTATTGAATTCGCTTAGTGGATAAACCTCCCCGGTATCTACAAAGCCTTCACTCCTCTGTCGTCTCTTTTTTCTGATAGCCTATGTAAGAGGAAAATAAATATTTCAAAATATAAGAAAACTGCTGAGATAACCTGATTGATCCAAAAATTTCAACTCGTCACGTTGTTAAAAACCCCTTGGTTGCCAGCCAGCTAAAATATTTCCCAATCGGTACAACTATGCCTCACCCATTTTTCAGAAACCGTTAAAGGACGAAAACGATTGGAACTTCTCATAGTGATATGGTTTGCTTGAAGGATTCTGACTCGTACCCCTCATGTCAAGGGCATAGCATATTTTGTACGCTGCAAAAGAGTACAGTAGTCAAGAGCCCTATAGATTGGCTCCTGGCATAGGCGGACACGAATGGGTGTTGGCCATTATCCCCTGTTTTTCTCATAAGCGAGCGAAGAGTATACCTAAGTCAAACTGACATCAAGAGAGAATGAGCTACATTCTCTCTTGACGGACATGGAATGTTGATTGTGATGTCACACAAAGAGTTGGTGGGATTACGCATATGCGTGACAGCCAATCTAATTCATTCAACCCTGCCAAGTTATTTCAGGATCGGGTTCAGAATTCCGTAAACCGATCATGAAAATGCAAAGCTTAGCCTCGTGAGGGAAACTATATACTCAGTTATTTTAAAAGACAAGGTTCGTTATCTTTTGACTTTCTGGACCTTACCTTAACAATAAAGAGTACGATTAGCACAGCCACTCCTACGGCAAATATGATCACTGCAATCACTCTAAGAAGAAAATAGCGTTGCCCTTGAGGCGTCTTCTCTTTCATTACAGCTTTTACATTGTCTTTAACTTGGATGTTAGTTATATGATAGTTCCCGATTTTCCTGTTGTTTGCCGCATCGATTAAGGCCTTTTCAAAATCTTCGGCTGTTGCTGAGGATTCTAGGTTTGCATGGATGTCGAACATGCATACGACGCTTCCCCTCTGGAAACTCTTAACGTGCACAGAAAGGAATCCAGAAACCTGATTCAAAACGTTGCTTAGTAATACCGTCAAGGTACCCGACAGTTTCCTGAATGTTTGCGAGGATGGATTGGCTAAGTCTCGAGTGAATTCCATGTTTTCAATTGTAAGAATTGCTGCCCATATCTGAAGAGCTTTAGCAGGTTCTATACTAGTGGGTTCTTCAGCCTTTTCCTCTGCCAGCATGGTGGTAGAATATTCTGCTATTGCTTTGCTTGAGTAAATAGAGGAACTTACAGTAGCTGATATTTTGAGGTGGACAATGGAGGAAGTAAAAGGTAACGATAACGTTACAACAGGTAAAAAAGGTAATGACAAGATTGATAGTGATGAAGATATTGATAAAGCTGGCGATGACTGTGATGCTGAAATCGATGTCGATTTTGATAATGATGATGACGGCAGTGATGTTATTGATGATGTTGATGATAATGATGGTGATGGTGATGATGATGGTGATGATGATGGTGATGATAATGGCGATGATGATGGTGATGGTGATAGTGATAATGGTGATAGTGTTGTCGAGGACGATGAGAACAACATTAGTAGAATTGGGGCAGAAGATGATATCTGCAATGATGAAGATGGTGATAGAGACAATGATGGTGGAGATTTAAACGACCTTGGTGACGATGATGATGATTGTACCAACGGTGGTAAGAATGACGATGGCAATGATGACGAACCAAATTCTGATGTCAGTTGTGACGATGGAGATAATGACTTTGACTGTGACAGTAATATTGATGTGTGAGGAGGGTGAGACTCTTCAAAGTGACGTTCTGTTGATCCTGCGGACGATTCCACTTGATGTAAAGCAGATATTGAGATCGATACGCGATTCCATCTGGACGGCGCCTGATGAGAGGAGGTTTGTGAATGGTACAAAGTGGTCACCGAGCTGGAAGAAGATGACGCCTTCCTGGAATTCCTGGTGTTCGACATCGAGTTTGGCAAAATAGACAACCTAGATGGCGTAGTGGAGGATAAAGGGTAATCTTTGCTGTAAATTAGTTGGACTGACGTAAATAGATTTGGAGAGATAAAGTTTTTGGGAGAATCTGTGAAGAGTTCTGTGGCAGATGGTACTTGCAAACTCGCATTTGCTTTTGAGGTTTGGAGCAAGGCGTTTTGCCACAGATTTGAAACAGACATTTGGCTTCGGAGCCTCTGCGCCTTATTAGCAGGGTAAGCTTCGTAAACCGAAGATGTTACGAAACCGACAAATGCTGTTGGTATGACATCAACCGCAGTAGCTATGGTAGCTGAGGACAAAGGCTTTTCCTGAAGTCTTTGTTTTGAGGGAGAGATCGATGAGGAAACTATTGAAGTCAGTTCCTTACCTGCAAAAAATGTTACGGTTAGTTTAAATGAGAACAGTTTTTGCTCGATGGCCGTTTATGTGTATATGTCCCTTATAGCGCGGTGCTAATAGATAGGAGAAGTCGTTACATCACGTTGCCACGGTAGCAACATTTCTGCATGACAACAAACCAAAAACGTCACTTAAAAAGTGAATTCGCACTGTTTCAAACTTCATCGATTTTATTCAGTTTCATTTAATTTGTTAAATGTTGGCAAAATTCTCTGGGTTTGAATCCGAAAGGACCGTATCTGAGTTTAGAAAAAGAAAAAGAAAATTTTTGTGCTGTGTTCACAAACTAGCTCCATAGAGCGGGCGCTGTAACGACGGCTAAGAAATGTACAAAAAAGCGTGATGTACGTGCAAAGTTGTTGTTTTGTTCTCGTTGTTGTCGCCGTCGTCCTTGATTAAGCTCTCCATTGTTGTGATCCAGAATTTTTTCTAGCATGGCAACCTGACGTCACACTTCTCCCCTCTATTGCGTGCACAGTTAGTTACCAGTCGAAATATTGGACTTTAAAGAAACCGCACCCACCTTAATGCCTGCTATATATTGTACTAAAGAATTTATCGTATGTACTAACTTCCCTAAGTTTAACATTGAAGAGAACTCTTCCACATCAGCTTTCTCCAAGAGATATCCGAAACAAAGTGTCGTTCATGTCGTGGACATCCGCTCTGCACAGAAGTATGGGTAGAACTTTCGTTAAAACTATGGAAGTTTTCACTCCAACCGGCATGAAGGAAATACCTTGGTAGGGCGACGAACCCCTGACTGAGGAATTCATGCGCTGTTTGCTGTGCACGCATTTGTTCGGGTAATTTGCCCTTGCCGGAATTTTTTTTTGTACTTAGCCCTCCCGTTTTAGTTTTTTTTTTTAACGGTCCGTCACCTTTAAATGTCATGATGAGAGTGATTCCACCAAGTTAGAAAACACCACCTGTATCTGTGATCGTATTAGAGAGGTTAAGCAAAAACGCCAAGCGCGAATTTGTACCACGTGACCAAGTTTTCCGTTTACATGTCGTTTACTGTTCATTATTTCTACGCATAAATTAGTACTTGTTTCACGCAATTTTTATCCATAAGAGTTGTTTTGTTTTGAGTGGTTTTTATCTGCTCATTTTCTATTTTGAGTAATTCTCACTGACTTGATTCTAACGTTTGCCGTTTGCCGTATACGTGAAGCTTTATAAACTCTCTAATAATAAACAGTTAAAAAAGGGAAAACTGTGGTATGCAGCACGATTATCTATGTCAGCCACTTTAACCTCAGTGGAATCTCGTAGCGTCCATAGCTCTCAGACAGCCAGTCACTTTACACTTTACACGTTTTATAAGGATCCCAACTGATTTGAACCAGCACTGATAAAAATCATCCTAATCGGCTTTCATCTGCAAGTGGGTAGTTTTTGAATTTAATCATCAAAATAATCGTATAACGTATTTTCATAATACGGCCTAGTTGGGGACGCCGAATTTTTCAAAATTTCCCTTTACAGTCGATCATTTAGTAAAGGTGCAAACAAATCTACATGACTCGGTGCTGTTTGAAAAGAAACATTTTTGTGACATGTGTGTTTGTTTTCTTGATTAATGTGGGAAGTTTAACCCCACTGATGCACCTAAAGTCCATATTTTGGATAATTTAACATTAAGCAAATGAATCTCGAGCACAAAAACTATTAATAAAGTTTCATATCAATGATAACACCATCTGATTTTTTAGGTGGCACTGCCGGGGCATCTGATTAAGGTGTTTGTTTGTTCGCCTTCAAAATCGCCCAGGGTTTTACGTTTTGACCCTTAAGATCTCTTGTATCTAAACTGAAATTGTCATTTGTTGCCCTATTTCATTTCCCATGGAACTAGTGGGGTGAAGTTAATAAAAGATGAACTATATGTAACTGAATTTTACTTGGTTGCACCTGTTTTTCTTGACAATAGATGTGGTATCTAGGAACTGAAAATATTTTCGATCAGTGTCTGCAGTGTTATTTCGCTAAATTCACCAATTAACCGTCCGTGAACAAAAACCGTGCCAATAAAGTTAAGTAGATATACTATAGCTCCTTGATAATAATTTTTGGCCTCACCTTCGATTTCCACTAGTAATTGTAGGGCGACACTCAAAAACAAATTCAATTTCATTTTGCCGGGAAAATCGACTTGTCAGTTTGATTTTTGGACTCTTGGGTTAATCTCCGAATAGCTCACACTCGAGTAATTTCAAAGCCTGAACCTTTCCCACGGCACGACAACAAAGTTCCCACTGCGAGTCTGAGAACATTTTAATTCAGTTTGTTATTTAACCCAGTGGGAGAGAACTGAAATTTAGTTCGACTCGACTTAGTCTGGTGGGTTTGCAAAGATTGCATCTTTTGTATCCGATATCAGAAAGGGATAAAATAAGAGAACTATTGCGAAGTAGGATTAATGAGACCTATCCCACACCTTAAAGTAATTTGAGTGCTAGTAAAAGAAATATGCCCAGCCTGTTTAAAAAATCAGCAATGTCAATGATAATTATGATAACAGTAGAACTAGAGGTTACAAATTAATTGTAAGTATAATGCTGCGAGCAGATTCTGGGCAGTAAAATATCATCGCTTGAGAAACAGGGGAGAACTGACATACACTTTTTACAGACCCTTTTACTGAGTCAGTTAATAGTTGTGAGATAAAGGACTACAAGGGAGTTCTAAAATCACGAGTTCTTCGTGATATGGGTCTTAACTTGCCAGTTTACAGTCATACGAAAGTGAATAGAAATAACACAACAATTTTAAATTTACCAGACATGTTTCGGCAAACTTATGGCATTTTCAGTTGTAGAAGCTCGTTACAATTTGAATTTGCTAATTACAACGATTTTGATGAAAACTAAATGTGACAAAAGAACAGTGAAGAGAGAGAAAGAAACAGCAAAATTAACAGCTCATCTTACATGAACAGTGACAGTTTCACATATTTCGCCTGTTGATTTAGAATAGGTTTCTTTAGCCTGTTCCAGGTGTTCAGTTGGTGGGGACAAGTTAAATCGTACGCGGTGAGCGCAAAAAGAAACACGAAGGGAAAAAACGGGGGGAGACTGGGGCGGGAGCGTGAAATGCTCCCTCCCTTTTCCCGCCCTATTTTTTCCCCCGTCAATTTTTCGCCCGCTCCCCACCATCTGAGCATCCGGAACAGGCTAAGGTTTCTCCCCCTTTATATACATCGCCTCCTTAATCTTTAAGTGGAATCCAGAGGCGGCGGTATCAAGGATAGTGAAACATTCCGTAGAACAGGATTCTCTGCAAGCTTGAGATGAAGCAATGAGTTTGTAGTCATGAGAAGTCTTGTCCGATAAAAGGCGCTCACCAAGAGCCATATTATCTCTTGGCGCTCACAGATGCGAGTTGAGAAGCGGCGAAACTGTTTGCGTGCGCCATTACACGGAACTCCCCCCTGATTAGCCAGAACCCGGTGTGTTCCGGGCCTGTTCCTTGTTTTACAGATCATTACAAGGGCAAGAGATGTAGCTTTTGCTGACTGGTTTATGGGACTTTACAGTTATTCTAAATTTGTATCAAAATCTTCAACCCTCCAGTAGTAGGCTTAGATACATAAATCCAGATTTTTTAGAACGTGATTTTTAGAAATGTTTTTAGAAAATGTTAGGATTTTTGGACGATAATGTTTAGAAATACACAGTTGTCATGTTTTTGGCCTCGGTTATGCCACATGAAATGTCAAACTCTATTTAGAGCTTATTGTCGTTATCGTTTGTTTGAAAGAGAAATTATATGTAAACGAGACGAGCCACTGACTGAAGGTTTGTTCTTCCTGTGGTTACATTTAAATTGAGCAGGTCCCAAGTATATGATTATATGATTATTTCGGGAAAAAATTGGGATAAATCAGCATTTTTAGAATAAATTTGGAGATTTTTAGAGAAAAAATTGGGATTTATAAACATGTTGGGAGAATTTCTTGGTAGATTATCCACGGGTTATCTGGGCTCACGGGAACATTGCCCTGCGCCAGCGATCGATGGCAACAAAACTGAGGCGCACGCATGCTATTACATAGGAAACCGCTAGACAGGAACCAGAGTTCTGAGTTTGTTGAGAGCGGTGTATTTTCTACCTAGCTTTAAAAGTAAATTTAGTTACTCTTTTCCTAATACCATTATTTGGGTTTAAACCACGCATATGTCAAGAACCTTAAAAGTATAATAAAACGTATGGCAAGAAGTCGGAGTCGTTCGCCTCGAGGCAGAGGTAAGGCCGCTATAAACGTTCAACAAACGTGTTTTAGCCATGCATGGTTATGTTATCGGTTATTTCTATCGCTTTTTTGCTAATTATTTTTATTTTTTCTAGTTTTCACGGAGCGTCGCCGTAGCCGATCGAGATCTAGAGAAAGAAAGAAAGGCGGAGGTCAGTCAAAATACGATTCCATAAATAAGTTAAGATAAGAAATTCTTGAGCTGTGGTAAGCCACCAATGAATGAAAACAGTGAAACCAGCTTTAAAAGTCACCAAATGGACTTTCCACAGTGTCCATTTAACAGAGAACAAACACTTCAGGTTTGTCTGCCTCTCACTATTCAGAATTTTATAAATATTATATAATTTTATAATTTTATATATATATATGATAATGTCATCAAGGACCCAGGAGCAGAAAGCAAAGAGTAAAATACCAGCAAATGCATGGATGTTTTATTTTATTTTTTTATTCTTTGTGTTTATGATGATTAAAAAACAGGCTGGTTCATTAACATTCAGTTTGGAGGACATGCGAAGCATGATAGTAGGATAGTGATTCAGTTACTGAATTTTGGTTCAGCTAAGGCTTAACAAAATGTTATCACCATTGCTGTAAAGTGCCTATTAAGTTATTAGTAAAATCCAACTAGTGGTCTATTATCAATGCTGCATTCTGATTGGTGAAGCATCAGGGTTTGCAAATTTTTTTGATGAGTGGAGTCAGTGTGACTTCTGCTTCACAAATTTTAGAGTCATTTTGGAATATTTGGAGTCAAGTATCACAACGAAAAAAAGCCATTTTCAGACTTTCCAGCACGTGGCCCTGGCATGTATACACTATCGTGAGGGATACACGAAGTAGCTGAGGCGGTCCGCTGACTTGGAAAGCTCAAATCCATAATGGCGGTCATCGAGTAAACTTTGATCGTAATTTACCCTCTTCCTGTTTTGTCGTGCAGTATAATTCTTTAATTTCGATGGTTTGATTAAGGTTTGCAATTTTACAATTAACGTAAATTGTATTTGTTGTAAAAAAGGTAAGGACAAAACTGTGTTTGTTACCAAAAATTTCTTGAGTTGAAGTGACTCCCTCCGTAACCTCAGTAGAGTCATCTGAACAATTTTGGCGTAAAATACGCCAAATTTGGCGTATTTGCGAACCCTGAGTATATACTAGGCTAATAATATTATTGTTAACAATTATTGTCATAGCCCACTAGTAGTGAAAAGTGCCAGCGTTTTGGTGGCAAAAAAAGGAGAAAAGTCTATTTTTAACCAGCTAAAGTTGTTTTGTCTCTATATTTTTGACCAACTAGTTGAATTTTAGTTAAACAATTATTCCCCTCGTCCTCATGGCCTCTGAGTCCATAGCCCATTAAATTGGCCTTTGGCGTCTTTGGCTATTAGTGACTCAGAGCCCATTCAGGCTCAAGGGATAATTGTTAAATAGTCATTCTAGTTACTAAGACAATATCCTTGCCAGGTTTAGAATACAGTGTTGATAAATGGCTAAAATGAAACATTTGACAGTTATATGTAGACCTTCCTTTGTTTCCCTGTATTTCTTTTTTACTTTGATTGTTTTTTTTTTCAGATCGCAGACGAAGTAGATCCAGATCACCAAAGCGACGAAGGCATAGATCATATTCAAGGTAAATATCCGCAAAATACTGCATTGCTTCATCATTGATTATTCCTTGCCATAGTTTTTATGAAGATTGATGTTATTAATTTGGGAGTACAGCTTTTCAAGTAGATGAGACTTTTTGTTTGTTTGTTTTTTTTTAAGTTTGTCTGCTACTCTAAGGTTGGGACTTTAAGTTAGCCTTTACTTTCATCTTTAAGGATAGGAATTTCTACTTTACACTATACATGATAACTGAGTAGCCATAAAGAGCTTTAGGTAATGTTCCATATGATGGTTTATGTTTCCTTTTTCCTAGATCTCCTTCCCCACGAAGACAGAGGAGGTAAAATAATTCACTTTTATTCCCTTGTCTTGTATGTATCAACTCAAGAGCTAGTAGGTCTGCAGTCTAAAGACATCATTACTGAGATATGGCAATGCAAAATGTTCTTACCGTAATCTCTCTAATAACCTTCCCGCTTCCCCCTCTCCCTCCTATTGAACAGTCAAAATTTATTAAGCACCCCCCTCTCCACTAATCCTCCCTCAACTTTCATGGTTTAATTTACCGCACCAAACACGTAACAATAATATTAAAATAATAAATGGATAATAAATAAATAAAGGGAAAAAATTGAAATATCATGAATGAGTGTAGCAGAGCTGTCTCTCCAGTTTTAAATGAGTCTATAGCCACAACATTGAATTTCCTTGCATATATAAATTATTAGGTTATTTTCATCATTATTACTTTTTTAAAATCAATTTTATTCTTTGCTATCACAGTTTGTGACCATTTTCTGAATGTTAATGTTAAATTTGGCTCTTTTAAATTAGATCTTTTGTAGTTAAAGTTTTCCCTTAGGTTTTTACTGAACCTCGGTCTTTCTTCATGCCTAGCCCAGCTGTGAATTTTGACCGTGGAACGACTTTGCAATGGCTTTGATTTAGACGCCGAACTTTTCATGTACATTTGTACTGAACCTAATAAATGCATAAATAATAATAACGCATTTTGTAAGCAGTTTAACAAAAATGAGCATTTTTCTTCTTTTGAATTTAGTTCGGCTGAAATTAAGATCGGCATCTGAGTCAATTCAGGCCGTCTAGACAATTTGGGTCGGCCTTAATTCAAATTAGGTTCGGCTCATGAAAAGTTCAGCCTCTGAACCGGGCCTTAGGTGTTACATGTATAAATAAACTACTACTTACTTACTACCTTGTGGAATCAGTTTGGGCAGCCCTGAGCAACATGCAAACTAGGCCCATTTTACCTTTCTGGATAGCTTCTAATAGTTCTTGTGTACAGCCTCAAGGATTATATTATTAATTTAGTTTGTATCGGGCTTTTAGCTAGACATTGAAAACAGTGCATTCTGCCCAGGAGGCATGTTTTCCCATTATAATATTAGCAGAGTTCATGTCATTTCTCCTTGAATTTCTTATGAAAGTGGGTGTTAACAGGATCCCTGGACACCCCTCTAGCTAAATCCTTGGTTTGTATCATTGCAGGTCACAGTCTCCAAGAAGACGGAGGTCCAGGTGAGTTCTGATTTCATTCAGTTACATATAACACTTTATGAGAAGTATCTCTGTATTAAAAAGTTGTTTCCTCTTCTCCTTTTTTCTGGCAGGTCGTCATCACCCAGACGCTCCCGGAGATCACATTCAAAGTGAGTACATTTTTACGTAAACTATTAGATCTATTTAATACTACTTTGATGTTAATTTGTTAAATATTACATCAAACATTGTTTATTTGTTAAATGTTTGTTATAAAGTTGACCTAATCTATTTTGCTATTTTGTATAATTACATGACTTGAATTTTTTTTTCAACAAAAACATTTTTCATCTTGTCGACTGCTAGAATGAAGTTCCTCTATTTTTTTTTCCATAGGTCTCCAGACAGGGAGAAATCACATGATGAATCAGCTAAAAAAGCTGAAAATGGCTCAGAAGGTGGTGCAGGTAGGAATGTTATCTGTTTTTGATAGTTTTACTTTTCTATCCTATGATCAAAGTAATAAATGCACAGTCTGAAAGAAAAAAGTAGCTTATACTGGTAACTGGCCATCGTAGCGTAGGTAGCCCTTATCTGGGTTTGTTGAGGTAGCTTAATACAAGTTCTCTGTATTTTTAATTACTTCTAATCGGTGAATGAATAGTACTACTCTTTTCTATCTAACGCTGCAATAGTGATGTCAAACAAATATCCAATTACATTTCCTAAACCTAATCCTAACTTTCTCCTTAGTGTAGTGGTGGCCCTGGTCATTCAAACGTTGGATAGCACTATCCATCAGATAAATAATTATCCAGCGGATAAGTATTAGAGAAACCAATGCAGTTTATTGCATTATCCTGAGCACTGCATACAGAGAATTGTCCAGTGGATAGCAGTACCCACCTTTATATCAAGTAGTCCCTGTACTACTTTAGGAGTACATCATTAGAGGTCATTTCCTTGGTACAACAGCTTCCCATAGCATCAGTTTGTGTTCAAAACTCAGTATAGAAATAGTTAGAACGTTCATTTAATCAAATTCAGTAGTACAAGCATGCTTCGTATTTCCATTGTGCATGCTGTTGACCACATGGGGAAATGATGACGAAAGTGCATGCTCAAAGCAGCACATGTTAATTTCCATGCCAGCATTATCATAATTATCGTTAGTTCATGGTTCAGCTGTTGGTGTGTCAAGATTAGATGTATTTCAAAAGTTCGGTGAGCACCCAATAGGCTAGAGTTGCTCTCGTCTATGCCACTAGAAACTTATGCTTCTTTCTTGCTCTCCAAATTTCCCCACATGCTTCAAATCTCAATATAATTATGCATGCATACTAACTTGCAATTGAAGTTACAAAATTTGCTATCAGTTCAATCAACATGAAACATTGCAGACCAACAGCACAGGCATTGTGTCATTGGTTTGAATGTCTAAAATACCTGTAATTTTAGCCTTAAGTGCTTACACTCAAAGACAAAGTCATAAGTATTAACTTGAGGCAAAATTATTGTAGATGGGGACCAGGTTCCAGATGAAGATGAGGAAGCAATGATGAAGATGATGGGTTTTTCTAAATTTGATACAACCAAGGTTTGATTCTCTATGAGCTTTGGTACAGTAGGCATTATGATGATCATGATTTGAAATGATAATTTTGCTGGTAACAGTAATCAAATGGAAACATGAAATGGAGATAATGTGAACAAAAATTGTGGGTTCTAAGTTAGGGCCTCTGTGTTAACGCTGCTTTGTTCTGCCAATGGAGTGTATGGGTTGTTATAGCTCAGTTTGTAGAGCACTGCAGCACTGATGGAGAGGTCATGGGTTGGAATCACATTAAAACCCCCAATTTTTCTTTCAAGGGATGGGGAAGATGGGGGCTAATTTGCAATAACTCAAACTGCTATTACAGTGGTGAAGACAACCCCCACATAATTTTATAATAATAACACTCTTGATGAGTGAAATTTATGTCTGACATTTCAACAACTTTAAAACCAAGAGAAAAACCTGGCCAAATATGTGTTAGGTATACATCCCCGCAAAACTATAGTTTATTTTTTAGTATCCTTAGGCATGTGAGGGTATCTAAAATCCATTAAATTAAAAAAAAAAACATTTGCATGATTGCTTAACCATATCTTGTACAGCGGTCCTAGGGGTTACAATATGTTTCTCTTTGTATTATGGACTGTAGTAATTGTGATATTGATGTGGCTGGGAGATGGAAAGGTTGTTAAACTGATATTATAGCATTTTTTTCTTTTATTTTTAACTCTACAGGGTAAGCATGTTCATGGTCCTTGTAATTCAAGCTACTCCAGTGTAAAGAAGCCCAACAAGTATAGGTAAGAAGACCCTTTATTTTCGACCAACACAATTTTCTTATTTTTATTATACATTGTACTCACTATCTGTCTTCTCACTGGCTAGGAGCCTATGGTTAATTTTGGAAATCAGCGTCACCTACAGATTAGTTAGTTATGTGCTAGCAGATAAGTGATTAATCTGTAGGATGCGCACGTAATGTATGATTTCCATGACAATGTCAAACTGTGTTCCATGCAATACTGTGTTTGTCCTTATTTCCTTCAGAACAATGCGTATTAAAACAATAATATATTAGATTTGATTTTTGTGATATCCGGAATAATCAGGGTCAAGGGCTTAATTTCCCAAGTTGTCTTTCTATGGTATTTGTAAATAAGACATACCTCCTATAAACACTCTTCTTTTTCTTCTTCTTATTGGGATCTGGCTTGACAGCTAAGGTTGCTAAATAATAGTAATTCTAATGTTTTTATTAACATCAAACTTTATTGCTTAAAAATTTAAGTCCTCTGTTAGATTCAAAAATGGCAATGGAGACAAACCAGACAACATTTAATGTAAAATAATCTAAGACAGTCTTGGATTCTGGATTCCACGCTGTGAATTCCTGATTCCAGGTACTGGCTGCCGGATTCCTAGTTTGTGAAACTTCCAATTGATTCCAATTGTTTGCGGGATTCTGGATCCTTGAGCTGAATTCCGGAATCCAAAGCCCAGGATTCTGGATCTCAGAATCCAAAATTTCGTGGTTTACCTTAAATGGGTTGAAAGATGATTACATGTATAATTATAGTAACCAGGCTAAGTAAAAGGTGATAATGCTGTTACAGTACCAGGCGAAAACACGATTGTGTTTGTTGTATTTTTGCAGGCAATACATGAACAGAAGAGGAGGCTTCAATAGACCGTTGGATTATGTTAATTAGGAGCTTTAGATGCTCTTTAGCATTACACAGTTTGCAGACGCCTCAAGAGTTTCTTTGTCAGGTGGAACCTACAGCAATCCTACATCTACTGATGCATCTCTACTTACTCTTGAGTCAATATTGCTGTAATCCTTTAGCCAGCCAAATACGACACTTTATAATTATATTTTTTTAATTACAGTCCAACGAGGTCACACGGTATCCCCATAGACTCTATTAATGAATTCTTTATGTGAAAATTGAATCCGTTAGTCTTTGCCAGTGTCAAATTTATTTCTTCATTCTTTCATAGGTAACATGCCAGGAAACTCAACGTTCATTTTGAAATAAACTCGCTGTGAATGTCTTGAGTTCATATGATTTTAAGTATTTTACCCATTCAAAGTGTGATAGATCCTCCAATGCATGCAGGAATTGGATATTATACTCGAGTAACGACAGCGACTGAAGGATTTAATTTTCAAATAATCAATTCATATTAGAATCTATGGGGGTTACGCTTGACTGTAACGTACTCTCTTACAATAAAACTTTCATTCAAGCTATTTCAGGCCTTCCTCAAGCCACCAGTGTAAAGCGCGGGAAACTGAAACTGAGGGTATGATATGGCGCCAAAACAGTACCCCCGGTCGTTTTCTCCCCTCGGGGATAGAGTGAGGCTACACGTAGATCTCGAAACGAAAAGCAATCAATTATATGGTCATTACGTGACTAACGTTACTGCCGTTTTGTTACAGTTAATGTTATTTTGGTTTATAACTAACTTCATATGATCTCTTAAACGTCTCTGTACATATTTTGTATATATTTTTTTTACTTTCATGGTGAAAAAGTACAAGGAAACGCAGTTAGATTTGTGTCTCAACGCTAAAACCCACACACACACAAAATTATCCTTTGTAATTTTCGAGTGAGTTAGTGGCTATTTCCGCAATAGTACTAGTGATTTTGTTATACTCCAGCCTTTTAAGACTTGAAATTAAAAATTTGATTGTGGACTGCTGTCACTATATATTATTTCGTTGGCTACATGGAAACTGCTAATTACAGCTGACGCAAATTTAGTAGCTTTCGGGATTGTTATGTGCGCTTGCTCCCATCGCTCCGCCACCAAAAAAAAAAAACGGATCTTGCACGCTAATCCCGCCAGCTACGCAGACTACAATTAGCATTCTTTCCTATCGACAACTAATATTCATTCCGAATATTTCTCCGTTCTCTGGTCGGCTTGCGGCTTAAATCCGGAATCCCCCGCCGAATTTTTTATTACCAGTTGGCATTGACCAAATTTGGAAAATGTTTGCCAATATCCATGAAAGTGACTCATTTTTACGGATAACTAGCAGAAAAAGGGATTGCAGAAGGCGCCACGCAAATTTCAAAGGAATAACTGAACTACCGCCTTAAAACAAGACAGCCTCCTCCTCAGGCGCTTCGTGTTTCGCATTGTTTCGTAAAGGCGAGCGCGAAACGCGAGTAACTGGTGACGAAGCGCAAGGGACCATGGGAAGGGTAAAGAAGGGGGGCAAGGATTACGCATGGGCTACGCCCGTTTTCCCCTTCCCGCCTTCCATTGCGCGCTAATTTTTATCAAGGGAGAGACGTGACAAGTGCTATTTGAAGAATATGCGCTAGAATAATTATCCCTTCATATCCTGAAACTACCGAAGAACAGGCAAATGTTATCCAGTTATTGTTAATTGTTGTTTTTTATGCAAGTAGTAGTGTCGTACACTCGCTGACAACAGTTTCTGCAAACGTACAGCTTCGTTTACATGGGCAAGTTTCGTAAATAGCAAGACTTTGCCAGGAACAATTAGTCAGTTTTTCCCTTTTTTCGCGATCAACGTTTCAGTGCGACTACTCGAACCGGGGCACTTGGAAGCATGGTCCCATCAAAACGATTTCTGAAAACGAAAGATTATCAAGTTTTTTTGCAAACGTACCAATACAATTCAAGATTCAACTATGAAACCGTTGAAAATTTTACTTACCTGACCTCTCATGGAACAGCCTTCAAGTTTATGAATGTTGTTGGTCCGTTTGCAAAAAAACTTGAGGTTCTTTTGTTTTCAGAAATCGTTGTGATTGGACAATCTTCTTCCAAGTGTCCCGGTTCGAGTAGTCGCATCGTAAAACGTCAACGAGAATCTGAAAAACAAAAAGCTTGTAACTCTGCACGCGCAACTATTTTTTTCTCCTGTTTGCTAGTTTCTACCCCAGCAAACCTGACGAAAAGTTCACCTTTCTATCACAAATTGAGCAAGGTTAAATCTTATAAATAATGATTTTCCCCTGATCAGCGATTTTCGTCATTTTCAAGCCTTCAAGAAAACCTTTCTGAGACCGAAAGCGATTTATCTTGTAAGGTTAGTTTCAAGTACCAGTGTTTGAAACTGGTCAGCAAACTTGAAGAACAAATCAACTTAAGGAACGTTTATTGATTGTGTCTGCTCTCTCAAAAATTGTGAGCACCCTAGTAAAACAATTTTTGGAAGACAGATTTTGATAATATGAAGGCTTCAGTTTTTTCTAACTTGCTGACTAAGGAACCCAGGAGGGTCGCCCCTGCCTTCGGCTTCGCCATGATTTAACCTCGACTGTGTAAATTTTCGACGCCATACCAAACATAATTCATTCTACAAACGTTTATTATGAGTATGAAATGGAAATTAATCTTACAGGTCCAGTAATGAGGTGAAATTCCGAGCCTATTATACTATGCGCTTGACTACACCACTGGAAAATGAGCATTTACAGTCTGTGTAAGACGGATTTAATTAATTTATGAGTGCCCTTTCTTCGAATCCTTCTGAGGAAATCTAAGGCTGGGATGCCTGCCGGGCATGTCTTAACGTATTTATGAAGATCAATTTTGAAAAAGCAAAACACATGAAAAAATTTCACACAAAAACCACAGACAAACATCTCACATAGATAACTTAAGGCAAGAGCCCCATTATGGCTCTTGCTCAAGGACTTTTGAACGTTTTTATTTGGTACCAGTCCTCTCTCACAACTCAGTGCTTGTCAATCAATTATTCATGACTTGATCGAACAAACTGTGAAAATGGCGATGGAGGCTCCTCCAACTTCACCGCAGTTAACAACTTATGCTGCGCAAAATACTGCCACTGTTACTCACACAGTTCCTGCATCGCATACGACAGTAAATCTTATACAACCTGATCAAGGAAAAGGTCTTTACATAGTCGATCCTTCTCAACAGCATGCTTTACAAATGTTCGGAAGTCCCGATCAGAGGACCTTCATGGCGAACCCCGTCGAATTTAACCCTGCAGCTGGAACAATAACAACCACCGCTGTTTCTAATGGAAATGGACAGATAACTATGGTAAGCGTTATTAAATAGTTTGTTAGACACATCTTAAACAATGTACTCCAATAGCATTCGAGTACAGAATTGGAGTTGGCCATAAAATAAGATCTCGTGCGTTCGATCTTTCTAAAGGACGCGGTTCCCTTTCACTATTGTTGTGCCTTGAATTCAAACGTCAAGTGGGTTGAAAATCTCCCCGAAACAAGAATAAACCATCGCAGTCATGGTCTCTCGTGATCTTTCAACGTTTACTTAAGTCTCAGGAAATTCAACCTGCCGGGCTAGCCGTGAATTTAAAACCGTCCAATCGAGAAATGTCGCTCGAACTGCGTCGCTATTGGTCTAAGCGTTCGCAGTACTTTTGTTTGTATTGAAATGAGTGAACACGTACCCAACAAGCAAGCAAACAGGCAGGATTTTCAATTGCCAATCACATCTAAGGTTAATATTGTTGTATTGAAAGTCGAGCATTCACCTAAACTTATGCTTTTTACAAGAAAGTCTGACGTTCAGTTTCCTTGTATCATAGTGCCGCCTTGCATTTTAATAAAGACGAACAGATGTTTTGATGTTTTTTTTTTGGCGTCAGTCGCTTTGAAAGTTACCCTTTGCGTGTGAAATTTATTCAGTCTCCGTTTTTTTTTTCTGACCGAACTTTCGAAGTTAATTCCGAAAGGTTTGGACCGTCTTGCTATAAGGAAATAAATTGAAGTTGAAATCTACAAGAAGTTTATTTATAAAGCTAATTACATTGGCAGTGATCTCCCGAAAGTATTATTTTTCCCAATATTGTCGGCTCAGGTCACTCACTCTGTATTGCCTCAATTTCAAAAATTCATTTTGAGCTGACTTGTTTGCTGTTTTAGGAATGAAATCAACACAGAATTTCTATGTGTAAATTTTTTTTTGGCCGGGGGGCTTTTTTTTAATGAATATTCATATCCATCAAAATTATCTCTCGCATTATTATTGGGAAAGAGAGATCCAATGAAACATGCCCTTGAAAATCACATGGGAAAGTAATGAAATGCTAATGTGGGTCAGCTGCTGTACTTCAAAACATTATACTAGACAACTAATAGTCTTGAATGTTCCCTAACAGGTGGAACAAAAAAAAAAAGAAAGGAAATCAACACTGTAACTACACCTTAGCTGGGAACCAGGCTCATTGGTGGGGGAATTAATCAACAAAAATACTAGTGCCCATCGGAAAATAACCTTCGCTGTGTGGATGTTAATGGGCTGTACTTCAAGATGGGATTTCTCCCTCGAAAAAACCTCAGCTATTATTAAAGAAAAATCTTATACTTTAGTTCCCTCTTTTCTCTACATTTATTGTTTATAATATAAAACACCTCATTTGCATGCAAAAGATGGATCTATTTATGACTCAGCAATTGCATAGACTTGGCTTATGCTCTTTGTCTTTATTATAAACGTTCTCACTGTCCAAAATGTCTTTGTTTGTAGCAAAAATCACATTAAATCCTAGAAGTCATGAATTTGCCTTTGTAAAGGCAGTGGGGTAATTTGTGAGTTTGTAGACAGTTCTCTCAACCTGTGAAGTGGTCAATTTATGTGGTAGTCATCAGAGTTAACAGAATCCATTTCTAGATGCACAGAAAAAAAAGCAAAAACAAAAGAAGGTCGTAAAAGGTAAATAAACTTGTCACTTTACCTTAGTCTACTTGAACAGAAAGAATCGACACTATTGACACCATGGCCTGTTGAAGACCTACAGTACACCGTTGAAACGTGGTGATGAATATCTAAGTGACAATTGTGAGACAAATGATAAACAAAATTTATACAGAGAGAAATTTATTTTATATGTACTGTTATGAGCGATTACTTGCCTGTTTACTACTTTTTTTCAGCGCAGTGAACAATAATTAATAATGAGTAATGAATTTTCTGTATTTGTGACTGCGTCAGCATGTGTTGCATTTATTGACCAACAGATGAATGGACAGCCCATAGCAACTCAGAGACTACCAGTTGCTATGGAAACCTTGGATGAGCCCCTTTATGTCAATGCAAAACAGTACCACAGAATAATAAAAAGGCGGCAAGCCAGAGCAAAGCTTGAAGCAGAGGGGAAAATACCCAAGGCCCGAAAGGTAAGTTTTTGTGGGCTATTTGTTTTTAAAGCAAAGGAATTCTTACTTGTCAAAAAGGCTACTGGTTGCTGCGTTTCTAAACTTTTATGAAAGAGACGTAAGTTATATATGTTTTTAAAAGGACTTGTTATTTATTTAATAAACCAATTTCAGTGGGGTGGTTATTTATTGGTATTTTGACCTGAGAGAGGCACTTTATTTACAACAAGCCAATAATGATCTTATCTCCTTACTTCTGCAGAAATATCTCCATGAGTCTAGACATCAGCATGCTTGCCGAAGAAGACGCAGCAATGGAGGAAGATTCGTTACAAAACCTGGTGAAACTGATGTACAGGAGGGTGGTGGAAGTGCAGCTAATAACCAGGTATTTCAAGAAGGCTTGATCGCAACACAGGAACATGATCCTCAAGAGCATGCCTACAGTAACATTGTACAGGATACTGAAGCTGAAAGGGTGCAAATAGCAAGTCAGGGTGCCGAGCAAACAGAATAAGGTAATAAAACGTTACAGCGAAACTTGTTGTATCGCGCTGCACGTATTGCAAACTTCTGGGTTTTTCTGTTCCATCAATCATTTTAGTGAAGGTAGGGTTAATGCAAGACGATGTTCTTGCCCAGCGTGGCCGAGAATGACTCTGGACTGCTCAAGAATAGCGAAGCAAATGGCTATGGTAAGTGGATTTTTTGTCGATGGAAGGAGGCAGACGTTGCTTCATTCTTGCAAGTGACAAGAATAAGAAAGATCAGAAAAATCTGTGAAGCATCTTTGACTAGTTGATCATTGCCCGAAACAGGACCGTGAACCACGAAACAAATAAAACGGATCGAAATCCACCAATAAGGAATAACAAACCATGACCTTTTAAACTCATTCAAGTAAACATGTGTTTCTTAGGAGGTCCGCTGAGATGATTGATGGAACAGAAAAACCCAAAATTCTTTTGAAGTTTGCAAACCCACAGCGCGATACAACGAATCTCGCTATAAGTGTAGTCAACAGAGAAAAATGGGGCAGAGAGAGAAATGCCCAGTCTAGCCCTTGGTTGTGTGAATTTCATCAAAGCTATTTTTGGACCAATTAATCCATTCGCCCCTGAGCCGCCCTTAACTGCTCATGTGGAACCACATCCCTTCTACTGATTGTGATGTCATCAGTTTTAGTGGTCAAGGAAAACTTTGTCTGCTAAGCAGAGAGAGGAGATCTTTCTAACCATACCAGAATGAGCACAATTCAGTCAAGGACACTGGAGAATAAGGCAAAGAACCATGTAACATTGACCTAAAAATTTCCATGGAAATCTTGTTCCACTAACCACCTACCTTTCCTTTCATCTAATTCTAAGATTCTAAAAGCTTTCCTAAAAACTTTTCCCACCAAATTGAAGCCTACCAAATGCCCAGCAAAAGAAAAAAAATGAGGCAAGAAAAACGAGAAAAAAAAAGAGGGGAGGAGAGAAAGCGAAAAGTCAAGACTGCAGTGTCACTTTTAAACCCAAAATTTTGCGATCTGCGTATGCCCAAACTTCGCAGGCTAATATTTTGAATCTGGATCAGAAGGCTGCAAAGTGTACTTCCTGTAACTGGGTTTATGGTAACTTTTAGCTCTTTGTAGCACGACAGTGACCAGAAAACCACTAAGTCTTGACTAGCTTCAAAACGCGTTTTTTGGCAAAATTTCGAGGGGCGAATGGCTTAACTGCTTAAAATTAATCAAAATTTGGTTCCCAGAGAGGTTTTGCAAACTTTTAAATTCAGTGTTGTCAAGAAAGAAAAATGGAGCATTATGCCCCCTTGGTGCATCACCATTACAATAGTATTCTGTATTTTTGGCTTTGAGGCAGTCGCATCTGGACTTGATGACAATTCAAAATATCGATTAAAATGTGCAGATGTACCAGGAATTAGTCTTCTGTTTAAATATATTAAAACCTTGTAAAAAAACTTGAGTAAAATTCAAGTATTCCCGCCAATGCCCTAAGATTATTCTCTCTTTCTGTGGTCTCAAGAGTCACCAAATGCAGATTTGAGGTAAAGTGTCACTTTGTACTGACAAATACTTAATCATAGTGGCTGAGAGCCAAGGCTCAACTTGTGAAGTGATATAAACCAGGGTTCACACAGTCTTGAAAAGTCCTTGAATTCCATTTTTCCTTGAAAAGTCCTTGAATTTTCTTCAACTTTGAATGTAGTGGCCTGGAAAGTGATTTTGATGCTTTTTGGTTGTCTAAGACAGAATATAAATCATAGCTCAGAGAACTTAAAGGTTATTTACATAAAGTGCTTAATGTTTTATGCAATAATTTAAACTGTCAATTTGAGACAAGTGAACTGAAAAATGTAGAAAAGTGTGTGAAGCAAACATTTCAATCCTTAAAGTCTTGGGAAATATGTGCATTTTTGTACAATCTGTGAAATTATATTCCTTGTAGGCGGTCCTTGAAAATCTAATGTGGTCCTTGAAAAGTCCTTGAAAAATGGTTGCATTTTTTGTATGAACCCTTTAAACAGTGCAAAAGTGGTCCCGTTTTTAGTGTATTTATGGAGTATCTATGGTTCTTACAGTGATTTTGTTACCTCTGCGTCCGGCGTCCTTGATGAATAAAAAACCCCAAAGAAGTAAATAATAAATCATGGCATGCATCCCGTAAGATGCAAAGATCGATCAATCAATCTGAACATGTATATTTGTAGTAATATCGGCCCCTTTGTGTAATTCCTGTGGCAGTTTTTTTGCTGTTGTCTAACAATAACTAATATTTCTTGTAGCCTTTGTTGTGCTTTAAAATAAAAGGACTATATTTTAACTTCAGTATATGGAATACAGAGTTTTGGTGTCTCTCTTCAGATTAACTGTCTGGTTACATAAAGGCCAAAGCATTTTCAATTTCGGACTCTTTTTTTTAACTGGGACTCATGATTTTTCACAAGATGAGTCCCAGGTCTCACCATAACTATTTGTAACAAAATCACTGTACTTATACTTGATGTTGTCAAAGTAATGAGTTTCTTGTGCTGTGAACTTAGGTTTGTGTGTGTGAAGCATGAACCATGAAACTATCCCTCAAAACATACTAAAGCCTTATGATTTTAGTCAAAAATTATACATAGCCTTGCTAGTTTGTGTATACCAGTAATTTGGTTACAAATAGTTATGGTTAGTCCTGGGAATCATCTTGTGAGAAATCATTAGTCCCAGTTCAGAAACAACAAAAAAAATCAGTGAGTCCTAAATTAAATATGTTTTGTAACCTGACAGTTAATCTGAAGACAGATTCCAACAATCTGTATTATCTTTCATTGAAATTAAAATATACCACAATAAAAGCTCTTTTTAAAGCTTATGCATATATTTTTTCCTATTATGTTTTAGGTTCATGCACCAGGGTGTTCAAGGGAACAGACTATAGTTATAAAGAACTTCAGAGTTGTATAGTGTTCAGTCAAAACTGACTTTACTTTCAGTTTATTTAAATCTTCTAATAAATTATCATACTCACACCTTTGAGGAGTGTGTATGGGAATAAAAGAAAAGTCATGTTCAAGGCTGAACTGATATGAAAGCATTTTTCTCATCTAAGCTTAAAGTGGAAAGAAGAGTGTGTTTTCAGAAAAACACTATTTATTTTGGGCAATGCATGGAGATGAATGAATACTGTCACTTTATGAATACAACCTCTTTCAGACATCCCACAAATTAGTTAAGTCTTGCTCTAGATTAATTCTTATACATTTGTAAAGAACATCGGTACTCTGTTATCTTTATTCTAATAACGTAACAAATCATTGGCCAAAACTGCAGTTTATTGTACATGAATGGAACTCACATTTTTAACCTTAAAAGTTTAATTACTATCAATAAGACAGCATTTTTTCTGCACTGCTTTCTGAATAATTCTTATGGTACAAATGAGAAGAATTTATTTTGAACATCAAGAATTGTGTTAACGTCCTTTGTAAAATAACAATTATTTTTGATTAATCAGTGAAAGTAAAAGAAAAATGAGGGTGTTCATTAAGCATCGGAGATCAGAGAATTCTCCGTTTACTACACAGAATTCTCCGGCTAACGTGCGATAGCCTATTTCACAATATTCTCCTGTAAAGTTACACCTTTCTCCTGCTACTAGAATTCTTAGTGAAAACCCTGAAAAGTAGGATGCATGCAAAGGTTGTTAAATGAGTGCCTTGTGTATGGCCCTTGAACCTCTTGTCCACTATTAACTATAAAATATGAAAGCCAGTATTACTAGTAGCAAAGTAGTTTTGCCTGATAGGTTCATAGTCGCAGCTCCTTTATATTGCAGAGGGAGCTCTAGTGTCTGTATTAAAGAGGTGTCTGCATAACTGCATTACTGAAGGGTCATCATTATATTGGCAGGGAGTGTGCAATGTATGAAGTTTGGTGTCTTTAGGACTACAGTTAAAACCTGTAAGTAAGAACCTGGTTTTTAACAACCTGTTAGGCTAAAATTCGCCAGTTAGGCCCCCTTTTCACAAGAACCTGTTTAGCCGAAAATTCTGAATTAAGTTCTTATTTGCAAAAATTTATAAAACAATCTGACTTGGTGTACATGTGGGCGAATAAGAACAGTCCATGCACTGCATAATTTATGTGCTAGAAAGAAAGGAGGGAAACCTCTGTCATTCAAGAAAACTCTAAGGTCATGTTTCACACTATCACAAGCTTAAGAGTTGTGTTTGGCCTGTGAACACTTTATTTCAAAGCTGAATACGGCTAAATACTTTTAGCTATGATGTATTTTTTTCTTGAGAAAATAAGAACCCATTTAAGAATCTAAATAGCCTAATTATATAAGAACCTGTTTAGGCTAAATTGGGGAAATTTAGGTTCTTACTCGCTGGTTTTTACTGCAGGTCAACTGTCCATTTAGAGAGGTGTCTGTATTATTGAGGTATAATTATGTTACAGGTCAAAATCAAATTTAGGTGAAATTTTTTTACTTTAAGTTGATTCTCAATTTTCTGTCTCCTAGCCGTAACTCATAATTAATTAGGGCTAGGAGACAAAGAAAAATACTAGAGGATCAAGCAAGGTTCAAAACTTTTAACCTGAATTTAATACATATGGAGGTTTGGTTATGACTAGTTAGTGGTATGCTGCTTATCCAGGGCTGTAGCTAGCAGTGGGCAAGACAAGATACTTTCCTTACCCCATAAATCATTCATGCATTTGATGCTTGTAATCCTTACCCGATATGTTTTCATAGCCTAGCTACAGCCCCCGTATCTTCCACTGCAGCATACAGAGTGGTTCCCATCAAAGTTAACTTACTATGACCATATCATTTATTGTTATTTTTTGCATTTGTACAGGCTTGAGCATTCACTTTTTAGATTAGTTTAAGGTATATAATAATATGACATTCAGGGTTCTTGTATCACCATAGAGTACTTCAATGAGAATTAAGTATTAAGATGGAATTAAAATGTACATAACTTTAATTGAAATCTTTAAAACATGGACCTTTAAGTAGTTCGCCACAGACTTAAATTATTCATCTTTATTTTCATATCATGCTGAGAACATGTGTCTGTTTTGGGGCAACAAAGGGAAAAAAGGATCTTGGGAAATTTAATATGTTATCCCCATTAATTTGGCAGTATGCTTTTTTGAGTTTTGGCAAGTTGGGTGGTGAAATGCTTAAAGGAATAACTTTCTTAAATTGCTGTTTTCTATAAAAGCAGCTCCTTCAATTTTGTCAATATTCTGAAAACAGATTTTTATTTCAACATGTTTGCAACTTATGGACAGGTATGCATTTTTATATCTTGTAAAATGAATGTATTTTTGGTCGGTTGAAAACCATCCACTGTTAAGGCCTGAATAACAGAGAGCTTGCTTGCAGGCTATATTGGTACATGTTTAAATGCCTTGATTGTTTTCTATTCACTGTTCCACAGATTATCTTGTAAACTTGCACTCAAGAATGCATGCACCATAATCCATTTAGCATTTGAACAGGCTCTCTCGTGGGATATAGGGGTGGGGGAGGGGGTTTGGGTGAGATTTCGGGATTCTCCTATTCTCCCCACTCTCCTGACCGCTCATTTCTCTGGTCTCGTGTTTGCAGTCAACAACATATTGTCTCATAAGGTGTGTCCCAATTAGTGAAGCACTTATGCCTCAGGCTAGAAGAGTTCAGCTCTTGAATAAAGTTCTTATTGTTGTATAGAGACAAACCATCATGGCCCACAAGTTTGTTGTGCTGCACCGAGGACTGCCTTACATTGGTCTTTTTAGTGATTCACAGTTTAATAAAGCTCTGGCCTTCAAGTAGTTGATATACTAAACTTTAGAAATTATGACAGGCTGATGTTCAAATAAGTTGCAGACATATTGTATGTGTGTTGTATCATATTAAACTGATGAAATACATGGAGACTGAATTATTTACAGTAATCCTTCTTGAACTTTGATTTTCTTTCATCTTGTAGACATTCTTCTACTCACTCTCTCCTCCCAGCTAGTCCATTATTCGGGCACGAATGAACCTCCTTGGATTATTTGACAGGGGTGTTTGGCTTTTCCGTAGTATACACACCCAACCATTTCTACAGTTACTGATCTTTGCTACACCTGTCTTGCAAAAAAAAAAAAAAAACGTTTTGGAAGTCCATTTTCTTCTTTCCGGCCTCTGGCCTAACCCTAAAGATTAATGATAACCAACAACGCGAAAAGGTTAAACTTACCGTAAATGCACGTAAATGCGCCCTCCTTCCAATAAGGGCCCCCATTCGAATTAGAATCCCTCCTCCTCCCCTCCCCCCACCTTGAGTCTAATGATATTTTAAAAATAGCGTATTTCCTTGAATAAGCGCCCGGGCGTTTATTTCAAATTTAGGCTAAAAGGAGGGGTGCTTATTGGAAGGAGAGACCTAAATCTAGGGGACCACCGGAGCACTTAAGATTTTCTTCCAACGAAGTGCAACTTTGTAACGTAAAGTTAGTTTTCGTTTGTTAAAACAGTAGTTGTAATCAAACACTAAAACAGCAGGTGCATTGGTGTGCATGTTTACAAAATCATCCTCGTCAATGATATACACATCTAGGGGTACCTTTTTCGAGAAAAATGGTATATAAAAGGGTAAGGGGATGGACCTCGGGGCGGAGCCTCCCCGTATAAACATTAGTTGAGTACCCCCCTACTCCCGGGCTTCGCTCGCCGATGTTTGTTTGCGGTTTCGTGTTCACCCCGTTTTTGCCCTTTTCCTCCACTGTGGAGACTGCTCCCAGGCTACATTTTCATTAGAGTCACTACATGTACAATGGGGTCGCTCATTTTCGGGATTTTTGGAAGTAAGAATGTTCCGAAAATTAGGGGTTTAAAATTGGAAGGATTTTTACTTCTACATTTTAAGACTTTATACGTTCAACACGTTTGCCAATTCATTTCAGAATGACCAGGTTAAACGGCTTTACAAGTAGATGCATAAACAGAAAGTGACTACATTGGGATGACGAAAATTACACTTAACCAAAAGTGACTGAGATGGGGCCGATAATTGACCACGGAAAAGACTGTGATGGGGTAGGGATTGTGAGAAATTGACCCAAGCCAACCCTCCACCACCACCACCCCCGTCGGGAGAAGCCATGTCGAACGGGGTACACTACATGATATCATACCTGAAGTAAATACCGATTAAGAGCAATAATATGGCGACTTCTATTATGGCGGTTGGTGTCGTCAGTTTTCCTGCAAGTAGAGCCTTTTTGAACGACTGATTTACATGTTGACCATTTCCATGAGGTAAGTAAACTTTAATGCAATACAATACGCTATCGTTAGCGAATAGTCCGTCTTTGGTAATAACGTCGAGCATGCATGTTTCCCTTGACAATTCTTTTACTTTTCAAGGAAAACATCCTCGATGTAAGAACCAAGCGGCTAACTGAGTTCTCTTTTTTAGAACCAAGGAACTGAATTTACTGTCAAATGGTACTACATTTTAATGGGAGATACAGAAAAGTTAAGGAGTGTGACTTCCTGGAACAAGCAGAAGACGAGTTAGCGAAGTTCCACCAAAACAGCTGTAAACCCAACAGTGTTCTTGTCTTTCCTCCTCTAAAAGCACATTATCGCTTTCTCATTCATCAGCTTGTTGGAGAAGATTCCAGGCTTCATTCAGTGTCCATAGGTGAAGGACAACAAAGAAGGACTGTGGTTTATTTTGCCCGTGCCAGGTATATGTTGTAGGTAATTTTTTTTTAGGTAAATTTAATTTTCACTAGGTACAATTTTTTAACCTGGGTAATTTTGCACCACAACATTTTTTTCCATTTGTTATGGGGCAAATTCTTGACTCTTTTTTGATTGATAACAAAGATAGAGATATTGGGTTTTGCCAAGATAAGGATATAAAATTCTGAGAGTTCAAGATTTCACTCCAATTAGCCAGACACTGTCAGTCAGTCAATGTCATTCAGGGGATTAGGTCAAGGGTTAGGGCTGGGGGTTAGGGTTAAGGGTTAGGGTTGGGGTTAAAGTTGAGGGTTAGGATTAACGAAAAGGGTTCGGGCTAAGGGTTAGGGTTAGGGTTCAGGGCCGAGTTATTCAAAGCTGGGTTAAGATAACCCAGGGTTAGTGGGAGATTTGAATTCAGACTTGAAAGCTAAAAGGCATTTCAGTTTTAATTCATTTTGTCTACAAGTTGATGATTGGAAGCTCTAAAAATAGCACAGAAAATTATGGGAGAAAATGCTTTCAAACACGATAAAAAGAAACCCGGGTTAAGCACTCATTGATTTTCGAACAACTGGGCCCAGATGTACTTAGCAGATTGAAGTGGAGAAAAAGGTGGGATAGATTTTGAAAATAATGGATGGTTTGCTGTCACTATTAAAATGCAACAAACATATGCAGTGGGGATAAATTACTGTGGCCAGTTTTTGAAAAACCACTCTAGTAAGGTAAAAATGAGGGAAAGAGATTGTCAACAACATGTAGCTTAAAGAAGGGGTCCAAACCTCTCACACAAACATTCTTTTGGCTTATCACACAAGCTTCTTTTGAAGGAAAGCATTATGAAGCCCTTAACCTGGATGGGCAAGAAAGCTCATGACACTACTTAAGGATACTGAAAATGGAAACTCTGACTTTGATAAGAATAGTACTTTAGTAAAAGCCAGAATTCAACTTACAGTGGAGCTCTGCTACTAATCTCACTACTGATTAATTTTCATATAAATTTCTATTTCAAAATATCTGTTCCAGATCAGTAATTGAGATGGCACAATCTCCTTCAACTCCACAAAGGACATTTTTTGGAAGAGGAAGAGGGAGGTAATTACATTCCGTGCCATTACCTGACTAGGTTAATACCTATCAATAGAGTCCCTATGAGCAAATAAACTACTTGTTGTTTAGGTAGCATTTTACAGTTTCTTGGTCGCCTTTTAAAGTGAAGTTTTATGGGAGAATTCAAATTACCAGTACTGGAAGACAGTTTTTTAAAATTCTGAATAAATTCATATGGGCCAAAGCTGTTATCTGATATGTGAAATCTGCAAAACATGTATCACATTACATTATTTTTCTGTCAATTTAGAAACTGGATGGATTCATTTGCAACACAGGTGTGTAACCACCGTGTTTGCCCATTAGCACTTGTCACTGCATTTAAGTTTAAGAACAAAAAAATTCACTAAGCAAGTGAGACAACTATATATACTGTAGAGGAATCTACCAAATTCCAGCTTGTCCTTTGGACAAGCAAAGCACTCTCACAATTTGCTTACCTAGGGCCACTTCTTGCTCATCTTAGTTAATGATTTTGTTAGTGAATAGCTTCCCACGTAGATGTGCTTAGGCATTCGTCATTGCATGATGAACGTCTGCATAGGAGGCTAGTTAGTGAATGACCTACCTAGACCCTTGCTCATAACAAGTAAGCTTCAAAGAAGTTACTTGCCTGACAAGAAAATCTACTTGTCCCAAACTCCTGGATGGGATTTGTTTGAGTCCTGCTTCAAGTAAACATACCGGTAGTTTAAGATACTGCAGAAGTCATAAGTGTTGTATGCGACTAATTCTTACTAATCACCTTTCTCCACGTCCCTTGCACCCCATTATTCACTGTTTTTCCACCAAGGAACCTGGTTTAGGCTAGATCACTGTCAGCTACTTAACTTACGTCTTTTGTGACATTCAAATCTGTAAATTATTATTATTTTTGCCATGAAATCCTGCTATGAGCTAAGATCCCATTTGCAGCCATTTCTTGTAGATGGCAGCCCCTGGGGAATACATTGACTACTTCCTTTTTGAATGTTCTTTGCTATAAATAGGAAAACAAGACGACCTGACCAGCAGCTGTATGTTCCAGGAGCATTAAGACAGGCAAGATGGGAACAGCAAGAGCAAAAATTAAGTAAGGAAGGAGCAGTTGAAAGAGAGGAAAATGAGATTATTTCTACAGACAATGCTGCTGGTGCAGACGCATTATCCAGATCCACAGTAGAAGAATTCAGTGATAAATGTTTTGGACAGGAGTGTGACAGTCAAGTAGATGAATCTAAAATTAATGTGGTTGATGGTACACAGGGATCTGGTAATATACAAGATCAACAGAGAAATATTAACTGCACCTCAATTCGAGGAATATCAAGTGGAAGTTTGGGAAGAGATGATGTAAATCAAATTGATGGAAAGGAGTTGAAAAATGAGGAGGTAACTACAATTGCAAGGGATTCTACAATGGCCACTTGTGAGAGTGCTCCTCCTTTAACTTACATCACAGCAAATAATGGAAGTGGTTCTTTTGACAGTCAGTTTTTAAACACAGAAACTAATGGTGACAAATTTGATGACATCAATTACAAAGGGGTCATCGATGGCACTGGAAGCTTACAGATTTCTTCAACATGTGCTGATAGAGATAACGGGGCTGCTGAAAATTCGTCAGCAGATGCTAGTGAGGACTTTAAGATGTTAAATAACAAAACTTGCAACGGTACTGATCGTATGACACTACATAACCAATTTGAAAGAGCCTCCAATGAAAATCTCGTAAGTGTATTGAACCAAAAACAGGATGACCCCTTGCTTAAAGCAAACAAAGGCTTGCTTGTGAAGGAAACGACAAACCATCGTAATGGAATTAAATCCAAGGTGACAGAGGATGGAGAAGTGATATCTGATCATTTATCTGAGGTTGCTGCTGTTGTTGATGCAAATCATGATCATGGTATGGCAAAGGTTGGGAATGATGAAATTCGCCCTGACATGAAATCAGTCTCCTACAGTGATGTACCAATGACATATGGCAGTTATGCTGTTGATTGCAGCATGGAAAAAATCCAAAACAAAATCATTGGTCCTAAAAGTGTGCAGCAATCTGCATTATTAAGCTCTGCGACTCAAGAATACACAGAGTCTAATTTTGGTACCAATGTACTAACACTGTGTGAACAAATGCCAGCTGCTGCTCTAACAGACAGTCTGCAAGAAACATCTGGTGGTAGAACAGTAAGTAAAGATTATTATCCAAGAGATCAACATATAACTGATAATAGGCATCCGCAGGATGTGTCAGAAAATGCTAACAGGAAATTTGATAAGACTGCCTTAGCATTATCAGATTTAACTGGAAGTTACTCATTTAGAACATGTACAGAGGAAGTTACAGACAAAGCAGAGGTTGGGACATCTCAAGTAGATTATAACTCTGAAGGCAAAGATACAGTTAATTCTGCAAATGACAGAGATACTTCTTCAGAAAATACTAACCCAACTTGCTTGGTTGAGATAAATAGAGAAGTAGAGACAGTAAGCTGTGATTTTGGTGGGAGAAATTTGGACAAGACGAGTGATGGTTTAGAAGGTAACTCGGAAGGAAAGAGAGAAAACATTGAAGCGAGTTCAGGCAAAATAGAAGACTTTTCAGACCCAATTCCTGTGAATGTGAGCAAAACTAACAATGAACAAAAAACTGAGACATCCAAGAAAAAGAAATCAAAGAAAGATAAAAGTAAAGAAAAAACAGATGAGAAAACAAAAAACAAGGAAAAGGGTGAGAAAAAGAAAAAGAAAGAGAAGAAAGGTGAAAAAACTGAGAAAAGTGACAAAAATGCAGAAGAGAGTGTTAATAAGGGAAAGAAGTTGAAGGCAAAAGTTTTGTCTGATAAGCAGGATGAGAGAGATTTGACCACATGTGACAGAGAAGTGAGGGAAGAATTAAGCACAAGCACCAAAGCTGGTGAGAAATCTCAAAGTAATTCAAATGACGATGGTGGTGATGACAGCGATAACTGGGAATCATTTTATGATGAGAGTGGGGATTGTCTCAATCCAGAACATCTGGAAGAGGTCTGTTAATTAATACTTAAATTTAAATTTAAGAGAGAAAGGTCTTTGTTTTTATCTTGAAGTTCCTTAATTTCTACTTTATAATTTCAGGATAATTTTTGATAAGAAGCTTGGATTTTGTCACATTCCTAAAACTGCTGGGCAGTTTTGCCACTGGTAGCCTGTGTACAGCCACCCCCTCCCTTCAGGGACATCTGTGATTCACCGTTGCTTATCGTGTACAGGAATAATTTTGGCTCATGCCTCATGTCATTCCAGTTTTCAAAATGGTGATAATTTCCATTGACTAATCGAGAGAGTTTGCGACGTTTTTAAAATAACTTCACTCTATACCGAGCAAGAAAAATGTTCACAAGCCCTTTTTGAACAAAAAGATGTATGCAAGCCTTCCCACTGGTAGCCTGCAACCAGGACGTATTTCCAGTCGTGTTGACAGGCCAGACACAACTCACAAGCTCGCCATAGCATGAAATGTGATCTTTATATTTAAGAGTTTGCTTGAACAATGGAGGGTTTCCTTCTTTTCTTTCTAGCATGTCCACTAGACAATGCTGAGGGGAGGGGGCGGCTGTACACAGGCTACCTAATGGTGCAGTATAAACCTCAGTTCTTCTAAAATGTTGTAATTGATTTTCATAGGAAATGAATCATGGAAATGAATCTTGAGATTGTTGATGGGGACCTTTGGGCCTGATTTAAAGAAGTTTCCATTAAAAATAAAAAAAAGGTCTCAACTCCTCCACTGACAGATACTTAATCAGTCAGATACTTAATCAACCAAAGATGTCATATGATAATGTTATAGACATTATCATCACATGAAAGAAAATTTTGTCTCTCTGCTACTTTCTACAAGAGACATAAGTACAGGAAAGAGAAAGGCTTTAAAATAGGACACTACACTCAACATAAAATCACACTCTTTATCCTCAGTCCTCTCAACAATTTAAGTGAAACGTTTGAACCCAGGAGTCATTTCATAAGTAGAGGGAATATGATCGTCCAGGTGAGTTTAAAAGTCCTGAATAGGACTGCTGTCGACAGTGACTGAGACGTTTGGACAACCAGTACAGTAGTCATCTTGAGAGTCAAAGTGAGTTGTATCACATCAGTTGATGGTATTAAAGTCTTGTTATTGATGTGATTGGTCTGTTAAGTCGCAACATTATTACAATAGTCGTGTTTCAAAGATGCTAAATGTCATTGGTGCATTTAGATCTGTCTTTTGTCACAGTTTAACGGTCATTTATTGTTAGTCAAATAATTATTAGTCGGTTTTCCAGTCATTGCATCCTTGTCAGTTTTGCTTGAGGCCATCAATAATTTTTGTATGGTGCCACTAACTGTTAACTGTGATTGACAGGTTGTCAAAACGTCATTTTACTGTCAACAACAGTCCTATTTAGGACTACACCCACCCAGACGATCATATTCCACCTTCTCAACAATGTTACCAGTAGTCTTGTTTTGATATCTTGTCTTATATTTCAGTTGTCAAGGCTGACAGGAATAGACAATCCTGAGGTTCAGAAGACTCAGTATGATTTCTACTCTTTCACTCCAAGGGATGTTGAACTGGATGATGAAGGTTTGGTTTTTGAACAGCAACACTAAAATTTTTCTCAGTATTTAGTAAATCCCTTTCATGTGGCTAGTTAGAAACTAGTCAAAGCCAGGGTGAATGCATTATAGAAAATAATGTAATTGATAGACAATTTAATATTATAGCAATTCAGACGACTCTCTCTCAATGGAAACCTCTATAAAACCAACAACTCAGTAAAAAGGACACCTAGAGTTGGTCCCTGCCTTTCTTTACTCCCTTTTTTGATTCTCTTAGTCTATAAGATGGTGTCACTCTAACAGTACATGGACACTAGGAGGACCAAAATGATGCCAAACTGCCATCATCTTGTTACCCCAAATTTAAAGCAATGAAAGACCACAACTGATGTTTCTAATAGATACCGGTAAACATAATGCAGTTTTCTGACCAATATGATGTATGGTGGTCCTCATTTGTAAGTCAATCGTTTATTTAATGCACTGACTAGAAGGTCCAGTGAGGCATTTTCAAATCATAAAACCTTTAATTCTCTTCTAAGTGGAAGCTAGTGAAAAAATCTTTTTTAATATCAAAGACTTAGTGCTTACTCTCACTTTAAAAAGAGTATTAATGCATCTTAAGAATTTTCGTTGTGATAAGTAGTATTCTTATGATAAACATCATCGTTGTATCTTCCTCAGAGTTTGGACACATTGTGGAAATCTATAACTTTTCCCCTGACTTAAAGACACAAGACTTAATGCAAGCCTTGAGTATGTTCAGGTACATTTGCTTTGTATTTATCATAAGTAACTTAAATTACTAGTTAATTGTTAACAGTTGGTGACAAAATTGTTCTTACAGTGTGGTCAATGACACATTGCAGAAAAGGAGACAGTCTGTTCCCCTTTTCCCTTGCTTGAACTGCCTAGACAATGACAATATGATGGGCTTTGGTTCACAGACTAGTGGGGCTGGGGAAACCACAGGCTCCATTCCATCAAAGAAGTGACAAGCAAAGAGAAAATTATGTTCATTGTTTTTGGGATTCTAATGAATGACTGACATCACAAACTGGCCTGAAATTGCCACCTCAGCATAAGATTACTTGTGAAAGTCATAGGAAATTCATCAAAGTACTAATATTTCAAAGGAAATCTAACCCACATCCAAAGATGCCCAGAAGCATCCAAGGATTTCTAAGGATTGTTATTTATTAATATATTAGCATCAATTGTGAAAAGCAATATCATTAGAACTCAAAAGTTGAATTCAATTTGTAAACATGGTAAAGTATGAAAAATATCAATTTCTTTCTAGGAGCAAAGGATTTGACATAAAATGGGTGGATGATACTCATGCTCTTGGCATCTTTTCAAGCCACATTTCAGGTGAGTTGGTTATTAAATGGGCTCACGGCATTTGAAAATTGTGTTTTTGAGTCAAGAAAGCACAAGAATTTCCCAGCCTTTCCTGCTCTTACTTGTTTATCCCTGCCTCCTACTCAGGCACTTGGTAATAATTTTGCATAGAGGTGAGCGCAAAACTTATGTGACTGGTGATCAAGCGCAATGGACCATACATGTACCATTTTGCAGTGCGCCAATTTTCATAGAGAGAGATGTGTGGGTACAAGGCAGGTATTTGCAAGGAATTTACATTGTGCTGCTGAAAAAAAAGAAAGAAAGACTGACGTGCTGCACCTGGCCAACCTGTCCTACGACCACTTTTTTACACTCTGAAATCTTTGAACTGTTTTCTGAAACTTGCTCACTTTTCTTTTCCATTTGAAATGTTTAAACAGCTGAGGAAGCCATTAAGTTGTGCTCAAGTCCTTTAATGAAACTCAGACCTGTAAGTCAAGGGACACCAGAATCCAGGAAGAAAGCAACAAACTGTTTTGGTAAGATTATGTTTAATGTGTGAGTTACAATAAGGATCTCATTCTTAAATGAAAACAGAGTGAAATTACAATTAAAGCTGTTCTAAAGCTATGGAGTATGCCAGGTGTTTCTTGGTGTTGTGGAGTTTTGTGGTGTGGTTATTGTTCAGTGTCTTTTCAATCTTTTCTATGACGTCATCTGGTGATGGCACCCATGAGCAACACCAAGAAACTACCTGTATATGGCAGACCAACATTCTGACGAGTGTGTTCAGACTGGAAATTTTTTTTCTTTTCAACTTATCAACAATACAAAGTCGGCGGAGATAAGTTTGCAAAAGGTGTAGGTAAGGCTATACTGCAGGTGAGTGGTCAGGGTAGCTGTGAAACCCTGTGCACAGTAACAACCCACTCACTGGGAAAGCGGTATTTTACAGAGTCCCTGTAAATCAACTAACCCAACATTTCAAGCAGGAATTCACAGACCAGCATCTTTTCAATTTTAGAGACTCTAAATTGTATTTAGCCACATTACAATGTGTACAATAATATTACCTTACATTGTTTCCAGCGGTGGAATTCAACTGCACCGCTCATAAAATGCCAACTATTTATTAATCTACTATTGTTTCAGAGTTCCTCCAACCATACAAGGAAAGACCACAGACCAGCAAGTTATTAGCTGACAGGCTGGTGACAGGTGCTCTTGGGATAAGGTCTAAACTGACCCGGGAGGACAGAGTCAAGGAGAGGGAAAAACTCAAGGAGGCCAAAAGTAAGATTATGTCACAAAGCAGTACTAGTAACTGGCTATTTTAATTTAGTGTTCAGACCTGGATTTCTTAGCTCTGATTTCGACATCACTGGTTTGCCCAGGATGTGTGTCAATGAACAGGATCGCTACTTTAGGGTCACCAGACAAAAGAACAGAATATAGTGGGCAAGTCAGGGAACACTGTTCATTGCAGATGAATCAGCACTAAGATCTTGGTCTTCACAGATTTTGTAGACCTCGGGAAATCATTGCATTTCTGTTTGAACTTCGTTTGTGTATATTTGATTTACAAAGGTTCGATCTTGAAGGGTCTTGCTAAAATCATTCACTAGGTCTGCCCACTGCAGTGACATCAGCAATAAAATTTATTTTTTAGTTCTAATTTCTCAGTTTACAGTGTGAAATTGAGTGCCCCACCAGTGAGAATTTTACTTTAACGTAGTAATGAGCAACATTTTATTGGGTCCTAGCCTATAGCAGGTGAGATAAGGGGGTGAATGGTGTTGTGTCTTGGCGGCAGAGCAAATCACTTCACTGCAAGTAAAAATACCTCGCAGCTAACCACCAAGAAAGTACCCCACACATAACAATCCACCAGTTATGCCTGCTAATTGGATTGCATCAAGTACATGTCTTGGCTTTGCCTGAGGCTTGCCATCTTTCTTCCTTAATATTTACAATAGAAAATTATTTCTGTGTTGGTTTAATTTCTTTGCAGATAAAAAACAGCAGGAGAAAATACAGAAAGCCCAGATGTGGGGAGATTAAAATCTCTTCTCTCACCAATGGATGGTGTTAATTTATTATTTTAAGGAGGTTTTATTCAATGTACAGTTTTTTTATACACATTTTATCATCATGATGTAAAAACGCTTAAGTCAACATTAAATATTATTTTCTCATGCCTTGTATAAATAATGGTTACTAAAGCTGTAAAGGAATAATTATAATGTAACATACTGTATTCAACTTTTTATTTATGAGGGGTGTATTTAGAATTTAGCATAAATTGTGGCGGTCTTGATAAAAAACAAATTTGTTCCTTTTAAGTCACAGAAAGTTCAGTTACTATAGAAAATCAATAAATTGCAGTACAATCAAACTTCTACTGACTTTCACCTATCCACAACCACTACTCCTTTTCATCTCAGCAGACACATTCCCTTTTGTTTGAACCTTTCTATGACAGTCCCCTCTATTCAACAGGCACTCTACCTCTGTCCCCAAAGGGCACATTGTGAAGAGGGTCATCTGTATTTGAAACTCTCCTCATAGGACAAATAAAAACATTATTGTAACCTGAAGAGCAAGCATATTTGGCTGGGCAAGAGATGAATAATCCTTTGATTGCTCACCTGCCATCTTGGATGATAAATCTGACAAGGGAGATGCCAAAAAAGAGGGAAAAAAATGCCTCCACTACTAGCTATGTTAATTTTAGACAGTTCACTTAAGGCACCAAACTTCATCATAGCTCTAAAATACAGGTGGCTCTAAACACTTGAGTTTTTGTGCGTGGGAGTAAGCGTAATAGGAGAATTGTGTGCCTTGTAAGATATCAATTCCCTTAACTTTTCACAATTGATTCACTTTACTTTTCACATTGCTAGTGTTACCCATGCCACCTAACACCACCCATGTGGACTGAACCACTTACAAAGTCATCAGTTAAATGCCTAATGATCAAAGGATGATCATAGTGGTTTTGTAATGCATGGGTGGCCTCACTCACTGGTACTTTTAGGACATTCCCATTTTGTAATCATTTTCAAAATGAAGCCTGTTAAAAGCTAGGCAAAGGAGAAAATGAACAAGGGAATCTGGACCATCTTGATTGTTTCAAAAGGTTTTGATACAATTTAGATGACTGAGACTTTCCAGATGATTATAATGAAGACTAGGCTTTACAAATCACAGTGTTAGCAAGAAGGTAGCCTGCCTCACAGACGTAATCCAACCCCAGCTAGTTATGACCGCAAAGCAGTGCCTAGATCCATGTTCTGGGCCTCAACAGACTCAACAAATTAATTACCGGATATAGGTTTGGATTTTAAGTTCGACCTGATTTGTAATTGGACAATGCGTCACGAAGCAGGGGAACCAGGACAAGGATTTTAGCACTGGCTTGCAGATGGTCTTAACTAGAGGTTTAGTTTCATCTGCAGTGCAGGCGAAAAAGAATATAGGTACTATAATCATTCAGAAGACTCCCAGCACATTTATTTTTATTTATTTTTATTGCTGTTTTAGAAATGAGCAGGAAATGTATGCAAAGCAAATTAGCGCTATTCACAAAGTTTCAAATACAACATTCTCAATGAATGAGGGCTTTCAGTAGCATTCTAAGGAGCAGAGGTCCAATGGTACTAGTATGAAAAAATTACATGACACTTGCATTCAACAATAAATGCACAAAAAGATATTTACAAGGACTTAAAGGCCCACAATGATTGAAAGAAAAACTACAGGTCTATAATTTTATTAATATAAAAAGGAAAACTAAACACCATGTTTTATCGTCATATTCTGTCCAATGCTTCCATTGTTACAATGCTATTTCCTCTGATCACCTAAAAAGAATACAAATTTGCTGAGCCTAAGGGCAACATTTTAAGTTTAGCTAGGCAACTTACGAGACACGGAAGAACGTTAACACAAAAAAAGGAATAGAGAATTTCACTGCCAGCTAATGACAACTTTGTTGAATGAAAATGAAACAGTTTTTTAAAGTTTCTTTCTCCAACAAAGTTCATTAAGGAAGGTCAGTCCACACTGAAGCATTTTTTTAAACCCTCTCTTTTCATACTGACAAAGAAACTTCAAAACCTCCGTGTTAATAATAGTATTTTGGCATTGTTTCCAATCACCTGTTACTAAGCTACTGAACTTACAAAATGTACATATTCTGAAGATATGTAATCAGAAGTGAATGCAATACTCTTGTATCTCAGAGAAAAATGGGTTATCTTCAGGGGGTTCTAAAGGTCAAGTCTGTAGGTTATACATGTAATAATACTGGTAGATTTCGATCCATTTTGTTTGCTTTATTTCACCTTAATTATGAATGACCAAGCTAAAGAATACAACTGTTCTTTCACCCTTTTGACTTGATGTTGCATTTTAATGAAAACAGAAATGTGAAGTAAGACAAGGTCTGAGTATCACAAAAGGTGTCACTGAGATGAGACGAGTTATGATAACAAGACTAAATCAGGATGACTTTGACTTACCACCATTCCAATGTTATGTTTCTCTTGTGCTGAAACTTCTTCCACTGCTTCATCCAGCACAAGATTCATGAATGGATCAAAACCTCTGAGTACACCGGTCACATGTCGACTGCCATTTAGCTTTACTGAAAGAAATCAAGGTTATTGTTACATTTTACACTAGCTTGATCCACACTTCAATGACCATATTTTGCAAGGACTGCCTAGACAAGGTCATTTTCATCCCAAGCTTGCAAAACAGCTCCATCTTGCGCATGCAAGTATCCTGTTAGGTATAGCTTGGGTTTTTTCTCTATTTCGTTTGTACTAAAAGAAGTAGCCATGAAATGAAAAATGGTTCTGGGCCATTTGAAAGTGAAATCATTAAACACCCATCTGATTTCTCGCAACTTTAAGGTTGTGCTAGGGACTGGGTTGGTGTTTAATTGCAATACCCAATTTCTGAAATAGCCAACAGACAGTGCAGTCAACTCTCCTGAATAATCTAGGAAACTCCATATTTTGGACCATATCTCCCGGTCTCCAGGTTAAATCATGAAATCTCCCGGACAATCATTGAAGACTCGACTTTCTGACAATAATATTTCAACAATTTTGAAATGTGTGATTCCAGAAAATATCCATACCCCTCCCACGGATGGTTCTTCCGATAAGACCCCCCCACCCCCTCGGAATTTCCGTTCCAGAGGGGCATGTATAACCTCCCACCCCCCAGGAATTTCCTATTTTCCTTTTCAAGGCCTTTATTTGCCGCATTTAGAGATTATCGACTGTGTACCGCTTAAAATTAACTGTTCTCATCTTAAGACACAGTTTTTTATAATCTTTGACCTATTTGTAATCTTTTACAAGGCAATTTGTATTTCTTACGCAGGTAGAGCATGCTTGATAATGAGCAGTCTCTCTTTTTTATTAGTCCACCCAGCGAAACGCGTGAGGCAGGTGGCGAGGCACGAAAACAGAGATTAATATGTTTATGTCATCTCAAGAAAACATTTACAGCATAACTTCAAATTTGAACTATTCATTGAAATAAAACTATGTGAACATTTTCGAGTTTCAAAACGAATCTTCTTACAGGCAAAGTTTATCAGTAAATCTTTCGCTTCCGGTCCCAAAAATGTAATTAAGTTTCAATGATGTACCATGTAGTCTAAGTCAGTTTCATCTCAAACACAACATTTACAGCATAACTTCAAAGTTAACTATTGATTTAACATTAAACTATGTGACGATATTCAAATTTTAAAACGGATCTACTAAAAAAACTAACTTACAAACAAAGTTTAGCGTTCGGCCTCGGGTGCTAAAGTCAATACAAAGTCGATGTTTGTAATTAATTTTAACTTTGAATGAATTACGCTTGCAGTTAAACAAATTTCAAGAATTTCAAGAAAACTTATTTGGGTTATAAAAGAACAAAATATGCAAACATTCATTTTGCGTCCCATATTTGCATCGATTTATGTTCAGAAATGCACATCAGTGAATTCGTCGCCTAGCACGTGATCGAAAGTCTCCTCAACAAAGAAGAAACAGATCGTTGATATTTTCGGGCAAAAGTTGATTTGGCGAGAAGTCTGTTCAACAAACAGACTGCCTTCAACGGTACTTTATTAGAAATCGATAATAAAATACAGCAAAGTTGTTATTTGGGTCGTCACGCAACGCTTTGTTGCGATGAGCTCAACCGAAATTTGCATAAAGTTGTTTACACGAAGCTCGAGAAATATAGTGCCGAGATAGACAACGTTTGTTCTCGATTAGCCTCAGTTTTTATCAGACTAATCTGCAATCGAGTCCGCAATCTAGATACATGTTCGACATTATAAATCGATGTGCTAAAATTTATCGCTGGAGAAGCAAGGGACCTGTTGAGAATTGCACCGAGAATTGCGATTGATTTGGCTGAAGGACGATAATTATTTAAGAGACTTCATCAAGGTCAAACGTTGGACAGACCAACCGTTACATCTTTAAGTTTTTTCTCGAAACGGCATCTATTTCTGATTTTTGTTGTGCCACAAATCAAAATATTCCACATATACTTAAGTATGTCTCGTACGATTGATCGCGTCTTTTACAACACTGCGGAAAATTCTTCTCGTTGGCACCCCCCATACCCCTCGGAAATTTCTACCCTTTAGCCCCACGACCCCTTAGGAACTTCCGTGGGGGGGGGGGGGGGGTAAATAAAAATTTTCCACATATCTTTAAGTTTTTCTCGTACGTTTGATCGCTTCTTTTAAAACCCTGCGGAAAATTCTTCTCGTTGCCCCCCCCCATCCCCCTCGGAAATTTCTCCCCTTTGGCCCCCCGCCCCCTTAGGAACTTCCGGGGGGGGGGGGGGGTATGGATATTTTCTGCAATCACACAATGTTTGAGCTATTTTAATATTAACAGCGAATGTTTCCTCATAAACTTCAATAGACCATTGTAATTTAAGCAATTTTGTTGCTTAATATGAACTGTTTTATGGGGTATGTACGTAGATCAGCTCAAAGAGTATTTTTTGCACAAATGATGTCATGTGCTGTGTGCTATGATGTATCTGTCATCCCTTCCCTATCAATTCTCAACATTTAATGAAGATGTGGGGAATTGACAGCCCTGCTCGCAGGCAAGAAATTGTTAATTTAGTCCCTGCTCCTTTAGCCACAGTGACAAGATTCCCTTATAACACCATACATTTATTATGCATGCAGCAATTTCACACTTTTTCTCACAAATAGTTAACATGAGTAGAGTTGAAACATGTATGCATAATAACTGTATGGGATAATACGGAAATCTTACCACCACAGTTACTCAGTCCCTATTTTCAAGTCTTTTCCCTTAAAGATAAAGATATTGGGTGATGCTCAATATACCAAGTCAATATATGCACTATTGTCTCCTTCTACTGCGTCAATTTTATTGTGTTATTGTGCAAGGGCTAGGGATCATTGTTGTGTTCTTTGTGACTTAACTCGAGACTTGCTATTCATTTGGTATATCGTGCACCAACCAAGATATTTAGACCAATAAATAAAAGAAAGCCAAAACAGAAGTAAGGCCAGAATCAAATACAACACTTAATCACAAAACATGCAGTTCACTTACAAGAAAGTCTTTTATCCATGTACCTGAAATGAGGAAAAAAAAGATATGCCGTAATCAGCTTTAGTCTTGTGCTATGAGATCTTCAAGCACACATAAAAAGGCACGAGACAGGCAGGTGTTGACACACCACTTACAATGTAGTAATAAGTTACTAAAGGAAAATGAAGGCAAAAGATGGAGCCAGTATTTTGTAATAATAAGTTATAATATTATCTTCTACCAAACAGCTGCAAGATAAATTAAACAATGGAGCGTTTACTGTCACACGAGCTTGCTGTTTACCAGTGTTCACTTTGCACATGACAACTAAGTTCAGGTGGGGAAAACATCATTAATCGACGTTCACACATAAAAATTAACATCTTCAACTTTCGAAGAAATTTCCAAAGGACAAACTTACTTTTTTAACTCTGGCGGATGTGTTTTACTCATGGCTGATTTGGCCGATTTTGAGATCTAACAAAACTCTCTCCCTAGGATGCTTCCAGTAGCTTCGCTTCGTGGACGTTGCTTGACCCCTTGAGCCGACAGTCTACTGTTTTGCGGCATGCCTAGTACGTCATGTAATTTTGAAATTATTTAACGCGCCTCTATGAATTTTCAACAGTTGACCGTTTAAAATTATTTATTTTCAAATGAATACAACATTTTGCGCGTATCAAAATCTTCCTTTTCACCGCAAAAACAGAAAAAGGGACAACATTTATTACCAGGTCATTCGGAGGCCGACGAACGGCACCAGTCTTCGTAGAGATCTGAAAATAATTCGATCTCTGGTTCAGAGGGAAGGTTCAAGCTTCCTTGAAGTTTGGTGTAAGAAAACCAAAAACCCTGTTGGATTTGACAGTCAGCACTTGTTCTTCGACAGATTCAGAACTTGCTACACTAGTTATGGCTTTGAGGGCAAGCCAGAACTTTTATACCAAGAGAATTTGAGAAAGATTGAATCTGCTCTGGTTTTCGAGAGCCCCGTGGATCAGACCTCATTTCTTGACTGCAGTGAATCAAGAGGGTACAAACCTTGCTTGCTTGCCGTCACGAAAGATGGCTGGTTGGTCCGCCATGACTTAAAGACAGGAGACCTATTGGAGAGGGTCTACTTGTCAGTACATTACAGATTTAAACATGTGCAATGGGAGTCTGATTTGCAAAGAGTAGTGCTAAAGAGCGTTCACCTCTCTAGTCAAAACAGGCCTTTGATGTTTCTCTCATTTTTAATGGTAGCTCCTTTGCAGTTCCTAGGTTTGATGCCTATAGAGAAAGCTATATTTGGTCAGGACACTGTTGATGCTACTGCAAGCAATGGGTTTTTGGTTATTCTGCATCAATCCAATAGAATCAGATTTTACAGTCTGTTAGAAACTTTTAAAAAATACAGTTTTGATGTACACTTGGGAAAAAACTTGGGAACCTCATCATCTGACAACAGCATACGGGAATTGACTTCACAATTTGGTAATACTTGTTATGATCCATTCATTGTTGGAGCAGAACCAAATGGAGTGCCTGTCAATATTTCACTTTCATCAAAACCTGTTGTATTGTTTGAGGTTACAAGTAATCAACATTTGATCTCCTTTGGAGGGTATCCATGGCATTACATTGCTTGTCCTCAGTCATTTCAGGGTGTTTTTCATGTTCGTTCAGTAAAAGACTCAATTCTTGTAAAGAATGGAGTGCTGCAAACGGATTCAATGTCTGTTGAACCTGATCAGGCTTATTTCCATGCTGACAACAGTGGCCGCATCATTCATATTGGTCCCCACACAATCAGGTACGTTTGGGAACTAATCAATGTTCAGATGTGCAAATAATAGTCGGCCATCTTTCCAACCAAAATTTCGCTTACGAAACAAAATCCTCAACTGGACAGTTCAAATATGACAGAGTATCTTTTTAACGCTGAGGATTTGTGTTTTGTCCAATGAAATTAAAAGCCAACATACTTTATACCACCATGCTAGCAGAGCCTGTTTTTGTCTTCTTGTTGAGTGTGGAGGAGAAACGGAGGTTTTACCTGACATCTGGGGGGGGGGGGGACCCTAAGGATTTTTTGGGGGGGGCCGGGGGGCTGGGACCCTGGACCCGTTAGCCTATTGCGGAGCTGGTTAAAGGGATTTTTCCTCCCCTATAATATTAGCCAAACCTCCCCAAACCCCCCAATCCAAGATCGCCTGTTTTCCAGAAAAACCGAAG